CCTAATGCCTCGGATTGCTGCTCCACCTCTTTACCACTCAAAGATTTCTGAACAGGTAAAATTGAGCCTGCACCCAGGACCGTGTTATAAAACTCTCTAGCTTTATCAACCGTATTCAATCTGTGACGTGTCCCCACATGGCTCAAAACAATACCCATCGGGATTTCCCATCTAAATGGCATCAATCTAGCTTTAAGCTCATTAGCTAGAAAAGCAAAATCTTTCCTGCTTCTTAGAATTCTTGATGGGATTTCCTTTAAGATAATGACATCTTGGGCAGCAATCTGGAATCTTTTATTATAAAAGGCTTGTATAATCTCATTACGCAGAGACTTCTTTGTGAAATAAATCACCACATCTCTAGGCAAATTCTTCTGCTTAGCAATCCAAGAGTTAAGTCTATAAATTTTTTCCACTTCTCCACGCAATTCTCCTTTATCCATATTCAAAACCACAGCTAAATCAGTAAGGACCACCTCCATCAAATCTTGATTCTTATCTTCCTTGAGGCCTCTGATCCTCAAGGCATACTCCATCTGTCTGTATTGAAACATCAAAATATCTTCTTGTGAAGTCTCCACCTTCCTTTCCACCTCTTGGATTTTGTCATCAAAAGAATCAACTTTATCTTCGACTTCCTCCAGTCTTGCATCCAGCTTCACCACCACCGTAGCCAAGCCTGAGACTGCTGCAAGTATATCTTGTCGCAAAATGTTGTTATTATCTTCCATTTGATCCTTTATCCCACTTATCTCTTCTTTAAAATCAGATTTAATGTCTGATTTAATCTGTATAGCAAATTGCTTCATTTCCTCTCTCAGTTTTGCTACAGCATCTCCCATTATGCCTCTAACCTCTTGTGCTGAAAATCCTGGCAAAGGAGGAGAGGGTGGTGGCTGAGCCGGTGGTGCATGTTTAGATTGTTGTTGTGGTTGTGCAGTAGAGGTTATAGGAGAAGAAACCACCTTGGATATTGTAGAAGGCGGCTGTCTCTTTGAGGCCATTTTAAATCACTTCCCTTTCCCCCAAAAAAAGAAAGGAGGGGGAGAGAGAAAAAAAAGTTTTTCCTTCTTTTAAAACAGACAGCAAAAACACTATAATCCTTAGAAATCCAGAGAGAAAAAACCAAAAAAGAAATCAAAAAAAGGAATTCAATACCAAAAGCAAAAGCAAAATCCAGTCCTTAAAGAGAAAAAAGAAAAATGAAGCAAAAGGCAAGGAAAAAAAAACTCCGACACTTTCAAAACGCCATCTTAATTCCTTTGTCCAAACTAATAAAAAGAACAAAGGAGAAATAATCAAAGCTAAATAAAAAGAAATTAAAAGCCTAAACTATATAAAAAAATTCCTTTAAACCACTCTGTCCGTTATAATAAAAAAACTGCTCACCAATACACTATAGGCACGGAGATAGAAGCGGCGGTTTCTTTTGCTTCCTAGAAAGCAAAAACAGCTGGGAGGCGGAGATCAGCAGGAGCTCCGAGGGAACGCTCCATTCACCCCCTCTAGGAAAAAATCCAGAGGGAGTGCAGGGGTTCTACCTCTACTCCTGCGTTCTCTGTCCCTTCCCTTTGCCCGGGAAGGGAATTCCGAGCCGCGGGCCAGCTGATAGACGCTGCGCTCCGTGGTTCTGACACCTTCCCAGCTGGACGGCTACAAAGTAGACGCCATCGCCGTCGCCTCGTACCGGAAGCTTCGTAATTATAATTTTTAATACTTAAACAATTCTAAATTTTACTGTTTATCTTTAGCTTAAGTTGAGATTATTTTTTTAAAAGGAAAATTATTTCTTTTTGCTATGTTGTAAGGAACCATGATTGCACAGTGGTTAGAATGCGGTATTACAGGCTAACTCTCAATTCCCACAGCCAAGAGTTCGAGCCTGACAAGCTCAAGGTTGACTCAGCCTTACATCTTTCCGAGGTCAGTAAAACAAGGACCCAGATTGTTTGGGACAATATGCTGACTCTGTAAACTGCTTAGAGAGGGCTGTAAAGCCCTGTAAAGCAGTGTATAAGCCTAAATGCTATTGCTATTTATTTTTTTGTCTGTATTGGGATGCTGGGATCGTGGACTGTGGTTGTGCTTAGAGAATGGAGGTAGGAAATGTGTATCTGAAAATAAGATGTTGTACATTGGTTTGTCTTTTGTAAAGGGGGAAATGGCCCCTTTTTGTCATGTTAAACCTGTAATTTAACATTTTGTTTTTATTAGGATGTTGGGACCTTTTAGTGACTTTTAAATGGGATTTTGTTACAGCTAAAAGGTAAAATGTGGAATGCTAAGTTTTATATATGTCAGTTAATGGTAAAATCTTAGAGCTCCGTATGGTTGATAAGTGAGCCAAAGAAGATGTTACTTATTCGATTTGCCTATTGTTAACAAAAGGGTTATGGGATGAAGAGTTTTATATTTGTTACCCAAGAAGAGGTGAAGAGATTAGGGAGTTGTTTTTAACTCATCACAAAGGGGTTCAGGAGTCATTTTCTAAGGGCAGGAGGGATTTCTATTCTCTTTAAACATTTTTATCATTTTTTTTCTTTATCTTAGCTTCTAATGTCTTTTATTGTTTTATTCAAACTTCCAGTAAAATTATTTGAAAAAATAATAAAATTACAGGATATATATCATATGTTCTATACTATAGCACAGTGTTCCCCAACCAGGACATTTTCTAAAATCCCAAAAGTGTAACATCTCCTGCTCCAAAATTTTCTATGCCAGCATAACCGTTGCTCCCTAAATTCTATGGACAAAGGAATTAATTGTGAAGATAGAATTCTGTTCCCTTTCGCAATTATTTCATTTGTTAGCAGAAAAGCTGCAAACCAGACCATTCCAGTTCCACCTTGACTCTGTTGCTTGTATGATTGTGCCCAGAGCTGGTATTGTTACCTCTGGTCTCATTTCTACAAACACACACACACACACACACACACACACAAAAACCCCATAGCCATAGATTGTCAGCAAGATAAGGGCAGGATCAGACAGGCAAAGCCAATATTGATATTGGCAATCAGACCAAAATGAGGACATTCAGAACAAGTCTTGAATGCAATTGTGGAGTTTTCCTTATAGCAAAGAAAGAGAAAAATGTGCATTATATTCTGCAAGGAAACACAGAAGAGCTGTACTGCAGATAAAATTAAAGATTCTCTAAAATAGAATTTGATCTTTCTTTTGTTAGTCAGGCCACTGGATAGCAGTCCAGAATAGTAAATTGCTCCTGCACCATGGAAGTTAATTGATTTATTCTCTTTTGAAAAAGCTGGGCTCCCCTATGAGAGGTCAAAGGTAATGGCAAAGGGTTTTTTAAAAAAGTTAATGGCTCCAATGTATAGAATCAGACGGCCAAATTATGCAAGAAGTCAAAGGTGACATCCTTGTAAAAAAGCATGCTGTACAAGTGGCTTGAGGTAGAAAGCCAAAATACACATAATGTTATAACTTGGCATTTAACCAACTAGTTTTTTCAAAATGCACTTTTTTTATGGGGAGGGAGGGATAGAGAGGTGTCCATGAAGCATGAGGCGGGATTTAACACTTGTCTTGGATTCATTGGCTGGTACGTCAGTCATAGCCCTACCTGGATCATAAAAAAATTGCAATGGCAGCTCATCATTTTCCAACTAGACTACCACAGTTAATTGCATGTGGGGGATGCTCTGAAAAATCACACATCAGCTGTACTTTGTACAAAATGCCTTAGTCTGATTACTGGCCAACATTATTCACCAAGAGCAGATTACACCCGTGATTTGGTAACTCCACTGCTGCCATTAGATTTCCACATGAAATTCAAAATCCTGGTTTGACTCTTGATCCCCTCCACGATTCATACAGATTTCTCTGAATTGGCCCATCTGGCACATTCTTCCCAGGAGAAACCTCTGCTAGTACCAGACAGTGCTCTTTTTCAGCTGTTGCTCTGGCTATCTTGCGCTTTGGCTGCATGATTTATTTAGTTATTATGATACTACGAGGGCAATTCAGAAATAAACCTCCATTTGGTTATCAATGACAGATGCAGATACAGAACTTTTATTATACACCAAATGGAGGTTTATTTCGCCCTCGTATATTGTTTACCATTGAGATTTAAATGGTGTTTAGTATGGACATTTAATTGACTGTATGATGTATTGAGTCTTTTTTTTTAATTTTTCCTAGTAAAATAAATTACAAATAATAAATAGTAGACACAAATGTGCTTTTTCAAGAGATAACTGGACTTCCTTGTTTTTCTTTGAAGACATTTTGCTTCTGATCCAAGAAGCTTCAAAGCTCCTTTTTCAGCTGAACAAGGTTCTTGGATGAGAAGCGAAATGTCTTCGAAGAAAAATAAGCAAGTCCATTTGCCTCTTTAAAAAGCACATTTGAGACAACCATAACCTGGATGACTGAGAATCTTCATACACAATAAATAGTAGAGTAAATTTATGCTGCAGGAATAAATATAATCATACATAACAAAAGGCATATAATTAATTTTAAGTAAATAAAAAATTCTAATAGGATGCCCTAATCCTAGAAGGCCATTTTGGGATAGGTGTGGCAACTACTCAAATTATTTTCCTGGAAACAACTGCCATTTTTAGAAAGCCTAATAGCTTCCAATGTGCAAAGATGTATGATGACGGGACAGAGTAGGGATCGGACAGTTATTACTAAGATGTTATAACCTTTCAATGCTCTCTCTCAACAAGCCCAATAATGCTGCTCCATTTAACTTCTCACAACTAGATGCAAAAATCAGGAGCATGTGCCAGTAGAACGTTAATGGGTGACATGGGACTGGCCAAACATTTACAAGAGGCTCCAGGACTATTTTATATACATCACACCAGAAACCAATGATCTAAAAGGCTTGTCTTCTTGGCCTGCAAGAATTGTTTCTCATTCATAGCCAATGCACATTGGTGAGATTTGTGGGAATGCAGTAATATTAGGGCAGAGACTTTGGATCAAATCTAAGATGATGAATCACAATACTGTACTGTGCTCGTTCTTTCAGATCCTTCCCAAGGAGATTATATTTCCCCGCAATGTAATTGAGAATAGCCTTGGTCTGGACCAACTTTAGCCCATCCATCTCCACCAGGGGGACTTGATCAAACAGCAAGTATCCACCTGTAGGAAAGGGGAGAAGAGAAAAGAAAGGAAAACACAGCATCACTGACCAGGTCTAGGTTGCAGTAGAGTAATTTTACAGAGGCAGTATGCTAGATGGATGCTAGCATATGACCTATCTTCTAGACTGAATTTAATCAACTAGCAAATATAATAGTTCTTTATGCAGAATAAAACAAAAACTGCATCCCAAATGTTGCAGATTTGAAGGAGACCCTGACAAGCTCAGAAAAAGAGAATACTATCTGTTATTAGGAATCATAACTCTAGCCCAGTGGTTGTCAACCTTTTTAATGCCGCGACCCCCAACCGGTCGTAAGTCAAGGACTACTCAACTGGTTGTAAGTCGAGGACTACTCAACTGGTGCAGCACCGTTTGCAGAATGGGACTTTTGGCGGACTCAGCAGGGCAGAGACAGCCTGGACAATTCCTATTGGCTTTTGAAAGCCAATAGAATTAGACTCTATTCAAGAGAGTCTATTCTATTGGCTTTCAAAAGCCAATAGAATAAAAGGGAGTAGCACAGCTAAGGAAAAGGGGGAAAAAATGGCAGACTGCATTGTTTGGCGACCCCATGAAATGGTCGTTCGACCCCAAATGGGGTCCCGATCCACAGGTTGAGAACCACTGCTCTAGCCCTTTCCACATCTTGGCCTGTTCCATAACATTTATAACTATTTTATTAATCCATTCAATGCATATGCCATCCATTTCACTGCTGCAGCAACTCTGGGGGCTTACAATATGATAAAAAGGTTAAAAAGATAATACAAAATGATGAAAATTCAGAAGGACTAAATAAAGACTGAAAACCAAGAGGGACAAGTGACATGCAAGTGGGGATCTCATCTCTGCCCCGTCAGCCATCCCCTGTATACAGTGCCTTTATAGGGGGGCCATGTTTTCAGGCTGTTCGGGAAGGCCAGGTGTGTGGCACCTGACCTCACCTCTATCGGGAGAATAGGCAAAAAGGCGGGCCCACAGCAAAAGGATCTTTTCTTGGATCCTGCCAGCTGAAATTCTTTTGGCAGACCGGATCCAAAGTAGGCCTTTTTTGCTGGAGCAAGTGGGATGAGCCAATCATACAATGAACAGTTGCAGGAACTGGGTTTGTCTAGTAGTCTAATGAAGGACTAGGGGTGACGTGAAAGCAATCTTCCAATATTTGAGGGACTGTCACAGAGAGGAGGGGGTTGACCTGTACTCCAAAGCATGGAGGTCAGGACCAGAAGTAATGGATGGAAATGGTTGGATGGACATCCAGCCTAAAACTAAGGAGAAATTTCATGACAGTGAGAACAATTAACCAGTAGAATAACTTGACTCCAGAAGTTGTGGGTACTCCAACACCAGAGCTTTTTGAGGAGAAATTGGACAGCCATTTGTCTGAATGATACAGGGTTTCTTGCTTGAGTAGGGGGTTGGACTAGAAGACCCCCAAGGTCCGTTCTGTAATCCCATTGGGGTGAGACATTTCCTCAGATACCTTAAAGCCAGGCTAAAACCAATGAATTAATTTTTCTCATCCTGTCCAATCACCAGACAATGCAATAGAATATACATATCTATACCAAAGGTCCCCAACCTTTTGGGCACCAGGGACAGCTTCTGTGGAGAAGGTTTTTTCCAAGGACCAGAGGGGGCATGGTTTTGTGTGCTGCTGGCATCCCATGGTTGGGGCTTTGCTTGTTTCTGCAGACTGGTTGTTGGCATGCAGCAGCCCGGTACCGATCCACATAGCGGGGGTTGGGAACCCCTGTTCTATACAGCAATGCACACAACCGGGGGTTGGGGACCCCTGTTCTATACAGCAATGCACACATACCCCACACAGATTTCTATTACTATTATAAAATTGCATAAAGCATGAGCTTTGGTTGTTAAGAAGTCAGCCATGTGCACAACAAACATCTTGCACAGATCATCTGCTCACCTATTTCTCAAATTTCACTCATATTCAAATTTCGACAGGTAAAACATGTTCAACCTAATTTACCAGTAAAGTGCCACTCCCACGTTCCCCACCTTATCCTTGTTTATTGTAAAGAAGCAGTGAACTGATGCGTGCTTGCCCCTTATCTCTGATTCACATTTCCTTCTGAACAACTGGATGGGAGGGAGGGAAGCTTTACAATTGGTTAAGAAAGCTGCATGATGCAGGACCCACAAACCATTATCTAGGGCGGGGAGTCCTCATAGGACACCAAAAATTCCACATTTCACCCCTGAGCTACAAATATTCTCTTCCATTGCATTATCTGATGTTTGGACATGATGAGACATGCCCAGCGTCCTTGGTTTTAGCAGCTGATTAAAATGAAACATCCACCTGCTCCAGATACACAGCAAATTGCACTCTTGGCAAAGATTTCTCCACTGCATGTCCTGGCTAGCGACTACCTTGGAAAATCATCACTTTTTCTGCCAATCCTTTGCTGCCAGTTCCCAAGATCTGCTTCTCTGGGGCAACTTCACCATTCTGCTTCTTGATGTGGCTCACAAAGCCAAACTGAGGAGAATGCAGGTTGCAGCAGGCCACTCATTATACAACATGTGAATGCAAATGACTTGTCTTTTCATGTAGACCACAGATGAACAAGCACTACACTCTCTTCTGCCTGTTGGAGGTGACTTTTCTCACGGTGGACAGAGAGAGGAGAGCAACAATGATTCTCCGAGGCAGTTCCTGATGGTGACAGCTGCAGATTTGAGAACGTGCTCTGCCTTCACGGGATAGCATCCCTCTCTCTGCTATTCTCTAACTGTATTGGTAAAACCATAGAGTCCCATATAGAAAGGCACAATAGGGAAGGCAGCAAGTACAGGAACTCCTCCAGAAAATTATGCTGAGCACATTATATGTACTATCAGTCTAGACCAGGGGTAGGCAACCTTGGCTCTTTTATGACTCGTGGCTGGCTCAGGAATTCTGGGAGTTGAAGTCCGATTTTAAATATTGCTAACAACTTCAGCATCTCATCAGATTCACATATTTCTCTGGAAGAACCTAAACTTGAAATTCTCAAGTGAGCAGGTCTTAAGATTATGTTATGAATCTTCCTTTCAAAATTATGCCAACTAAATAGTCTAAGCAAAACCATTGTTCAAAAATGGGGTGATACAATTCAGTGGTTCATTCTAAATCCCAATCACTTGAATTCAGTCTCATTCAGGTATTTCAGAGAAAGAGTTTATGACTTGGGGCCATCAGTAACATAGAAATGACAGCTTAGGCAGCCAAACTAGGAGTTTAATTTACACTTAAAGTTTGTTTTGACTCCTTCTTTTCGAAGGAGTCAAAACAAACTTTAAGTGTAAATTAAAATTCTCGAAGGAGTCCTTGGAAATCATTTTGGTACTGTAAAAAGTACACATTTTGACAATACTAATCACCAGCAGTAATATTTTATTTCTTGGTAGAAGAGTTTAGCAGGGATTGAAGAGATGCTAGTAACACTGTCAAACTGTAGATATAGTTAATGATAGACAGTAGTGTATTTATTGGAAGAAGGTAGAAAACAAATTCACACTAAATTACAAGGAATGCAACTCCCAAAAGTCTTATTTTTGTATATTCTCCATCCTCTTCCCTTTGGCAACGGTTTAAAGTTCCCGCTCACTAAGCTTATTTTCCTATGTTTTTCTACCCCATTCAAAGGATCCATGAGTGCCAGGGGGCGGGGAGCAAAAAGCCCAGAAGGCAGCTGTGACCTCATGGTTTTCTATGGTAGCCTCTGCCCTCTGAAACCCTCTTTTTCCTGAGGTTTGGCAGGCCTCCACCTTCTTAATCTTCTATAAAGCTAAGGGCTGGGAGAAGATTGAATAATTGCACATTAGAAGTTCAATTTGACACCAGCTCACTGTTGTTTTTAATGTTTTTATTCTTTAATTTGTTTAGTTTTATAGTTTCGATATGATTTTATCTGTTGTTTTAACTTTTGATTGGGAGCCACCCATAGTTTGTTGGAAGATGGACAACTATTTAAATGTTTTGAATGAATGAATGAATGAATGAATGAATGATCAATGCTCCCCCACTCTGCAATGCATGTAAAAACGAAGTAGGGCTTAAATCGTGTTGCTTTCATCTTGAACTTTTTTGATTCCCTCCCCCTCTGCAGTCACCCAGATCTCACCCAAACGTAAGTCCTCAAGTCATTTACCAAACTTTTTTCCGTGATCATAGCTAAAGAATAGTTGCTGTATTTACCTTTGATTAATTTCAGATACTGTTCTCTTGTTTCCAAAAATATTTCTTCAAACTGGAAAAAGGGGAAAAAACTGCTTTAACTTTGTATCACAGGGTACAGAATTTTGAAAACTCGGCTTAAAATACCTTTGGGGGCTTCATAATCCCCCAAATGAGAAAAGTTGGTTCAATGGGGGGAAAGTTAACTCTTTCATCTCATCTCTTAACTCCTTCCAAACCTCGACTCCTTTGACCCAAATCAGGGGAAAGATTTGGCCTCTGCCTACCCTTGAGTAGGGCTACCAGATGTAAGCTGCAAAACTAACAATGACCACTGGATGGCAGCCAAAGGATGGAGGAAACATTTTGCTCCCACCTAGATTCAGCCACACCTTTGTGATCTAGATTTGGTACTTGCTATAAGAACAAAAGGAAAAAAAGAATGTGTGTGTATGTGTGTGTGCGTGTGTGTGCGCGCGCGCGTGTGTGCTGGCAGGATACTTGAGTCCTTTACCCATCTCCAGAATGATCCCATGTGAGTGGTCAATTGAGAAAACTTTAGATCAAATCTCAAGGCAAAAAAAGGCCCCAATTTCATCTTGCTTCACTGTGGAGGGAAGAGATAATGGCGTTGAAGGATGGGGAAAGAGCTGCTACCAGAGCAACGGTTAGATAAACAGGGTTTGAGCCTGTTCCAAAAAACCAATCTGAGTTAATGTCTGAGTTCTTGCTCTACTTCACACAAAGATGAAGTGAGGGAAGAGGAAGTATATTCAGAGTTGCAAAATTCAATACTTATTTGTGATGGGGATGTGCTTCGGATTCCTGGGGGGGGGGGTGTTCCAGAGGAACAAGCAACAACTCAGTTCAGATATGTAGTTTGTATGGGAAAAAAGAGGGTTAACATGTCTCCCGCCCAATAGTTCCAAGTGCTTTAGGGAAGTGTTAGCATGCTTTAGTTTGGCAAGATTCTCTCTATGGGTGAGGAAGAAAAAGGAAATCTTCTTGGAAGAATCACAATGTGTCCTTCTTGAATTTTGAACGCTGACACTAATCTTGATTTATGTGGATTTGGTTCCTTTGACTGGTCTATCTTACAAGGCTGACAAAAATAGAAGAAACAAACCTCAACTCCAGCTGCTGCTAAGAGCCAGCGTACGGATTCCATTCGTCCTCTACCATTGAAATAGGTCAGTTTGGATTTCTCAGACATATTTTGCAAGTTTTGGATTTCCTGATAAATTGCAAGCTAGAAAATAGATAAATTTAATATAATCCATTACTGTATTTATTTCTAATAAAATGTGTACAACCTTGCAGAAAAACCAAGTCATAAATCTCTTGAGAATTTGGCTGCAAGTAGAGATAGTTTACCTAGACTAGAGAAATGTTAAAATATGAGTGTGGTTTGCTTATAGATTGACAATGCAACTTGTTTCAGGTGTGCATGAGAACGGTGTCTATTGTTGACAATGGAAGAATACTGCTATGTTCTCCATAGAAATGGAAATCTAACAAGTAAATGCAGAGACTACAAGGGAAATAGTTTGTTTAATGTGCCTGAGAAAGAGTTTGATACAATTCTGGCTGAAATGGTTTCAGGGATGACAATGAGGAAAATTTGGGAAAGTTTTTATGCCTGGCATGGTGCACATATCATATTTCTGTTCTTCTTCAATGTATAAATCTGAGAAAATTTATTGTGCAATTGTTTTAGGGAAAGTATAGATTAAATGAATAGTCTTGAATTATGCAATATTTTACATAAATGTGCAGCTGAATATTGGTTACTGAATATTGGTTGATACATAATGGAAGCAAGGCATGAATAAGAATAAAGGGAAATTTTAGCAAAAGGCAATATTAAACTGGGAGTAAGACAGGATATGCTTTGATCCTTTGGTTATTTGATGTATTTATTGGTACATGCATAAGAATTGCTTGAAACAATGTTAGAAGTGTGTTAGCTAAAGGTACATACGTGTGTATATTCTTGCATGTGAGTAATGCAGTTTTAGGCTGAGAATCCAAATGATCTGCATGAATGTTAGATTAGATATGATGCAACAAGAAATATGGATCTGAAAATGTATGTAACAAAACCCAAGACTGCTGTACTGGGGCTTTGACAAGAAAACTTTCTTGTCAAGAAGACAAGAAAAGTAAGTTTTACCTAAATGAACAAAATAAATAAATAAATCAAATACATGAATTGAAGTAATTTCGTAGAATATTTACTAGAGACTGGAAATGGATGAAGAAAGTTTAAGATGTGCCAATGGTGACAGGAAGATAGTAGGTAGCAAGCGGTCTGTTGTGAGAAGCAAAGTTTTGCCAAAAGAGATAATAGCTGTGTAGAAGGAAGAGAGGGTGGTTGTTTCAGGACAAATAAAACTGAATGCAGTGCAAATGGATATCTAATAAACACATGGTGCTGAGTGAATTAAATAAACAAGTGAGTCACCATTATGAAAAATACATTGAGGGAATTAGAGCATAAACTACTTTTAACTATGTTTCATTTTCTTATCTCATGCCTTTAACGTTCTTTGTTTACCACTTATTACTTCTTTTCTGTACTTATAACAACGGGAGGGACGTGTTGTGGGCCAAGGAGCTTCTTTTGGTGGGATCGAGGGAAGCCATTTCTGCCATGGCGCCTGCTGTATGGAGCATCATTCCCTCCGAGGTGAGATTGGCCCCAATCCTATTGGCCTTCGGGGGGGGGGGTGGAGATGTGGGAATGACCTTCGCAGATAGGAGGGAGACTGCAGATAGAATAGCTGGAGTGTAAAAGATGTCTCAGCCCGCAAAAGGGGGGACAGAATGGGAAATATTTCGAAGGGATCCTTCCTAGTTTTCCAGTGTGTAAGAAGAAAGGAGGGAGAGAAATATTATCAGTCTTGTGAGATTCTGTTAATGTAACCTTACAATAAAGATAGAGCTAGTGCTTCTGGTTGTTCTTCTTGTCTAGACCAGTGGTTCTTAACCTTTTTGAACAAATCGCCCCCTTGAACCAATGAGGAAGTTGCCATCGCCCCCCTCCCCCAATCATAACCTCTCAATCACAACATTTCCAGTCTTTTTCCCATATCTCAACTGTGTGAAAAAGTTTAGTGCCACCTATCACTTTATTCCCAAAGTTCGTGATACGTGTATTTCGTTATTATCTTATTTATTCAAGACACTTAAATGTAATGACCACTGAAAACAAAACACTGGGAGCCGCAAAACCCTTTTGACATCTAAAATGAAGATAACACTGCATATACTTTATCCTTTTTTACCTTTATTATATATATATATCTTCAGTGTTATCTTCATTTTAGATGTCAAAAGGGTCTCTCTCTCTCTGTCTCCCTCCCTCCCTCCCTCCCTCTCTTTTTGCCCTTGGTCTGCCAGTCCTCTTCCTCCACTCAGTGTGTGTGTGTGTGTGTGTGTGAGAGAGAGAGAGAGAGAGAGAGAGAGAGAGAGAGAGAGAGAGAGAGAGAGAGAGAAGCACAAGTGCCTCTCTCTGTCTCTCTCTGCAAATGGCAGAGGAGGCTCGGAGCCGCAGGGAAGGCTCAAAAGTGTCCCCCAAACTTCTCACTCCATCACCCCCATATCGCCCCCTTTTTGTTCCTTTGCCCCCGTGTCGCCCCTTTTCGTTCCATCGCCCCCCTGAAAAATGAAATTGCCCCCTGGGGGGGCAATATCGCCCAGGTTAAGAACCAATGGTCTAGACTACCTCATGGCTTAGCAGGAAAGCTTTCCTTTCTTCTTACAGGAAGGATCCTTTTTGAAATGTTCCCCATTCAGCCCCCCTTTTGTGGACTGAGACATCTTTTACCTGTCAGTTGTCTTATCTGTAGCCTCCCTCCTGTCTGCGAAAATCATTTCCACATAAAATATGGTATTGTTATCTTCCTGCCAAAAGCTTTTGCAAACAGACAAAAGGCCTCGGGGAGCCATCTCGCACTGCTTCAGTGCTTACATCCTTTTGCAAAAGCTTTTGGTGCAGAGAAGCTTGAAGGAGTGTGAAACCAAAGGCTTCTCTTTTCTGTTGCATGAGTGGAGCTGTGCATGTGCGCACATGTGCGCTGGCCCACTACTCGTGCAGCCCAGTTCCCTTCTTCTCCCCCCCCCCAAGCCAGGCCACCCAAGCCGCAAAGATTGGGGACCTTTGATCTAGACTACCTCACGGCTTAACAGGAAAGCCCCTAAAATATGGTCTTGACATCAGCCCTGGGGAATCCCATGGAAGGGTTCAATGGCTGTCCTGTTTGTAAGCTCAGAACGTGCTCTCTTGTTTTTATTAGAGTTTAAATTATTTTAATCACATTTTAAGGCTTTTGTTTTTTAATTATATTGATTGTTTGGGAGTGTCTGTTTTTTTGTTGTTCTTTTTGAGATGTCTTGAGTCACAATCTATATTAGAACAGAAGCTAGATAAATATTGAAAATGGACACTAGAGGCAACCAAAGGCAGAATAGCATTAAAAGCTGGCTATAACCTTTTCTTATTTTAAAGAGGGCTCTTTTTTAATTGAACTGAAATGTTAATTAACTAAAATTTCAGAAAGCACAGAGATTTCAATGGATAAATTTTAAAGACCCCTCTTAAATGCCAAACATTCATGAAAGATCAAATACTGAGATGCCATTGGAATGATTTAAAGGTCAATATTCTTCGATGTTTCTAAGATTAAGAAAAGCAAAGAAGGAATATAAAGTTACAGAATTGGATCAGGAATAAATTTAATATTTCTAGCCATTCCTAATGGAGTTTTTGCTAAAACGGGATTGAAAATAGATCAATTTCTGGACCTAAATTAAAGTTAGACTATGGGGATAAAAGCATTTTTATTTGTAACTTTAAAAGAGGGTGAAAGGTTATATTAGCTTACGCTCAGTGTTTTTTTGGTTATTTTTCTTTTTTCTAGAGCTTCTGAACTTTTTCTTTCCAGTTTAGTTTGTATTAGTTTTTTACTATGGAGATTAAAAATTTCAGTTAAAGTATTAAAAGAGAAAAGGAACAAACACTGAATTTGAAAAGGCATTGCTAGATGGACTGCTTTCACTCCATCCTAAAATATTTTCAAGTATCTTATTCCACGGACAATTTTTTTCTATATAATAGAAACCCACCTTAATGAAGTTTTTTTTTTCTCTCAAAAAAAAAAATACTGCACTGCACAGTATTTCTTTTCACTTCTACTCCAGCTGGGAGAAAATCCTGTTGCTGCTGCAGTTCAAAACAAAGAAGACAGTTTTAACCCCAACCTTCATGCCTAATCTTTCTGCAGCAAATGGTGCTCTGCCTACAACTAACGCCACTTCAGCCTCTCTTTATTTATTTTTCCTTCCTTTTCCTTCCTCCATTATCCTTCATCATATCTAATCTACTGCTTGAACAGTTTATTCTGTAATTTCTCTTTCTCCCATTAAAGATCTGCAAATAGGAAGCAAATAAGCTAAAGTATTTCTATACTGCCTTTAGGCAATTAGCCCTTCCCTTCCAACATTCTGCCCCACAGCAGCTCATATACAATATCTGAAAAGTTGTAAAGGTAATTCCATATCAAAATGTCAAAACCAACCTGCAAAGCCTGGTCTTATTTGTACCTCCACCAAGAAATCATACGAACAAATGAAGCTCTGTCTACTTATAGTCTGCTTCCCCTGTCAGAAGAAGGCATTCCCACTGAATTGTCTGTTCAAATTTATCATAACATTAATTGAACCTGTGAGCAAAATATTTTGGATTAGGCCCAATTAGAAAATAAACAGACTGACTCCTTCATTGTGATCACTGCCTAGAATTGTCTACTGTTATTGATGCTACAGGATTACACTGTTTGGGCAAAACAATATTTAAAATCACTAAACAAACTAGAAGAAATAAAATGGAGCAAACTAAATACACTGTAAACACAACTACTAGAATATTAATTTTTTTAAACAAAAATACTTAAAACTATCCCATCTAATTATAAAACTATTTTGTAAATAGAATATTAAATTGCCAAATTATTAAATGAATAAAAGATTTTATTAGTCCATTAAGCTCCGTGATACTGGTTTGAGAAGGTGCTAAACCCTAATGCTGCAGTGATTCACCCCTGTAGCAGGCAACCCTCTTTTTCTCATCTGTCATAAAGAAACAATACTGACCCATCTTTGCCATTAGACCAGATCCATTGAATGTACTCCAAATCATGGCCAACATTAAATCATTTTAAAAATCTGGTGCATCCATCTGCCATGCAATGATTATTAAAGCATTGTGATGCTGGTCTCAAAATCAGGTAGGAAAGGTTCAAACAGTTGGCTACAGATATTCCAGTTTCCAGAGCTTTCCATGCTATAAAAAAAGTCAAATTTTGATACTACATTCTTGATTGCAGAGGCATGTCAAAATAATCAGGATGACAATAGCCACTGTACAATCATAAACACACCATTTAATGTGTCTCATCTTGCCTTTTTTGACTTCCCATTCTGCAGACATTCCTATACTTAACAAACTTCCCTTGTTTTCAATGTTTAGCAAAAGCTTAGAAGTCAACTAAACTGCACTGCAGACATGTTGCAAAACAATCTGCTCTTTTACATCTAGGAAAGGAAATTGTGAAAGAAATGGTTGCTCCTTCCCTCCTGCCATTAAAATGGCCTCAGTGGGGTGGATTCTGCCCAGATCATCTTGGAACTAAGAAGAAAATGTTCTCCACTGTTTTAAAGCCTAAGTCAAATTTAGCAAATGAAAAAGGAAGGAAGATTAGTCATTATTTGCTTATTACATTTATAGCTCTCTTTTTCCCAAGTACATCCCCGTGTATTGTAATGGTTTATAATCTAAGGTGTGTAATAGAAAAAGAGCTACAAAGGAAGAAGAAAGGTCTTAGATCAGTGTTTTTCAAACTTGACAACTTTTAAGATCTGTGGACGTCTGCTGTGGATGTTGGCTGAGGAATTCTAGGAGTTGAAGTCCACACATCTTACAATTGCCAAGTTTGAAAAGCACTGATCTAGATCCTATCCTATTATTTTTCAGATAAGGTAAGTTGGACTAGGTGTTGCTACTTAGCTGAGCCATGGTTTTGTATCTCCACATTAATTCAAGGACTTAACCATTGCATGGAATTGTCATTATAGAAATTGATTGTAGAAAGGGAAAATCAAAGGCAGTTGGTCTTTTCACAAATGGAATGAGGGAGGACTTGTTAAGTGTTTCTAAAACTTTGCAATACTGCACAAACACATAACACAGTCACAAAAACAACCCAACACATTCACCTCTATAAAATTAAATTACTATTAGAAGTTAATATGTTTGTTCCCAAGTCAGGCAGGAAGACCCTTCTAGAGGGATTAGGAAATTGTTTATTACAGTAGCACTAATCAGGAAGCAGGCAGAGATGGATGGTGGTCAACTCTGGCTATCCCCTGTCACTCTCTTATAAATGTCTAATTCAAAAGGTAACACTAATTATTAACAATGCAGACATAAGGCAATGAGTTATCCCATATTCTCTTCATCTGTTTTTGCTTTATGAGCATGGACACTTGTGTGCAGTTCCCTTCCCTTCTTATCTCTGCTTAGCCTCGGTGGCTTCAGAGGCAGCCTACCTAAAACCACAATGCCTAAGCCTTTAATCTTTTCTAAACACATCAGTTGTGATGTGCTCACTTACCCATGACAGAGCTAGCCCTCCCCTCCCAAGTGCATTATTGTTGTTCATGACATTACAACCTCCTAGCTTGTCACCAAGGCTTATGCTACTTTAGGTATTGTTGTAAACAAAACATTACCTTTTTTCCCCAATAATTGTTATTAAAAGTTATGCAAGTCAAACTTATACAATTACAAAAATAGATATTTTTTTTAAAAAAAGTTAAAATTAAAAAGGAGCATAAAAAGAAGAAAAAATGATAGAGAAACCTCTTTCATTTCCAGTAAGTATAACCTACATTAAGAACTTATTACTGGACCCATTAAAATATAAGCAAATCTCTCTTCATTCCATATATCACCCCAATTTCTGTTAACCATGACTAGAATCTCATCTCCCCATTAGAGAAACAGAAATCCATAAGTGTTACCAAAAATAACACAAACATCACAAATTATATTACATTGAATCCTTCCTTTCCCTTTCAACAAATCTCTCCATATCCTCACTTCAGTCTCCTCAGTTGTTCACCATGATGTAAAAAAGATGTTGAGACTCTAGAAAGAGTACAGAGAAGAGCAACAAAAAAGATTAGGGGACTGGAGGCTAAACCTTACAAGGAATGGTTGCTGGAATTGGGTATGTCTAGTTTAATGAAGAGAAGGACAAGGGGGGGACATGATAGCAGTGTTCCAATATCTTAGGGGCTGCCACAAAGAAGAGGGAGTCAATCTATTCTCCAAAGCCCCTGAAGGCAGGACAAGAAGCAACGGATGGAAACTAATAAAAGAGAGAAGCAACCTAGAACTAAGGAGAAATTTCCTGACAGTTAGAACAATTAATCAGTGGAACGACCTTCCTCTAGAAGCTGTGAATGCTCCAACACTGGAAGTTTTTAAGAAGAGACTGGACAGCCATTTGTCTGAAATGGTATAGGGTTTCCTGCCTGAGCAGGGGGTTGGACTAGATGACCTCTAAGGTCCCTTCCAACTTTATTATTATTATTAGTAGTAGTAGTAGTAGTATTAGTAGTAGTAGATCAAAATCCAGTCTCACTCAAAAAGCAAATAAACATTACCAATATTAATCAACATTATTCAGTCCTAATCAAGAAACCGTTAGCCTTGCCTCAAATAATAACCCATTTTTTTACCTTGATCGAATAAATCAAGTCTGTATTCTTTCTTCTTCCTGTACTTCTTTAAAATCCTCAAAGTTCTAGCATCCGCCTTCTCATAGTCTTTTCTCTCAAAACTTTCTTCATCTTTCTCAAGCCCCTTTATACTTCCAATGTATACCCTTTATACTTCCAATCTCTCTACTAAATCTAGAATAAATAATCCAAATCTCATATTATTTATTTGTTACATGTTTTTCAATTTTTAAGTTATCATCTTTTGTTTGTAAATCCATTATTTCTATCTTCTTCTTGTAAGCTGTAATTTTTAATTCCACCTGTAAGTCAGATTTAGGTTTATTCAATGGGGTTTCATTCTCTGCAATTACACCAGCAGATACTAGTAAAGAGTTAAATAGTTCAAAAACCTCCTGTGGTCACAGATCAAACATTTCTTTTAAGGTAACCATTTGGTGCCCTCTTCAAAGTTTTGTTAACCACCTCAGATGCAATCAATGTGTCAATAAAATCCCAATGCATTATCAAAACATTGTAACATTTTAAAAAAACAGCAATCTGATATTGAGCAATACATGAAAATGAATGTATTTAAAAGCTAACAGAATCAGATATATAGCAGGACTCTTCAGAAAGGAACTCTATCTCTCAGTTCAGAGGTCATAATCAAGACCTTCCAAGGTTGAATTCAGGGCTGTCACAGAGGCTGGCCATTCAGCAAATAAACCAGTCCCAAACTTGAGAACTTTAAGATTAATTACCAAGACTTTGTATGACTACATTAAGACAGCAGTAAACAGAACTCCCCATTTTAAAGAGCATCTTGAAATAAACACATTTCTTATGGATTGATAAAAATAATTTATTTATCTTCCCAGAAAGGGCCTTCTATATGTATGGATCAACTACTGAAGGAGGGCCTAGTTTTGTATATGTCAGTTTAATAAATCTTGATGCCAAATGTAGGATTATTGAGGATGTCTTAAGACCAACTGCAAGGCTCTGGCAAGTAATAGTACAAACTGATGTAGGCAGTCCTGCAAATAAATTAGTGCCAAATCATTCTGGCTTTTCAAAATAATTACCAGGATTTCACATGGGACTAAGAAAAAAATGCAACTGTTCCAGCATCCCTCAGCTTTACTCTTTGCTAAGTCATGTTTCCAAATCAGCGAGCGATCTTGCGCTGCTTTGGGCATTCCATCTCTTTGCAAAAGCTTTTGGCGTGAACAAGCCTGAAGGAGCATGAAACTGTGCCCCAAAGGCTTCTCTTCTTTCTTGCATGAGTGGAACTCTGTGCACATTGCTTACGCGCCCTGGTTCCCCTCTCGCCTCCCAGGTGGGCTGCCAAGCCGCCAAGCTGCTGTACAGTATTAATTATTAGAACACATAAGCTGCAATCATAGCTTCAAATGCAAAGCTTTAATCAACTGCCGAGAAAAGCAAAGTTTGCATCACTCTTTGCTTACCTGCAACATTGTTCTTGAAGATTGATTTACCTTCACTGTATGCAATGCACACAATTATTATGACCTAGATCAGTGGTGGTGAACCTATGGCACGGGTGCCAGAGGCGGCACTCAGAACCCTCGTTGTGGGCACACATGCCGTTGCCCCAGCCTTGCTTCCCCGTGACCCCCTCCTCTCCAGCAGCCCCCCTGAAGGAGAGACACCCCTGAGTGTGGCCCACGTGGAGCAGCGCAGCCAAGGACATGGCATCCAGGCAGTGTAGACAAGACTCTGCCCTCACACCCCATCGTGCACAGTTGATGCTGCAGGGTGCGGGCAGAGGGCATGACTGCCATAGCACTCTGGGCTGTCTGGGCAATCTGCATCGGGCCCTGGAGGCAGTGAGTGGCCCTGTGGGCAGGTGGGGTGGGGGATGGGGCTGAGCGGGAGTGGGGCAGGGGATGGAGTGGGGGCAGGGCCAGTTTTTGGGCACTCGGTCTCTAAAAGGTTCACCATCACTGACCTAGATACTTGAGCAGCTTCAAAACTACCAGTAATTTTAACTTTAGAAGATGTTGCACTTTAACAAAAACCAACAATTCAATTATATAAAGGATTAAAATTAAAGTTAGTATTTGACCTGTAGAAAGAAGAATTAAATATCTAATTTTGAAAAATCAGTAAGTCCAGGTATTCTTTACGGTTCAGATTATAAACTCAACTACTGAATTAATTAAACATAGATATGTATACATTGTCATGGTTCTGACAGATGCAATTCTTCAAAGAACCTCGAGGCATTGTTTACCATAAGGAGTCTTTAATCAAAAGAGCATAGCTTCTGCATGTACTCGGTCAAGCTGAAATCTGGATTCCTCTACCCTATGCATACAGTATCAAAGCACAGTTCCTCCCTCTAATTAACCGTCATAAATCACATTCTCCAATTAGTTTGAATTGTAAGATTTCCCTCCTGTTTAACAACCAGCCAAATTCTTATCTTATTTCAAAGCAGTCTTGAGAGGCAGTCTTCCTGCTCCCCTGCCCAGCATCAACTAATTCTAACTCTAAAAGTAACACACAAGTTAAAGAAACAAAGCTACATCTCCCTATGTTGTCAAGCCAGAACATCCGATGTTAGCAGCATTGACATACATATTATATTGATCTATCCTTGTTTATTAATTGGGTTGCGGGGGTTAAATTTAGTTCATTTAAGCACTATATTTACTATTTATTTCTTTACCCTATTATCACTATTTAAACTTTATCTCTTCTTCTCTATTTCAGTAATTTTAATACTTAAAAGCAATAAAAGTCCAATGGCAACGACTCAGTTGCAGCAGTCTTCTTGCTCCAGCAAGTCTAACAATGGCTCTCTGTGCTCTGACCTACGTGGAGACCTCTTCTGCATCTCCTCTGTCATCCTGACCAGTCAAAGTCAATAGCAGCAGGGATATCACTATATTGGTTAGGCTGTAAAAAAGCAACTCACTCATGAGCCTCAAAACCACTGGCCCATCCTAACACTCTGATATCCAGAAGATTTTTGGAACAATGGGGTTTAAATGGCCAGGTTTTGCTTGGAGAATGAAACAGAAACAACATGTTTTACCTTGAGCTTTAAACAAAAATTCTTAGAACACGAGTGTTTTGAGCGTGGAAAAATGTTGAGCTTAGAATATTTTGCACATTCTTAATCTTGGACTACAGCTTTTCAATGAGGAGGCTGCCTTAGTAATAGTGGTTGAGTTCATAAAATCACTGCTTAGAACAGATGCAGACCTATGAATCCCAATGAGCATTGGGCAGTCTTCAAACAAATATACATTTTACTACTTTATTCTAATAATGCCAGATATGAGCCATCAAGAGCAATTCTGATCATGGCAACATAGAAATATGTTGATAGATAGACAGATAGACAGATAGATAGATAGATAGATAGATAGATAGATAGATAGATAGATAGATAGACAGACAGACAGACAGACAGACAGACAGATGCTACTCAAATCAGATGGTACTATGAAGATCTTCCAGGTTACTAATTGTGTTTATTGCAAGACTAAATTAAAGCCTTTGGGATGTCTAATTGCTGATATTGCCATGCAGGAAAGACAATCTGAAGCTGCAAAGAGAGTATTACAGTGGGAATTTGGAACATAAGAAAATAATGTTTAGGATCATACAGCACAGATTATAGACCTCTATAGGAAATGCCAGATGATCATGCTGGGTTTAGAAAAGGTCAAGGAAAAAAGACATTATTCTGCTATAAACTGGATAATTGAGAAAGCCAAAGAATACCAACAGAATATGTGCTTCAATAATTCTAAGACTCTCAATTATATCAAGCTGCAGAACGTGCTCAGAATGGGAATTTCAAAACACTGTATTGTCCTCATGCATGTGCATTGGTTTTGCAAAGTCCCACTGAACATAGTGAAAAAAGCCTGACTCCTGGTTAGCAAAGGCTGCATGTGTACTCTCTCCTTATTTATTCAGACCATATGCTGAATATATATTGAGGGAAGCAGACTGGAAAAAGATGAGTCAGGTTTTGGAACTGGAAGAAGAATCAACATGTGCTGTGCTGATGACATTACTCTGAGGGCTGAAAATGCAAATAATCTGCAAACTCTGGTGATAAAAGACAAGGAGCAAGGTGAAAAAAATTAAATATAATTAAGATTAAATTAATTGCAATAAGTACAGCAATCAGTCTTAGAATTGAGAATACAGATATTCAAACAGAAGATAGATTTTGCCTTTTAACTATCTACTATTGAGACTAAAGGAAGAAAAGGGCCACAGACTAGGACTTGGTACAGTAGTGATGAAGGACTTACAGGCCCTTGGATGCCAAATTCAGGCTACAAAAATCAGAATCATGAACTCAATGTTTTTTCTTGTGACAGTCAATGGAAGGAAAAAACTGAACTTTGAAGAAAGAGGATAGGAAAAGTATTAAAGGTATTAAATTTCAGTTTTGTAAAAGACTCCTGAAAATACCATGGCTGGCCAAGAAAACAAAAAATAGATCATTGAACAAATCAACCCATAGTTCTCATTTGATGCACAACCAAATGACCAGGCTTAAATTATAATCTTTTGGACACAATATGTGAAGACCTGGCTCTTTAGAGAAGTCGACAATGTTGAGAAAAGTAGGAAAGAAAAAAGAAGATACATAACAACAAGGCATATAGATAAGTGGTTATGGGTGCACCATTGGAAGATCAGAAGGACCAGTTGCTGACAAGATTGTCAAGGAGAAATCTGTCTATGTTGTCATTAAAGTCAACACCACCTTGACAGCATATAGCCAATTTTGAGGGCTTTGAGCGAAGATTGTTTTAAGAGGCAATGGGATGAACTAATCCCTAGGAGGGTCAAGTTCAGATGTACCATCTGTCATGGTACTTTCTGCCAAGATATTTTACACACACACACACACACTGACACACAAAAACATCAAATTTAGAAGCCACCCAATTCACTGACAGGCAATTCTAGGTGGCATAAAAGTTAAACATGAAAACCGTATACTATACATAAATGTATATAACCTGTATATAAAACTTCCCTATAAGATTATGGAAGTGGCCTGCCATTCCCGCCTTCCTAGGGTTGAGAGAGATTGACTGGCCTAAGATCTTCCAGCTGGCTCATGCCTAAGGAGGGCCTAGAACTAAAAATCTTTCAGATTGTATCCTGGTGCCTTAAACACTAGGGCTGGGCTAAACTGATTCTCTTAATTCTCTCTGCGAGCCTCAAAGTTTGCCAGGACAGATTTGCTGTTTCATTTCCAATTCTTTAACACCAGCAAGACCGATCAGCAGCCAATGAGCAAATTAAGTTTGGAAAAGCGGCGATATGAGAGCAGAGCTCAGGACTGGACCTATGCGACCCCTAACCACCACCACCATTCCCGGTCCTTCAGCTCCTGCTTTCACTCTTCATTTTATTCTCTCCTTTAATCTAACTTTAGTGGCTACTGTTACTCCAAAAGCCAAGACGGGTCACTTCGAGTCGCCTAACTCTGGACTTTGCGGCTCAGACTGCCGGCCCCCCCCCCCTCCCGTCTCTGCCTCGCCAGTTATTTGCGCCTTCCCAAAATGACAAGCCTCCCCACGGGAGGCGAGCAAAGCCAAAGGCCAAGAAAGGACGGCCAAGTCCCGGAAGTCTCCTCGACGGATCCCGACGACCGAGGCGGGAGAAAAAAGTAAGCGCCACAGCCGGTGGGGGGGGGGGGGTATGGCGGCGGTTGCATGAGGGCAAGGGCTTGCGTGAGCTCCGCCCGACGGCCTCTCCCCGTGCCCGCCCATGCTGCTTCCGCCTGGGCTGCGGAGCGCCATGCGGCCGACAGTTGAGGCCGTCCTCTTCCTTTTCCTCCTCCTCCTCCTCCTCTCCCTGGGCGGCCGTCGGAGCCCGCGGTGATGAGAAGAAGCGGCAGCGCTTGAGTGCAGCGGCGACCGGCGTGGGGAGCTGAGCCGAATTGCGCGCCCTGTCCCGAGAGCTCCGGCGGAGGAGAGAAGATGCTGCTGTCGTTGGTGCTGCACACTTACTCCATGCGCTACGTGCTGCCCGCCGCCGTGATGATGGGCACCGCGCCGACCTACATCCTGGCCTGGGGGGCCTGGCGGTTGCTCTCGACCCTGCTGCCCGCCCGCTTCTACCACCAGGTGGACGACCGGCTCTACACCATCTACCAGAGCATGGTGCTCTTCTTCTTCGAGAACTACACCGGCGTGCAGGTGAGGGCGGCTCGCGGGCTGGGCTGGGGGACTCCATTCTCCCGCTCGACCCTCCAAGTCCGCCCGTCCCTGCAACTGGTTTGGGCAGAGGGGGCAAAAAAGGGCCGGGGAGCAAATGGAGATAGGTCCCTCTGCAGGCTTCCCGGCCCGAACAAAGGAGCCGGCAGGGGAGGCTTTGGGGGCCTGGTTGAGCTGCGACCTCCCAGGGCAGAGTCGGGGAAAGGCAGAACCCTCATGTGTGCTCAGTTCCGACTCAGCAGCATTGCAAATATTGACAAGTGGAAGAAAGCGAGTCTTGGCCTCGCGTTGCAGGGTCCTCTTCGGCACCGGGGATAGAGGAGTATTTTTAGATGATGAGGTCTAATTTCTGCAGTGGACACAGCTCTCCCTCTCTCACTTCCCAAAACATAAAGGAGGGAGGTGCCTGTGCAAGATAGCAAATACAGCAGCTGCCTGCTTCTAGGTCTTCCTGCCATTTTTTTGTGTAGCATAAAACTAAGGCCCAAATATCATTGATGCACCACAGAGGAAGGACTGGTTTGCTTTTCAGTCTTTGAACTTTGTCACTTTCTCCTGCCCAGAAAAGAGACAATGGATCAGAAGTAATGGACTGCAAAAATGTTGGTGTACATAAGTTATGTTGTACAGTACTCAGAATCACTTGTTGAGGTGGGTTGCTATAGAAATCAAATAATAAATAATCTTGATTCTAGTTGAGTGATTGTTGCCCCTGATCAGGACTGGGCTGGCTGGCAAAAAAGATAGGGAAGTGAGCAAATGCAGAGGTATGTGCCTAAAAATCTAAGTTCCTTCCTTCTGTCCAGATTGAGAACCCTATTTTCCTTTGACTCACTGAATATCTCCACAATAATCTAGTTAGAGCAGTCTGGTATGTGGTGTACATGCAGGTTTGGAGTTTGAACCTTAGAATATATTTTTGTTAGATTTATATTTCACATTTCATATAGTAAACTCAACACTTGTTCCTAAAGATTTTCTGCACAATCTGGTTGAGCTGATGCCTGAATTAGCAAAGTATCATTCTGAAGAATGCTACTCCACTCAAACTAATAATAATAATAATAATAATAATATAATAATAATAATAATATAATAATAATAATAATAATAATAATAATAATAATAATAATAATAATAATAATAATACATAAATTGGAAGGGATCTTGGAGGTCATCTAGTCCAACCCCCTGCTCAGGCAGGAAACCCTATACCATTTCGGACAAATGGCTGTCCAGTCTCATCTTAAAAACCTCCAGTGTTGGAGCATTCACCGCTTAAGGAGGCAGGTTGTTCCACTGGTTAATTGTTCTGTCAGAGAGTTTCTCCTTAGTTCTAGGTTGCTTCTCTCCTTGATTACTTTTCATCCGTTGCTTCTTGTCCTGCCTTCAAGCGCCTTGGAAAATAGCTTGACACCGTCTTCTTTGTGGCAGCCCCTGAGATATTGGAACACTGCTATCATGTCCCTCCTCGTCCTTCTCTTCATTAAACTAGACATACCCAATTCCAGCAACTGTTCCTTATATGCTTTAGCCTCCAGCCCCCTAATCATCTTTGTTGCTCTTCTCTGTACTCTTTCTAGAGTCTTAACATCTTTTTTACATCGTGGTGACCAAAACTGGATGCAGTATTCCAAGTGTGGCCTTACCAAGGCATTGTAAAGTGGTATTAACACTTCATGTGATCTTGATTCTATCCCTCTACTAATGCAGCCTAGAACTATATTGGCTTTTTTGACAGCTACAGTACACTGTTGGCTCATATTTAAGTGATTGTCCACTAGAACTCTGAGATCCCTCTCACAGTTACTACTATTGAGCAATGTACTCCCTATACTATACTTGAGCATTTGGTTTTTCTTGCCTAAATGTAGAACCTTACCATTTTTGCCGTTGAATTTCATTTTGTTAGATAGCGCCCAGTGTTCAAGTCTGTCCAGATCCTCCTGTCTTCTGGAGTGTTGGCTATTCCTGCCAGCTTGGTGTCGACTGCAAATTTGATGAGTTCCCCATCTATCCCCTCATCCAAATCGTTGATGAAGATGTTGAAGAGCACTGAGCCCAGAACAGAGCCCTGGAGAACCCCACTACACACTTCCCTCCATGTAGAACTACTATTCTTTTTGCTTTCATTTTGATATCACTAATAGAATTGTCTCCAAAAGCAGTTTTTGGGCACAGGGGTTTTCTTTAATTAAGCTAAATGTAGAAAGGTTTTTTTCCTCAAAAATGATTTTAAAAGTTTCTCCCCATTTTTTCAGAGTAAATACATGTGCTGAATAATCTGAATTAAACGCCATTAAATTTTTAATATGTATATGATTTATTAAAATACTTTCCTGTTACATAGCATCAGCAACAGGTTTAACTTGCTTTTAACTGACCCTTTAACTTTTTGTCTGCTTGTGTACAGAACTGTTGCAAGCAGCTGCTGGAGAGGAGCTACAACTTTTGATTACAACTTGCGTTGCATTATTCCAGTGTTTCCCAAACTTGACAATTTTAAGGCATGTGGACTTCAACTCCCAGAATTCCATAGCCAGCAATTATTGCATTATTCCATTCCCACAGACTCCGTTGTAGTTTTAATGAATAATTTTAATTTCATCAAATTAAAATTCTTAGTTGTCAACAAATTTCAATTATTTATATTGCAAAGATGCAGTGTAAAGTGTTCAAAGCTACATAAACATTGATGTCGATTCCTCATAGTTTGTTATGTGCTTGGATTGCAATGATTTCAAATTGCAAGTGGGGAATTACATGACTGAAATTACTCTTGTTCATCAAAAAAACAAAATATAACACACAAACACCTAGCATGTCAGTAAGTAGTATAGGAAAGAGTTCTATTTCTTACATTTTCCCCCATACATTTAGAACTCGTGTTTTTTGATTATGATATAACCCCACCTAAATTATGAAGTAGTATGAACTGCTTATCTCTAAAAAAACAGCTTGCATGCTCTGTTGGTGCAAGTGATACTTATATAAATGAATTTAACTAAATGCCATGGTAATGAAATTGTACATCACTTTCTACATATGTTAGACTCTTCCTGAATTTGCATAATATACTGAGATGCAAACTACAGCATATTATGTGAACATGATCATATATGCCACTGTTACAAAGAACAATGTCATTGGAAACAAAAGAATGAGCCTGTTCTGAAGGGGTTTTTTTGGGGGGAGGAAGGATTTGGAATATATGATAGTGAGAAAGCCAGTACATGGGTAGGCAATAGTACAGGGGTAGGCAATCTTGGCTCTAAGCTAGTACAGGGGTAGGCAATCTTGGCTCTTTTATGACTCGTGGACTTCAACTCCCAGAATTCCTGAGCCAGCCATGCTGGCTCAGGAATTCTGGGAGTTGAAGTCCACGAGTCATAAAAGAGCCAGGGTTGCCTACCTTTGGTCTAGTAATTAAGGTACCAAGCTTGAAGCCAGGAGATAGTGAGCTCTAGTCCCTCCTTGGGCATGAAGGTCAGCTGGGTGATTTGGTGCCAGCCATGCTCTCTCAGCCCAATATACCTTACAGGGGTGTTGTAGGGAAAGGAGGAGGAAGTGGAAAAATGTGAGAAGGAGTATTGTGTATGTTTGCCTCCTTGAATTTTCATAATAAAAATGATGGGGTAATTTTTTTTTTTAAAGTCCCACAGCCTCATTAGGATGTTTCATGGAAGCTGTTGTTTCTTTTTATTTATTTTTTCTTTGTATCTATATTTTCTCCCTGCCAACTAGGAGAGGGCTTTTCAACCTTTTCACAGATTGTACCACTTTTAGGACATGACAATATTCGAGTACCACCAGTCCTTAGCAAGTTGTCAAAAATGTGATGACTTAAAAAAAGGAGAGGGGATTTGGGGCTTTACTGGTTAGATTCATTTGTTGTTATAGAAATGGCTAGTTTATAATATTATGGAAAAATAAAAAGTTGAGGTTCAGTGTTAATGCTTCCTTCCTGCTGTAACAGTGGAACTCAGAAGTCAGTGCCTTTTCTTTTTCCCTTCTCCCCCTTACTATTCCCTTTTTCTCTCACCCTTCACTCGCAAGCCCCCCTCACCCTTTGTTCACACAAGCTTCTTTGTTGCTCCATTCACTCACACTTTGCTTGCAAAAGCTTCTCTCGTTTTCATTCACTCACACATTGCTCACACAAAGCCGTAGCTTTCTTCTCTTTCTCCATGTATTTTTTTCTCTCCCTCTCCCGCCAAAACCTGCTCCTCCTCTCTCTGCCCTCTGAGTGCGCCAGAAGCTCCAACCAGCTTGTAGCTGCACGGACAGGTCCTGGAGCTTCTGCTGAGCCCTGCAGCTCCAGCTGATCTCCTCCAGGCCTGCGCAGTACTACTTTAGCTCATTCCTTCCCCTGCTACACTGGGCTAGAGGCCATGTACCACCTGCCAGGTGCTAAAGTACCACCGGATGAAAAGCCCTGAACTAGGATATTAAAATTTTACAGGAAGCCCTCGACTTACAACCATAATGGAGCCTGCCCATTACAGTCACAAGTGGTCACAGCTGTTAAGCCAGACCAGCTCACTTACAGTCCTAATTTCTGGTTCTCCCTGATGCAGCCATTAAATTGTGGGGTACCTCAGGCATAAGGAAGTCCTGGCATGCTCTGGGCCTCCCCCACCCTCTGAGATACCCCATGCTCTGCTCCTTCCCCCTAAGGATCCCTGCAGGCATTTGGACATACTTTTCCCCTCTCGGGGTCCCCACATGCCTTTGGCCTACTCCCAGGGGACTGTTACAGGATGTAAGCCTTGGCCAGCTTCCCACTCATATACCGAAGGGAGCCTAAAGTCTGGCAGCCAAAGTTACTGGTGCATGGGGAGCTCCACTTGTTTGGAGAGGCTCCATTTGTTTGGGGAGCCTTTTTAAAGAATGGAGCGTCCTAGCACCTGGTTGCCATGAGCAACCTCTGTAGAAAAGCTGATCCTGGCAATGCATTGACTGGGCCCCCCTGCAAAAAAACAGAAATTTAACTTGAATGTTGCTGGGCCCTGAAGCTGACTGAGGAGCAGGCAGAGTCTTCCAAGTCCTTTGGGTGTTGGAGTGGGATGCAGGCTGAGACCTTTAAGCTGTAATAGCCCCTTGCAGGTTGGTAGCTTCTGTTACCTGGATTTAGGCTACCTTGGGTGACTGAGGTGGTTGGGTTGGGAGCAGGCCAAAAGCCTTTGGGGGTGGAGGGGGGTAAATAGGTTGAGGAGCATTGTAGCATCCCTGCAGTTGGTCATAAGAATGAGCAATTGTATGTGAGGGGAGGGATGCAGCAGCTATAACTTTGAAGCTGAGTTGTAAGTAGATTGTAGGGCATTACTAAAACCAGCAACATTTGTAACACTATAAATTTGTTTAGGCAGAAATATTTAGAATCAGCTGCTCACTTCAGGACTATTGCCAATAGGCAGGTGTGCCTTTTAGTAAGACCCTCAGGCAGATGTTATGTGGTCCCTTCACAGAGTAAGCTTGAATGATCTAAAGATCAAGTGTTTCTGCATCCTGTTATCCTGTGTCATTTTGGACTTGTCCCTTTCCTGTAGTATTTCCCCTTTCCCCCATTGGCATTCAACACTATCTTTCTATTTGTAGCCAAAGTATGAAAATTTCTAACAGCATGAGTAAATGTGTGTGTATGAGAGAGAGAAAAATGTGCTTTGAAGTCAGTATTCACTCCTGGAGTTTCCCTGCACTTTTCTTGGCAAGGTTTTGCATTGTCATTGCATCGTTCCTAGGCCTGAGAAAGAGGGACTGGTCCAAAGTCGCTCAGCTAGCTTTGCACCTAAGGCGGGAAAGCTAGAAATTGGGACACTGAACTGCACAGAGTTCCAGTTTCTAGCTTGGTGCCTCAAGCACTACTGTACACCAACTGACTTTTGGGGAAAGATAATTTGGATTACTTTGATAGTACTGGTTTTCTTTATCAACATGCAAACATCTATCCTTTAGTTTCAGCATGAGGGAGACTATAATAAGAATTGTATCACATTTACTCTTGGGTTACCTTTATTATCCCTTTAAATGTTTGTAATGAGAAAGAAACTAGAAATTTGTTTGGGATGGTTAGAGTGCTAAAGAGCAACAAGATTAAGCTTCTCTAATTAATCCATTTACAGAGGAACTGATCAGGCATTCCAGTTTATTTTGCATGAGTTAGCATTTTCAATCGTTCTTATTATACATTGGCGACAATTTGAATATCCAAGTTATATGGTAACAGTAAGAGCCTATCTTTAAGAATTGTTAATAAATGTAATAGCAGTACAAGGTGGCTTAACTATAAAAGCATACACCTCATAACTTTTGCAAAAGAAGACATGATTTTTAAAATGTTTTCATTTAAAACTATGTCGAAGCATAGAATAAGCCTGTCAGCGCCTTTGCTTTTTTAGTTTCAGACTCTTGTGTTTAAACGTGGAGTAAAATGCCACATAATTTAAGCAGTGGATCAATGATGCACTGAGATGGAAAAGGGAATCTTAACAATAATTAACATTATTCTTCTTTAAAAGAAAAAAACAAAATTTGACATTTGATTTTAAATTTATTTTTATATAATTAGGCTAACTAAGTACTTTTTCTCCCTCCCTAGATAATTCTGTATGGTGATTTGCCCAAAAGTAAAGAGAATGTGGTATATATATCAAATCATCAAAGCACAGGTTTGTATATTGCTGGTTTCTTTATAAGGAATTTTATGTAATGTTAACAATTATGAATGAATGATATGGAACTGCAGTAGTCCTGCCTTAAAAACTATAATTGGGACTTGAGTTTTACTCATTGAGATGAGATGCCCATGTGTCTTCACTGCTTCACTGACAACCGCAATTCCATCATTCTCTATTGCAATCATTAAACAATTTTACGGATTGTTAAGTGAATGCAGTCCCTCGCCATGCTTGTGGAAGGATTTTCGCTTCATATATTCATGGTTCTCCAGCACTGGAGATGGATAATCCACGCAGTGGGTTGAGACTGTATTCCTGGCCAATCAGATCAGTCAGCCAAAGTTGCCACGCCCCGTCTTGGACCATGATCCTTCAGTCTTGACTGATCTGGCCATGCAGAGACATCTACAACTTTTGGCTCCTGGGCAGGTATAGTTCCTTTCCATTAGGGGGGATTTTTTCTAGTAGCTGAAATTGCTTAGTTTAAAAGTTAATTAGAGATAATTTAATTCAATTTAATTGACCACTCAAAAATTTCCTTGCTAAATTGTAAAACTCAGGAAGTCAGATTCCTACGGGGAAACCACCCCCACTTAAAAGGGGGAAATCCCTAACTCCCCTCCCTAACCAATCCCAGCCACCTTCCAGCAGCCGGCAGCCGCCTTAAACAAACGGGGAGGCTCGGGCAACCCCTTGCGTTTAAAACAAACAAACAAACAAAAAAAAAAGACAGAAAGGCAAGCAGTTAGCGAGGGAAGCGGAGGACAAAGGGGACGCATGCTGGGAGGGAGATTGATTAAGGGAAACAGCTGGCGTGCGAAGGAGCAGTCTTTTCACTCCAGGCTGCTCAGGATTTTTTAAACGAGGCGCCATTGTCTGCACAGCTGGAAGCACGCGCAGCTCTTTGTTACAACCGCACGTGGCATAGGCAGCCTTGTTAACACATGCGCAGTAGTTTCCTGGCAGCGGCGGCCATATTTTTTGTCCAAACAGGGGAGTTAAAGTTCCTTAAGAAAGCTAGGTTCAGCCGCTGGAGTGAATTAATAGGCAAGCAGTACTGGGGTACTAAAGCATCTATTATTCATTCAGAGACATTCAAATCAGACACATAGCTACTGGTTCCAGGACTTGCTGTCTTCTACCTAAAGTAAATAAGAACCTTTCATTACTAACTGTGTTTAGTTGCCTTTGGCTCCTTCCAGACTTCGGGTCCCCCATTAGTGGCCCGTACGCCTCTGGATTTAGTGGTGGGTCCCAGGCATCCCCAGTCGCGTGCCTGTCCTTACCCACCATAGTCAAGCCGGGTTCCAGGCATTCCCATTAGCGTGCCTGTTCTTATCCGTGCACAGTGACTAACTCTGACAATTTGGCAGAGTCTGCTCCTGAGTTCCAGACGCCCCCAGTAGTGCGCCTGTCCTTACTCAAAGTTGGAGCTCTCCTACTACCTGGGTCCCCCCTATCGCGGCCCAGCGTTAGTGGAGAATGGAGGAAGCAATCATTCCCTCCACTGGAGCCCCGCCTTCATCCTCTGGAGCACCTGCTTCAGAGGATTCGGAATCCTCTGCAGCCCCTAGAAAGGCTGCAAGGAAGTCATCAAAGAAGGCTGACAAACAGGCAATCAGAAGACACCAAGCCCTAGAAAAAGAGTTCGACAGAGCCCAGAAAAGGGCCAGAATTGAAAATAGGCAGAATGGGGGAATAGGTCCTGATCTACCGCTGGGTCTCCCTTCATCCCCACGGGCCATTTGGTCATTAGGGAGCTCATCACAGTCCCAAACAGAGGGTGGGATAGGCGAATTCTCATCGCTCTCCCGATCCCCCTCCCCACGGAGGTTACAGGAAACCCCGAGGACCATGCTAACCACAGCACCTGCAGGGTCGCAGGCAATGGTCACTCCTCCTGCATTGACGGGGGATCTGCTAGCTACCCTAATAGCACAGGCAGTGGACCGTGCATTTGAGGCCAGGGCTCAAACTTCAAAAGCCAAGTCTCTAGGACTTAGAACGAGGCATCGGGAGGAAACGGAGGACCATCAGGACCTCTCCTCCGTCTCAGACTCGTCGGTCTCTGAGGAAGCTTACCTGGACCAGCCAGGTACGTCACAAGGGATTCAAATGTCTGAGGAGGAGGAGGACACCTCACCTCACGGGCCGTCCTTCAGCGGCCTGTTTAACCCTTCTCTTTTTGTTACTATTCTGCGCAAGGCTGCGGCCACAGCCCATCTGGGGCATGGGACACCAGCGGAGCCTGTCACAGTTGACACGGAGGCTGAGCCGACGTTCGCCGAAAAGGTAACCACTCAACACCGCATACCATGCCCGACCATGTTCCTAAACACAATAAGGAAACAGTGGGCAGCGCCAACCTCCCTACCGCTTCCTAGCAATGCGGAGAGGAAGCTATTTAACGTAGCAAGGGAGCTAGAGGGAACATTGGAGGTGCCGGTGGTGGACGAACCCATAGGTCCCCTGATATCGGACACGGCCATATCAGGAGATTTTGCTGAGGCTCTTAAAGCCGAGGACCGAAAGAGTGAGTCCAACTACAGGAGAACGCACCAGGCAATAGCTTGGGCTACCAGGGCATCTACCTCCGCATCCTTTTTCACCAGAGCCACACTTCGTTGGCTCCGTGAGCTACAGGGCCGGGTTCCCATGGAAGATATACGCACTCATCAGGAACTCAGCAAAATGGTAGCGGCCACGGAATATGCGTCGGATGCAACACTTTTAGCGACCAAGTTTTCAGCCAAGGCAATGGCGGCAAACAACACGAGCAGGCGCATCCTCTGGCTAAAGAACTGGCAGGCGGATACCAAATCCAAGTGGAAATTGGCTTCGGCTCCGTACCAAGGGGCAAAGCTGTTTGGTGAGGCACTAACGCCATACCTGACAGAGAACAAGGACAAGCGCAAGGTCCTTAAACACATGCTTAAAAGGCAGGACAAGAGACCCGGCTCCTGGGGAAGGAAACAATCCTTTCGTACGGAAGCCAGGGTCAACTACTTTCAAAATTCCCAACCCTTCCAAGCTAGACAGGATAGGGAAAGACAGGGGGACAGACAGAACACAAGACATAGGCAAACACAGGGAAGACGGCCCTTTCGGGGGAACAACCGCCCCTTCCGCCGTACCAGATGACTCCCGCCCAGACCTTCCCATAGGGGGCAGACTAGCAGGGTTTGCTCCCCAGTGGGAAGAGACCACCACGGACGTATGGGTCAGGAACACCATACGTCATGGTCTATCTCTAGAATTTCTCTCAAAGCCCCCGAACCGCTTCCGCCCGTGCCCCTGTCCCACAAACCCAACAAAGAGAAGGCTCATGAACGAGGCCGTTCAGCACCTTCTAAACATACGGGCCGTAGAGCCGGTGCCTATGAACCAGAGAGACCAGGGGTTTTATTCTATCCTCTTCGTGGTCCCAAAACCCTCGGGGGGTTGGAGAGCCGTTTTGGATTTGAAAAGGCTAAATTTCTACATAAAATACCGCAAATTCAAAATGCAGACACTACGCTCCATCCTTGGAAGCGTAAGGAAAGGGGATTTTCTGGCATCGATCGACCTCACGGAGGCATACTTGCACATCCCTATCTCTCTGGCTCACCGCCGCTTTCTACGGTTTGCCTACAGGGGGCACCATTTTCAATACAGGGCACTTCCATTCGGCCTGTCATCAGCGCCCAGGGTGTTCACCAAGATTCTGGCGGTTCTGGCAGCACAACTAAGAAACGTACCAGTCAGAGTCCAGTGCTACCTGGACGATATTCTAATCCAGTCATCGTCCGCCCAGCAGTCTCGGGCGGACCTAAAGTTAGTGATAAAAATGCTGCAGGACCACGGCTTCTCGGTGAACTTTCCAAAGAGCCATCTAACCCCAACTACGAGAATACTCCACCTGGGAGCGGTCATAGACACAAAGGAATGCAAGGTGTACCTATCACAGGAACGCCTCAGCAGCATAAAGAAAGCCGTAAAACAGGTAAGCCGCGGTCAGTCAGTGACGCTGGTCTGCCTCTCCCAGCTGCTAGGGAAGATGATATCGACCATAGCAATAGTTCCTTGGGCAAGGCTGCACTCAAGAGAACTGCAATGGTTCATGCTCCCGTTTCAGAGACAACAAATCAGTGCATCCCGGAAGAGGGTAGGCATACCTCTGAGAGTACGACACTCCCTCAGGTGGTGGCTATCTCCAGCTCTCCTCAGGGGGTCCCCCTTCAGGGAACCAGACAGAGTAGTAGTCACAACAGATGCGAGCTTATTCGGCTGGGGAGGCCACTTGGGGACCAAGTGGACACAGGGCCGCTGGTCAGCGGTGGATCTCCGACACAACATAAACTGGCTCGAGCTGCGGGCTATTCACCTAGCGTTAAGGCATTTTCACAGCAGCATAAAAGGCAGGCACGTACTGGTCCTGACGGACAACGTGACAGCCAAGGCCCACATAAACCGTCAGGGGGGCACACACTCTCGCTCGCTCTCGGCCGAGGCCCTCCTACTGGGGGCCTGGGCGGAACAAAATCTGGCCTCCATAAAGGCCGACCACATATCGGGGGAGGCAAACATCCAAGCAGATCTGTTGAGCAGATCAACAATAGATCACTCGGAGTGGCAACTACACCCAAGGATCTTCAGGGAGGTCTGTCACCGCTTCGGGCTTCCCCAGGTGGACCTTTTTGCCTCTCCTTCCAATGCCCACCTAACTCGCTTCTTCTCCCGATTCCCATCCAAGGGAGCAGAGCAGACGGACGCGTTACGGAGCCCATGGCCAAGGGGGCTCCTGTACGCGTTTCCACCCTTACCTCTCCTTCCGGCGGTAGTACGCAAGATTCTGCGGGAAAGGGCCGAGGTAATCCTTGTGGCCCCTTATTGGCCAAGGAGACCTTGGTTCGCAGACTTGAGGAGTCTCTCCCGCACGAATCCATGGCGGATTCCTCCGGAGAGGATCTCCCTCAAGCAGGGGGAGATCTCCCACCCAGAGCCACAATGGCTACAACTAGCCGTCTGGCTCTTGAACGGTCAATTTTAGCCAAGGGGGCTTGCTCACAGGGTGTAATTAGGGTCATACAGGCATCAAGGCGCCCCTCCACGAACCGTATCTACGAGGCCACGTGGAGAAGCTTCCAATCATGGTGCTCTAAACAGGAAGTGTTACTCGAAGGGATCACAATTCCCAAGATCCTAGAATTTTTACTAGATGGCCTAGAGAGGGACCTCTCGCCAAACACACTGCGCAGGCAAATCGCCGCCCTCTCAACTATACTTTCTGCCAGCCCCGGTGAATCCTTGGGCAAGCATCCCTTAATACGATCCTTCCTCAAGGGGGCTGCAAACATCAGACCGCCAACCGTGCACAGGTATCCATCGTGGGAACTACCACGAGTACTACAAGCTCTTACCAGAGCGCCCTTCGAACCACTCAAAACATGTGACATTCGCTATCTGACCCATAAGGTAGCATTCTTGGTAGCCATCACGTCAGCTCGGCGGATATCCGAGTTAGCTTCTCTCTCAATGAGGAAGGACCTGTGCCATTTTCACAGGGACAAGGTAGTCCTAAGAATAGACCCTTCATTCATTCCAAAGGTCAACTCCCTTTTTCACAGATCACAGGAAATAGTCCTACCAGACTTCTGTCCAAACCCAGCTCATCCCCTGGAACAACAATGGCACACCTTGGACGTACGCAGGGCACTAAGACATTACATTTCACGCACAGCGGAATTCCGACGCTCGGAAGCGCTTTTCATATCCTTCCACCCTGCTACTAGGGGCCGGAAGGTCTCGTCCTCTACCATCGGTAGGTGGATTAGGGCATGCATCACGGGGGCATACCAGGCGGAGTCCTTGCAAGTCCCCAAGCATATCACAGCCCATTCCACAAGGAGTGCTGCCACCTCAGCAGCATGGGCCATGCAGGCTTCTATTGAAGAGGTATGCAGGGCAGCCACTTGGGCCTCGCCCTCTCCATTCATTCGTCATTACAAAATCGACAGGTACTCCTCTGCAGAGGCCTCCTTCGGTAGGAGGGTTCTCCAGCAGGTGCTAGACCAAAGTTGCACACGGGACCAGTCTATTCCCCAGCCCAAGGGACAACAGGCTTTGGTATGTCCCACTGCGTGGATTATCCATCTCCAGTGCTGGAGAAGGGGCGTTGACTTACCTGAACACCTTTTCTCAGCACGGAGATGGATAATCCACACCCACCCTTATAGACTAGAATAATAGGGTATATTTAGTGGAGCCAAAACGTCTTACTGTCAGTCAATGGCTGCGCTCGAGTCAAGACTAAAGGATCATGGTCCAAGACGGGGCGTGGCAACTTTGGCTGACTGATCTGATTGGCCAGGAATACAGTCTCAACCCACTGCGTGGATTATCCATCTCCGTGCTGAGAAAAGGCGTTCAGGTAAGTCAACGCCCCATTTCAGCTGCTGAGGCTGAAGCAGAGATGAAGACAGGCATTCTCCTTTCTTGCCTCTGCAGAGCTCTCTGCAGATCCAAGAAGGCATAAAACAGCACATTCAACTCTCAGAGATGAGAGGGTGCCAAGAGGTAGCACTTTGCAACCTTCTTGCCAGCTTCCTCATTGACTTTCTGTGGAGGCTGAGAGGAAAGATTGCAAGTGGTGATCACATGATCGTGAGGTGCTTGACAACCAGTCATAAGGGCGAACAAGTTGCCAAGCAATCAGATTGTAATCACATGATCACCTTTTCTGAGGCGTTCGTAATTTCAAACAGTCATTGAGCAAGGACTATCTGTATGCAGAACTAACATTCAGATTAAAATGTCGATAATTGAATATTTGGGTTACCTACTAATTTACTCTATTTGTAAGATATGGTAGAGGCTTGATTTTTTGTACAATATGGTATAAGCCTGATTTAAAAGGGCAAGTTTTCTACATACAATGAAGCTTTTAAAATTCTTCTTGGCAAATTCAGGCTCATATCTTTCCTTTGGTGCTCCTGCAAGATGAGATATCTAATTTCCTCCAGTTCCTTAGTGAATTGAATTGAATAGCATCATATTCATTTAAAACTTTTCTGTTGAAAATTAAGAAATAAATGGAGAATGGAAAGGTCAAAGCCTAAAAAGAGAAGGAATAGAATTTTGAAAAGAGCTTATTTTACTTTGTAACTGAAAAGCTCAATTCATGATCTTTAGCAGCATTTGTTTTTTGTGAAAGAGAATTGGCATTGTGAATGCCAATATGTATTATATTTATAAACATTTGTGTTCTGGGTTTGCAGTTGATTGGATTATAGCAAATATGTTGGCCATCAGGCAAAATGCTCTTGGACATATTCGATATGTTTTGAAAGACGGATTAAAATGGCTTCCTTTGTACGGGTGGTATTTTTCTCAGGTAAATCTTAATTCTGTTTCTGTATTTTTATTTGTTTGTTTATTTATCATATTTATATAGCTGCCCATCTCATAGAAAAGTGATTGTACATGGCGTACAACAAAAACAATTATATTTATTAATAGCAAGCTAGTTGAGAAAAAAACATTACAAACATTGCAGCTCTTTATTTATCATAGAGTCACCCATCTCACAGAAAAGTTTGTAGTAGTGTAAAGTAGCTAGCAGTTGCTGCTTATTTTTTATACAATTGATTCTGCAAATATTTGGAAATCCCATTAGTTTCAGTAAAATATCATCCCCAGTAAAGGATCTCAATTAATGTGAATATTTTTGCCATAATAAATGGTTAAAGTTGCTACAATACTTTCATTGTGTTGCTAATGCCCTGAAAAATGCTAAATATTTCAATCCTAACTAGATTTACTTTGATTTAGAAGTAAACCACATGGCATTCATTATAGCCAGGCAAGTTGGCATCATTTACAGCCTAAGTAGCCACTGAACCACAATTAGAATTCCCATGTAAGAAATCAATGTTAACATTTATTTCATTAATGTCAGTGTCTGACACAGGTAATTCCTTGTCAATACCCCACCCTCCATTGTATTGTCTAGGTAATTATTTAAAATTTGGATGGAGCCTCACTTTTCAGGCAAAAGAAATAGGTTGATTCTGGACCTCTATGAACTTTTCACTGCTTAATAGTCTTAATACTTTGGAGCTTCGGCATACTGATAATTTTACCACATATTCCCATACTTAGAGAAACATTCTTTTGTCTAGCAACCATATAGAATCAACTGTCTTTGGGTTAAAAACTACATTTTTTCTGTTTCCTATTTTGTTTAATACAATAATATTGTAAAATAAAAACATAAAAGTCTGCATGTTCTTATCATTGCAAAAGTAAATTTAAGAGCATAGAAAGCTGCTTACTGTATAGCAGGTAAAATGCTGGTACATAAATTTTTATTTATTTATTCTGGAGTATAAAAATACTGTTTTATGAATCATTCAGAGTTACAAACATATTCAATTTGTTTATTTACTAGCATGGTGGAGTGTATGTGAAACGAAGTGCCAGATTTAATGAAAAGAAAATGAGGAACAAGTTGCATATCCAGATGAAAGCAAAAACTCCAGTAAGCTTCTTTATTTCCACTTTGTACAGTATATAAGTTCTCTCTTTTTTTCTCTCCCCCCATGTGTATGAGTTGTGTGTATTTGCGTATGATATTATCTGACACGAAAGTAAATTTCAAGAGTCAATTCATTTTTTTCAGAATCGAATGCTGCTTTAGACTTTCCTTCCAAAAAGTAAGGCGGCTGCTTTAAGCAGTTCTCTTCGTTTGGTTGCTGGAAGGATAAACACCTGTACCTTCCAGGAAAAGTTCTGGTATTAGGATGCAAAACTGTTTATATAGAAAAATTATGCTAAAGAAACTCAGTTTTTCAATATCTTGATAATTCTGTTGAGGGTTCATATATATATTTCCTTTAAACAACTCTAAGCAGCAGGATAGGTAGTCCTCGACTCACAATCACAGTTGAGATAAAAATTTTGGCTGCTAAATGTTGCAGTCTTTAAGCAAGTCATCACGTGATCAGACCCAATTTTATGACAATTTTATTCCTATTAAGAGAATTGCATGGCCGTTACGCCAATCACGTGGTAATTAAGCAAATCCAGCTTCCCCAACTGTCACAAATCACAAGATGCTGCAACTGTCCTAAATGTGAGCCAATTGCCAGGTACCCAAATTGTGATCATGTGACAATGAGGATGGTATGCTGATTGCAACTTCAACGATGGTCTGTAAGTCAACTTTTCCTGAGGTAGTTGTAACTAAACAAACAGTTGTAAGTCAACGTTGTAGTGCCAACCTATTAATGTAAGTTTATATTAATAAAAATAACAATTTAATAAATGATTGTATTTATTAAACAGCAAAGAGAATAAGAGTGACATTAAAGAAACAAAAAGAATAGTAGTTTCAATTTAGTTTTATTGTCCAAATAATTCATTATGAGATGGTAGTGTTAAATGAATTGAGTTTTGCTTTTGTGCAGCAAGTCTGGGTGAATTCTGTATTCTTTCACAAATTACATTTGTGGGACCTGATAGAAGCACAAAGTAATTGTGTTATGGTGCAGGGCTGGAAGAAAAATGAGACTTTTGACCGAAGCAACCTCATTGAAGCTCGGTCTTACAACTTGCTTGTAATTCAATTCTCAGTCTTAAGGCTGAACTGTTTAACTTAATAAAACTGTTTGTACACACCGACACACACACACACACAAACACACATTTATATATATTTAATTCCACAGATGTACCTTGTGATTTTTCCAGAAGGAACACGTTACAATCCAGAGCTGCCCAAAGTCATTGCAGATAGTCAGTCATATGCTGATAAGGAAGGTAAGAGAAATAAAGTAGATTTGAGATGAAAAGACAAGCATGACAGAGTTCCATTTATTTAAACTAGTTTTCTCCCACTTTTCTACTATAAAGCAGTTGTGAAGATAAAGTGAAACCAATAGATTACAAATGCTTTACTTGAAATCCACCGTCATGTGGCATACAACAAGCTGTTAGAGCCAGGATTTGGGAGGGTAGTCAGATCTACTGCTCTTCCCAAATGTTTTTAAAGCCCCACCTTATGATAGGGGTAGTGCAGTTGCCCTGATTCTAATAGCATTGATCAATGGCATTGCCTATTTCTGTCAAGCTGAAACCAGTTACCATATTTTCTGTAGCAATATCACTTTGAATAGTGTGAATTTGAATAAGGCGACCATTTCATAGGATTCATTAACTGCACTCATCAAGACCTACCTGTATTCCTAAACCTATCACTCTTAACAATTGGCAAATTTCTTTGGGCTAAGACTGAGAGATCCTCTCCAACCTATTCTGCTTATACCTCCCAGCCAATCTCTTTTCAAGCCTTCCAAAATTTCAAGTGCCTTGCATTGCCATTTTGAGAGACAGTTCTAATACCCAATCACCACACTGGTGTCATCACTGAATGGTCAAAGCAAGGTAGAATATTAAAAATAGCCCTCTGGAGCAGAAACAAAAGATAACGAGCAGATGGTTCTGGAAGCATAGACTGAAAGAAAGAATTTCTGAGTTGAGTTACAGTTTACTGGTTAAGATTGTATACAACACTGTATTTCCTGTAAGCTGCCTTGAGTCACTGTTAGCAAGTAGGCTGCAATATAAATTTTTCAAATAAAATAAATAACTAAATATAAAATGTCTAGAAGTTTATAAAAGAGGATATATAGGAAACTTGTTAGGGTTCGAAGAGCACATTTTGAGGAAAACTGGAAAAATATTTTTTTTCCAGTCTTGGAGTTGATAAAGTTGATTCAAAATTAATTTTATGTGCCATGGATGCAACACCTGACAATATTTTATATTCCTTTGCAGTTTTGGAAGGTGGTAGATTTATAACTAAATTGCATTCACATGTCACTTATTTATCATGTTCAGATTGGACTCTTTGGATGCATATTTTGTGTTCCATGATGAGGAAAACAATTGTGATGATTAGTTATTGAAGAATATTTTTACCACAACAGCTCTTTTTTTTCAGTAAGTAGAGAACATCTAGGTATCTTCTCACCAAATTAAATGTGTATTTTAGAGAGATATGGAGGCTTAACGGACTGCTGTAAATGCCATGAACTTAAATGCATTTTAGAATTATCCTTATGATTTACTGAATTGATCCATGATACTGGGTAGATATGTGATCATTTTGCTTAGGGATAAGAAAGAAAAATAAAAAGACTGGCTTGGGTCTAGAGAAAATCAGAATCAATGGCTTGTTTTAGACATGTCAACTGCAGGATCTAGAGATGTTACCATTTTCCTGGGCAACTTGAATCTTTTTCACTCTGCCTTTCCTCTTGGTTAGGTCTCACAGTATTGAAACATGTGCTTACTCCACGGGTGAAGGCCATTCATGTTGCTGTTAATTCAATTAAGAACTACTTAGATGCAGTTTATGATGTTACAGTAGCCTACGAAGGTACTGTGGATCATAAAGGACAAAGGAAAGTGGCACCATCCATGACTGGTGAGTAGGTGCTGTTGAATTACTTTTAAAAAACTTCTCTTGCCTGATTCAAGCTGGGAGAATCCACATCCTTCATGGAATGTTTACAACATTCAAGATGAACTTTTTTTGTGTCCCAAATGATATACGGTTGGGCTCAGATTTTTATTTGACTTCTAAGTTTTCAATTAAGGGCTCATTTCCATTTTAGGTTGTCTTTCTACTGGCCGGCAAATACATTTGCTTCCGTAAACTAGCATTTAACATGATTTGTTGCTGCACTGGATTTTAAACTGGGGAGGGGAGCTCTTTGTTCTTTTTTTCTTATGCACGTTTTTATATTTTAATTATATAGTTATATCATTTATATTTTGTTAACATATAGTTACATTAAGAACAGCACTTTACTTTTTAGTGTGCACAGGAAGACATAATTTGTGACTTCCGTGATCTGTTTCTCCTAACAGGGCAAGAGTGAGGCCTTACCTCTTATATCATAACAAGCATCACCACATGTGAGGCCAAATGTGTTTCAGATGGATTTAAGGAGGGGAAGGGCAGAAATAAAAGTGAAAATAGAACATTTCATCCACACAGACCAGGCACACTCATTGATTGACTATGTGCCACCAGGTCAGTGTCAACACTTAGCAACCACATCGATGGATATTCTCCAGGTTTTTCCGCCATGCATCCATCGTTGCTGTAATTGAGTCCACCCACCTTATTGCTACTTATCTTCTTTTTCCCTTTCCTTCCACCTTTCGCAGCATTAGAGCCTCCTGCAGAGAGTTAATTCTTCACAGAATGTGTCCCAAATGGGATAATTTGAACCTGGTCATTTTTGCCTTGAGTGAGATTTGTTCTGTGACCCATTTGTTTGTTTTCTGGGCTATTCATAGTATTCTCAGGAGCCTTCTCTACCATCAGATATGAAAAGCATTCAATGCTGTTTCTATCCTGCTTCTTCAAAATCCAACTTTCACTTCCATAGAGTATCACAGAGAAAACCATTATCTGCACACCTCTGATCTTTGACATCTGAATGTATTTTCCAAGCTTTCATTTCTATTCAACCAAGTCTAGTCTGTGGCATATTTCTTTATTGCTACTTCTTTTATTAGTGATAGTAGATCCAAAAGCCATCCACCACTTCACTGTCTTCTTTTGCAGTTCTAAGCCTATTGTCATTAGTTTGGTCTTTATATGTAATCTTACTCCTTTTTTGTCATCAGGCTGCTTGATTTTGTTATTGCAGATCACTGGCTATCTCAGCACTCAGAGTATAATATCATCAGCACAACACAATTATTGATGTTTCTTCCCCAAACCATTCTGCTTTCCTCTGCCCAGAGAGTCCAAATGCATTTTCCTCATCGATATTTCTAACATTGGCATTCTAGTCTTCGATCACAAGCTGCTATATCAATTTCAATTTAGATTTAATGTCCTATCCTATTCAAATTTAATGTGACCATTAAACTCATGAACATTCTCTACTTCCAGATCAGTGGTTGGAGCACAAGTTGAAATAATCAAAATAATGTATTGATCAGGTTCAAGAGTGGTCTGCAAAATCTAATTGATGTAATTGGTCAGTGATTGAATTGTAGCCAAATATCGTTCTTACTTTATTGTTTCTGACTGTGAAAATGCTGCTCTTCCTTTGTTTTTCATGTCTTGAGTAATACAGTGTAGGATCTCCTGAGAATGTTTAATTCCTATCTATTTGAATTTGCTGATACTTAAGTTGTCAACGTTGGTCATTCATTTCCTATTTCACTGTGTTGAACTTTTCTGTGTTCATATCTCTTACATAAACACCCATATTTATCCTTAATAACTGGGGATTTGCCACCAAGTTATGGAAGGGGAACATCACAGTGCTAGGGTGGGGAAGGTAGAATAGAAATAGAAAGCTGGAGAGTTGCATATTTGCTGCGGACCCATCCAAGTTGCATGTCCTTTAACCACAGATTTGTGGACAATGAAGTCTTGTGTTGTGACTGAATAAATGCCCAGAGCAGGACATCAAATAATAGCCATCCCTGTTCTGAGTGCATTGGGGGGAAAGGGGCAATGGATTTCTGATCTTATGAGATATGCAATGAAATAGTTGGTTATGTCTATGTGTGTATACTTGCAATTTTCCCTCAAAAATGCTATTTCTTTACTTTTCAATATACTTTCAGAATAGCATTGTATCCTGTTTTATTCTTTTTAAAAATATTGGGATTTTTAAAAATGAATAAACATTTATTCATGTCTACAGTTTTTTGAAAATAACACTTTGGCACAGACTTACTTCTAAGTAAACAAGCATAACTTTGTATTTAACTTTTTAAAGAAAAGAAAATCATCATTTTTCTATAGGGTTTCTTTAATCTTAAGAATAATGCTCTAAAAATAGATACATTTTCTGAATATGGAATCTAGGGATTTATTTGAAACAAAACATGGATGCTTTCATTTCATACCAGTGTATCCAGGTAAAAAATAAAACATGATGCATTCATCTGAGTCATCTATTTATCTATCTGGCCAGTTCATTTAATAGATAGAGGCGCTGTAAAAATTATTATGTTCTTTTGTATATTTCAAGAAAAAATAGGTTTCATATTGTTTTTGTTCTTTGTCTCCACCTAAACTAAATTAAAATAAAAGTCTTTATTATCATTTCCATTCAATTAAGCCTGTGAACAATTGCAATATTGGAGTTGTGACAGTATTTTAAGTTTAAATGTCCAGACTTGAAACTTGGATCAGTTTTTAAAGATTATTAAATAAAGTGAGCCTTTCATTTTACAAAAAAAAAGAAATTAATCATATTATAACAAAAGTATTTATAATGTTCTTCTGGATTTTAGACTTTCTTTGTAAGGAGTGCCCAAGAATTCATATCCATATTGAACGAATTGAGTTAAAAGACATTCCAGAAGAACAAATGTTTATGAGAAGATGGCTTCACGAACGTTTTGAAGTCAAGGACAAGTAAGTGGTAAATGTTGCTAGCTTAACATTTTACAAAATTGAGTATGAATTTTATGCTATTTTGCACATGGGAGGATTTATGTGTGGGAAATAGAGTAAGGTAATAAGAAGATCAGTGGCTATGAGAGTGAGAAATATCACTCAAATCAACGTTGTGGTACTATACTAGTGGTTGTAACTATGAATCAATATTGATGTAAATATCATTTACTTACAGGCCAAAAAACTCCCTGGTCCAGTTTGAATCAGTTTCTCCATGTTTGTAAAACAATATTATTTTATAGATGTGGATATATTAATTCTAATTTCTCTAGGGTTTTTATTTGTTTTGCCTGAGAGTAAAGGATATTTACATCCATATTGATTCAATTGCAGGTTAACCTTCACTTCAAGCTATAAGTTAACTGATCTTGTCTTGAATTGCTGTGTATATTAAGCTAGTTGTGACTTATCCCAAATAAACCTGGGTCAATTTGTTGCAATAAATACACCCATATAGCTGAGTTAACACTCTACTCATTTTCATTTGAGTCCATTTAGCAGCTTTAATTATTTATATTTAGCTACTTAAGGAAAAGAGAGCTGTGCGGTGCATTCAGAATTGGTCCTTCACAAAGCACATCAGTATGAAAAAGGGGCTCTCTTTGAAGAGTAAAACAGCCGTATCCTTTGTGAGACTTATGCAGCTGCTTCAAAAAGACATGAATGTTTCCATTGGAATTACTAGCAGAATCTACGCAGAGATACTAAGACAGCTGGCAATATTATTTATATGTAAGGGTGTACGTTTCTATATGTTGTCTATAGCATGTATAACACCTCTTTTAATGCTTTGTATAGCCCTATAAATAAGCCTGGCCAAATTACACCGTAGTATCGTGTTTTCCCCAAAATAAGACCTCATCTTATATTATTTTTTTGGCACCAAAATATGCATTAGGGCTTATTTCCGGGGAAATACGGTATCTGGGTGATCAGCCCGGCTGGGAGGCCCACTCTCCGGCATGCGCACAAGAGGCAGTGAGTGCGCAGGGGCTGATGGTGTCCGGCAGCAGCTGCAGCCTGCCAGCCTCTTGGTGCAGCGCAAGTAAGTCTGAGCGCAGAGGCAGGGGGAGGCAGGTGATCCTGATGCAGTACCCACATTGTCTCTTGGTGTCCCTGCAGCATGCCGCGGCAAGCAGTCATGTAGTGCGCTGGGATCGTCTGCCTTCCCCCATGCCTCTGCCTGCTGCTGGTGCTGCTGTGAGAGCCTCCCATGAGCTAGGCAGACATGCAGCATATCTGGATTGCTTGCCCCCCCCCCGCCTCCACACTTGTACTTACCTGTGCTGCGCCAAGGGGCTGGCAGGCTGTGGCTGCTACCGGACACGTTGGCAAGTGTGCGCTCAGTGTCTCTTGTGCTGGCCACCCCACCTCCCAGGTTTATTTTTGGGGTAGGGCTTATATTAGGCCCACTCCAAAAAAAAATCAGGCTAGGGCTTATTTTTGGGGTGGGTCTTATTTTTGGGGAAACATGGTAGAATTTGTGCTATTTGCAGATGAAGATTAAAAAGTTCAGTCCCTAATGTATGAAAGAAAGAATTTCAGGCCAAAAGCCGTGGTTCTTGGAGGAAAATATTTGTGATAAATTATCAGAGATAACCAGAGAATTGTACCAAAATTATATGATAAATAAATCTATGTTTAAACTTTTTTTTGCTCCTAGATTGCTAATAGAATTTTATGATGCAAAAGATTCTCAAAGAAGAAATAGGTTCCCAGGGAAAAGTGTTCACTCCAAACTAAGTCTCCAGAAAACATTGCCATCCTTATTGTTTTTAAGTGGCTTGACCGCCAGCATGCTACTGACAGAGTCTGGAAGGAAACTTTACATGAAAACATGGATATATGGGAGCTTATTAGGCTGTCTCTGGGTCAGTATTAAGGCGTAAAAACTCTGCACTTTCATTCAGTGGGCTTTTCTCTCTTGCTTTGCACATCACTTAAATTCTTTCCTAAATTTATATTAAAATTTTAAATAAAGTCTTATCCATTGAATATTGTATCAACACGCTCTGTTAATCTAATTCTGTTGTCGTGGTTATGACAAAAAGGTAAATTATATTTCTGATTTTGGGAGAAGAACAAAGGAGATAACAAAGGCTTAGCATATTTTGCTTCCATTTTTCTACATCTACCTACATATAACATACACTCTGTATGTTTATACTGGTTCAAATGGACCAGTGAACGGATTTTCTAGCATTATTTTAGATGAAAGTATTTATTTCTGACAAGGTTTTCTGCTTTTTAGTTTATTACAAAAGCTCTTACATCATAAACTAAAAACCAAGCTGATTTCTATTGGTACCTTCTTCTCTATTTGAATCTAGATACATTTTTTCAGTTTTGAAAAGAAGTTGCTCAAGCACAGCCTGTAAAAAAAAGCAGGTGAAAAACTCTTTATGGAAAGATGAGTTTAATAAGTGAAGGAAGCTTTGATTCTGTTATGTGGCTAGTTAACTTCAGTTTTATAATCTTTTTTTAATCCACAAAGTGTAGTTTTTATTTAAACACCTTGTATTTGTACATGAATAATTATATATTCAAAATAGATAATGCATGACCTGAGGCTCATTCAGTTATAAATTACCTTTGCCAAATTTCTAGAACACTTAAGCTAAACTGCCAGTTAAGAAACACCAGAAAAGTTCATGGATATCCCAAGTTCCTGTTTAGCTAGGCTGCTTCATGTACAATGATTTGCCTATAAAGGTCTCTTCAGGTTAAGGAGAAAAATATATAATCCAGCTTGTGAATATACCAGCTGTGAAACAACAATTAGAGATGGAAAATGTTATTTGTGAAATGAGAATGAACTGAAGTAAGCAATGCTGCTGTGCAATCAAAAGTACATTTTATGGAAATGAGGAATATTTGTATGTTCTTGCCAAAATACAAAATATGTGCCTTTGTTTGACATGATTCTGAATTGCAGTCTAATTATTATGATTTAGACTTATTTTTGGATAATTTGAATGTTTTTACACTAGATGTGTGCTTCTGATGAACAGGAGATTGAGATTGGGTTTTTGAGCTCTGATTTGAAATATAGAAAATATTCTGTTAATATTTTACCTGCATGAGCATATTTTTGTCACTGTTTGGAGACATACCAGTATACAATTTCATAAAATTTAGCATCTGTCTATTCTGTATCTAATAGGAAAAGGGATGCTATTTTATACTTGTTGTTTTATACAACAAAAGACAACTGTCATGATTCCAATATTAAAATAAAAAACATGAAAAGCTTTTTAAAATCTTTCTGAACTTCTCATATCCAGTTTTTGCTCAAAGTGTTTGATACAAAAGGATCTAAAATGATCAGGTTTGTTTTTTTAATAATATTAAATATATTTTACTCCTGTACGTAAAGAAAAATTAATTGTTCTTTATATTTGTCCTAAAATTATATAATGTATTTATTATTCTATAGATGATAATTTTCATCTGCTTCACTGTTTGACTTTTTGTTCTCAGGTTAGTGGAAAAATCTAGTAACAAATTTTATAGAAGGAAAGTTTAGAATATTTAGAGTGATGTTTTGTGCCATGTCAAAACAAGCATATTTCAGATGGCTACAAACTTCTCTTGACTGTGTTTAGCTCTTAACATAAAGATCCAGAAACCTAAAACCAATATTCCTGTCTTCATCTGTTTTGGTTTAATAAGGCAGTTAGTTGCAAATTTAAAATTATAAATTTCAGGTCAAAAATTCTCAGGAGCCAGTTCACTTGAGCCTCTTGCAATGATCTGCCCACAGTTTCTACAGTTCCTTTGATTAAAACAAAGGCATATTTAAAAAGTCAGTTATATATGGAGCGAAAGTAGTCTTGTGTTCTGGTTGTTTAATTTTATTATTTCAGTTTCTTATATTCCTCTTGCTACTTCAGTAGCTAGTTTTTATTTCAGTTGAAGAAAATGGCTGCATGATCCCAGAGATTTAGGAAACAATTATGTGGTGTGGTGCAATTCAGATGGCAACATTTGTTGCAAAGGAGTACCAAAGTCGCTATTGGTTGTTTTATTTTGTTTTAGGTTGGAATCCTCTTAAGAAATTTGCCAGGTTCTCTTGTCAGTTTTAAGGGAGCAATCTCTTATGAAAATGTCACATTATGGAAAAAGTGAGGTGTTTGTGGCAGGATTAAATTAAAACATACATTTCCATGGAACCATCTTTCAAAAGATCACTTTTTTGTTTCTGAACATATATAATTACAAATATGATTTGTGAAACTGGAATATTCATAAATAACTGCTATTCTATGTCCATATTCTGTAACACCCATCCCAACATCTGCCCACTGACACGCCATAATGTCCGTCTGTTACCACTCTCTAGCCCTCGCCTATGGCATCCACACACCTGATTACATTCCATAATGCCCAACCGTAGCACCCATTTACCCATATTATGTAGTGCCCACTCATGGCACTAAGCCGCACATCTGCCTGCCAATTGATAGCTCTCATTTACTAGCCTGCTTGTGCCTTTTTCCATATCGTGGTCACATCACATCCTCTCACTTAACAACCTTAGAGTTCTCACTTAATATTAGCAACAGGGACTGCTGGAATTGCTGTTGCTAAGAAATGTGGGCACATGACATAGCACTTTATAATTGCATTACTTAGTGATGAAAATTCCAGTCCCAATTGCTGTCATAACTTGAGAACTACCTGTATAGAACAAAACGATTTAAAAGTAGAAAAGGAAGACCAGATATGAAAATATAAGCAAAAAGAATAGAATATTACGGTACATCATTGTTACCAATATAAACTGTCTATAAGCTACGAAGCAGGCTGTCATTAGTCTTTAGTACTTAACACTGTGACATAAAACTAAGATTCTAAGGAACGTGGGCAAAAAGTGAGATCTCTCTATCTAGATATGCACTTATTCAGAGTTATTCAAGGGTTAACCACAGTTCTACATTAAGGAATGTGAGATTTAGAAAACTTTGATTTTATCCTCCTGTCAGCATAACCAAATCTGGCAAACTCCAGGAAGGTAGAATCCATTTGATCAGAAAGAAGAGTCTAAATATAAAAGGTATCAGAATGAGTTGGATACTTTATGCCTAAGGATTCTAATATTCTTATAAAAACATTAATATAATATAGTAAAATGTATCTGCCTTCCAGAGTAGCTGATTAGCACATTTAATCGAGCCAGTGTTGAAGTTTTCCACAATTTGGATACTGCGATATAATTTAAATGTCTTGTTGGTCTGAGAATATAAGGTTGCCTGCACAGGAAAACATTGTGGGCAGGACAGACTGGTCTTGTCATTTTCATGTCCAGAATGTATGTTGTGTCAGAATTCCCCTGGCTTGTTCATATTCCAAGGGCAAGAGTCTCTTGAAAAAAGCCATAAAAGTTCCATTTATCTAGGAAGCATCCTTTTCATCTAGCATTACAATTATCTGCTAGTGATAGGGAGCTCAGTCCTAAGGAGAAAAATAAAATTCAGCCAATACATGAAAATTAGCCAGATCTTCAGCTCCATCTTAATTGAACCCATGGAGGGTTTTTCTTAATAATTTAGATTGCATAATTTCTTGCATGATACTTTTTATACTTAAGTAATTGTCACAAGGACCAAACTGCATGCCATGCAAGAACTGGACACATGCTTGAGCAATAAATACCTTTTGGGGTGTGTGGAATAAATAAGGCTTCTCTTATTCAAACTTATGTCTAGAAGTCTTGACAAAATGCTCCTACTGACTGCCCATGCAATGGATTATCAGTGCTACCCAACAATGCAATCTCTCAATAGCTAGGACCTTCTATTTTACATGCATCCAGATTAGCCACACTCCAAAATAAAATCTGTGATTGACAGACATATTGGGTACAATCAAACATTTGTTGGTTTAAATGTTGACACATAGCACAGAGAGATGTGCTGCATTGGAGGATCAGAATAGGTAGCCATCTCCACACTGCTATGGCTTTTGTGCCTATGATTGTGCAGACATGCATCGAGTGAACTTTATAAATTACAGGTAGTTCTCAGCCACCATATCAATAATATTGATAGTCTTTCTGTTATATCAATAGCCAAATAAGAAACAAAGCAAAAAGATAGTGGTGATATGTTTGCAAATCTGGGGTCATACTGTCTTTCCAATATCAAAAGTTGGATTTTGGGTTATCCCATGCCCAATAAAACTATAACTCATAATAAGTTCCAAATTGGCAAAATGTATTCACAAATAGACCATTATCCATAAATCGTACTGGTCATGTTACTACCATGTTAACAAAGCAGAGACCAGAGTGAGAATATTGATACAATATTTTGGAAATACGCCTTAAAATGTTCCCAATAACTAATAAAACTACACTAGGTTCTTCACATTTATGAGCCTTGACAACCATTGTTTATTATAATAAACCAAAAATCCTGGTTTACAATTTTGTGATAATATGGTCATGTTCTATATCTATCCCAATTTTTTAAAAAGCAAATGCTGAATGTGTAGTAACTTTTCATTAAAATAAAAAATGGTAATATAATAAGTTCTGGTCAGTTTCTGCATATAAATTAGGATGGGCTTTTATACAAAACTATGCAATATTTTATGCTTTTGAGTGACATCTAAATGGTATGAAATATTTTTTTCTATCAGCATTGTTAACATCTTGTTTTGAAACTGCTGTTTCACTTGAACTGATATTTGTATACTTATTTCTATTTACTTGCATGATACTTTTTATACTTTAGGTGCATTGTGGTTTTTCTATTTTTTTAAAACAGTACATGTTCATATATAAGGGAAAAAATGGAAATATGACTGTATTGTTGTTTGCTGTCTTAGTGTGGAATAAGATAGTATTGTTTAAATAAACAAGTAAACCAATATGTATGTGTTTATAATTACTAGTTTGTTATGAAATGATACATTTCTTAGCACATAATCTCAAACCAGCATTGGGTTTAATTTGCTTTTGGTACACATTCAATGTTTGGGGGAAAACTTAAATGTTTCATTTTTGCTATAAACCTTCCATTCAATGGTGGCTTCCTTTGGATTGCTGGTTGCAATCTTCTTAATGGAAGGAATTTCACAAATTCTTGCTCTAAGGGCCTAAAATAGGGTAAATATTTTGTTACATGAAATCCAAAGTTTGTAACACGGTATAGGTATTTTGGCTAAGTCCTAAGAAATGTTTGAACAGGATGTCTATATATTTCCTCTGTATACACTAGAGGGGAAAAAATGGACACCGAGAGAGAGCAAGAACTGAATTTGTTGACCTCCATCCTGACCACAGGTAGCCAATACAAGAGCTAAGGCAGGAAATAAGATATTTTGATGTACCAGAAAAGCAACAAAACATTCTGAGAAATTAATTTTCTAAAAATATTGGAACTGTAGTTCTCCAGTGTTTTAAGGGAGTGGGTTAATATTAATTTATAATGTCCCTGCACACTTCTGTGGACTGTACAGGATAATGATCTTGTTCAAATGGTTTGGCTCTGATCATTTTTCTACTGCAAATTCTCTCCGGACAATCGGCTCTGATGTTAGAAATGGGAGCCAGTCAGCATTGAAGGTATTTTTAACTATTTCATTTGTTACATTGGTAAGTTGTGCGAAAGAAATCCTACATTTTAACCTATGTATCATGATATTCTTGGAAATCCTATGCAATATGCTTACATTCTAACATTCACCTGAAGTGGGTATTTTTTAATTATAAAATTGTAAATTGTATTCAGAGAGTTTAATGAATGAATAAGTGGTCCTTAAAAACTTCATAGTAGAATATGTGTTTTATCTATAATTGTCAGTCATAAAAAGATTACAATCAAAAGATCCTGATAAAATCAGAAATGAGCGTTCTTTCTGGGCAATCAGGCAAACAAATATTTTTCTGTGCAAGAAAACAGCTCATTAAGAACAGAATAAAATTCCAAAGCACAGTAGCAACAGATCAATATGAGAAAAGTAGTCTGTCACTATACAAATGAATACCACAAATTAAATGTAAATGTACTAAAATATTGACATATATTTTAAGAGATTGATACAATACTATAGACACCTGTACATATATGTTTCAATCCTAAACATATTTAATTTGAGCACTTTTTATGCCATGTTATATGTAACACTGCTAAATCCTGGTTCGTTGTATATGCCACAATGGCTGAATTTGCAAACCACTTAGAATCAAAATCAAGGAACACACCATGTATGGTTTGGGACAACAGAAAAAGAAAGGAAAAAGAAGGTTTAAAAACAAAAAACTTTTTCATTGGTAATAAAATACAATGTTAGATAGAAAATGTTTTTTTTCTGTTTCTTGCTAAATTTTACTTTATTGGACTAGTAAAAATATTACTTCATACAATATAATGATGCACAATACCCTTTAAAACAGCAGGCAACTTTTGATAGCCAAATCACATTTTACAAAAAGAAAATGGTGGTGCTGGTGGTGGTGATTAAAGACAGCAGTGGCCTGGATAACTATCCTGTGACATGCTGAATGGTGAGACAGAATTTCTTCCAAAAGATTGCATGCTTGGTTTATCTATTAGAAGAATTAACTTTTTTCATTGACCCACATTTTATTTTCTACCAAAACTTGTGAGATCCTATTTTGGAAATTGGTCACTCAGTCTCAATATTATAATTTCAGGGAGGCTATTGAGTTGCCAAAAAAAAAAAAAAAAAAAAATTAGAGATTACAGGTAGTCTAGAATTAAACACCACTTTTTAAAATTATGATTCTCTTAGTGAATGTAGATCTTAATCAGTCAATATGCTTACATCAAATCCCTTTACAATCATGATCCTCTTTCTTTGCTATAACTGTCACTATCATCTACATAAGAAGCTATATTCACAGTCTATAATCCAGTTTACAAAGGTGGTGCGATACTCCTGCAAATTGTGTGTGTCTCTAAGGTGAAAGCATGGCTTTTGTCTTAGACATATTACACAATTTTGTAATTCTTCGAAATCATCAGAACAACTTGATGAAATCTTAAGGACTTGGCTTTAGCTGGTGATACATCTGGAGAACATTTCTCACAGTTTCCACATATTTAGCATCAGGGATAGGTTTCCGCTGGCTTCCTGGTTCCAGAAACTTCTTAATTGTGGGAATGTGAGTCATCCTTGTTTTAAAAGCCTAGCGGGGAGGATGAAAACACTTTCTTAGCATTAAACAATCAAAAAGCTACAATTATGACACAAGTCACAATATACACAGGTAATACCAACTACTTTTAATTCATTTGATAAAATCCTGTTCAATGCTCATGGCAAAGATTAGTACCATGGTTCTTGTTATACCTGTATTAATGAATGTTGAATTGGCATGTACTAATAAATGCAATTAAACTAATGCCTTTTTTGTTGTGTATCTTTCTGGGCTATTTGTTCATCTGTGAATGCCCTCAAGAGTAATTTTGACTCTGGGGCACTGCTTATCGAATAGATGCTCTACAGAAGCAATCATCAACAGAGAAATCTATTTTCTAAGGCATTTATGTGGTGTTTTACACAAATGGATGTTATATGTTTATATTTCTCCTGGGCTACTTATTAAATGCACTTTACTTAGTTATTTTTTTAACAAAAAAATAATAATTTTTAACCATTTAATAAGTTTGTAACCTGCCCAAACAACTTTAGTTAGAATAAATAGACCTATTTACACTAGTTTGGATAAAGTAAATGAAGAGTGTGAACATCAAGACTTACGCCAATACAACTTCAAATCTTATACTTAGGATATGAATTAAAAATACAAAAGCAATCAAAAGGAATGGGCGAAAGATGTCCCATGTTGTCTGGAAATGTAACACTTCTGTTTCAATGTTCAGAGTAATTTAACCAAGATTAAAAACACATAACCATCTCTCAAATAACCAGATTATATGAATTTATATGAATATTAAGTAAATGAATTTACTTAATATTGATTATAGAATTATCAAATTTTAAAAAGCATTTTATGCCGTTGTATCAAGCAGTAGTCTATGTTGAATAAATTATTATTGATGTTATTTTGTGGTCATGTATCGTACAGAATAGTTTCACAGAAGTTTATTATTTATTAAATTTATGTGCTGCCTAGCTTGCTTTGAGAGCGACTCTGGGCGGGTTAACTTTAGCAAGTTAGAAATCTCATCTGCAATGCAAAAATTTATAGAGGAGTACTTTTATTTTCTTCTTTCAAATGGATGAATAAGAAGGCTTTAAATTTAAAGGAATAGCTCAATTAACACTTTAATTATTTTCCCATACCTGCAATAGAGGAAATTCATTCAGGATAGTGGGGACTTTTTCCTCTGCCATTAAAATAGTTTCAAAGAGGTGTATGTCTGCCAAGCTAAACCGATTGCCAACAAGGAAATCTTGTCCATGATCCTTCAGCACCTGTAAGAGCAAGAGGAATAAACCAAATCTAATAGCAGCCACTCAGTGATCTCCAAGATTCCAGAGGAGAGATCTTCTAAGACAGTGGTTCTCAACCTGTGGGTCGGGACCCCATTTGGGGTCGAACGACCATTTCATGGGGGTCGCCAAACAAGGCTGTCCGCCATTTTTTTACCCCTTTTCTTTGGCCACACCCCTGGCACCCGGTGATGTATAAGTGGTTGGGGGTCACCACAACATGGGGAACTGTATTATGGGGTCGCGGCATTAGAAAGGTTGAGAACCACTGTTCTAAGAGTATAGTAAAAAATGAATGCGCCTTGTTTAGTATGCAAAACAAAAGTGTTGAAATGGTGGTTTTACTATATTACTCAGAAGGAACATCACAGCCATAATTTCTCTCCTTTTCATTATAGCAATAGCACTTAGACTTATATACCCCTCCATAGTGCTTTACAGCATTCTCTGAGTGATTTACAATATCAGCATATTGCCCCCCAACAATCTGTGTCCTCATTTTACCAACTTTGGAATGATGGAATGCAGAGTCAACCTTGAGTTGGTAAGGATCGAACTCCTGCCAGTGGGCAGAGTCAGACTGCAATACAGCATTCTAACCACTGCACCATAATAATAACAATTTATATAGTTATAAATCTCCTTATTTCAATAGTGTTGTTTATATAATATAATAAAATATTATTAACATTCTATTATTTAGATGGTATAGGATTTGAAAATAAAGTACTCTATCAATATTAATTATAATTTAGGATGTCAATATTCCAAGTATCAGACTGTTTGATTTTTTTTATCTAAAGTTGTGTATAACATTGAAAAAGAACCACTGAGATTCACATCAATTTTTCCATTTTTTGTAAAGACTTTGATTTTAAGTTGATTACTTAATTTTAAAGTCTCCATTGTATTGTTACTTTGGGGGGGTGCATCTTTGTGTGTGCATTTAATCATGTTAAAAGAAAAAATGGAGCAAATTTAATAAAATTTAAAATAGAAAATAAGGACAATAAAAAAGAACTATTGGATTTCTGACTTCCCCCGTCTTATGCATCAATTAATTTGCAATAATTGTACATTTGTACATTTTATAGATTTTGTCCATAATTCTTCTTATTGTTGTCTTGTAACTGTTTGCTCTGAAATTTTCATCATACAGTTGTTTGTTCCATCTCGTGTCATACCTAAGTAAACGTTTATACATGCACCCTCATAATTACTGCTGGGTTTGTTATGAGAGTTTCAAATTCTGCTTTTTCCCTCCTTCTTAATGTCCTGCCTTCCTTGTGAAGATCTGAGCTTATCCTTCTAGTCACTTGTAAATGTATCAACAATGGTATATTCCAGCCTTCACCAAGTAATTCTTGCCGTGTTTTGAAATTTGCAGAATCTAAGTCAAGTGTGCCCAACTTTTTGGCTTGCCTGGACCGCATTGAGTGAAGAGGAATTGTCTTGGGCTGCATATAATATATATATAATTTAATTAATGTATATAAATGCACATAATAATGTTAAAAGCTTATGATCTTGTGGGGCCACAATTACTAGTTGTCCAGGCCTGTGAACCACAGATTGGACATGCCTGATCTAAGTGGACCAGATCTGTATATAATTACTTTTTGCACACTCTTAATCTTGGACTACAGCTTTTCAATGAGCAAAGAGGAGGCAGTTGAGTTCATAAAGTCACTGCTTAGAAGAGATGCAGACTTGTGACTCCTAATTAGCAGGACAGGATGTAAAACCTGAACCTCTGTCTCCTGAGTTTGCAAATGTATTGCAAACTTTGTCTTACTTATTGATCCGGATTTTGTTGGGATGTGATCGAATTACAAGGAAAAGAAAACAAAAAACTTTAGAAAGTTATTAGAAGAAAGCACTGAGAGTCATGTGGCAAGGAATCTGGCAACAGTCAACCCCAAAGCTAAACAAGATTGAACAGCTTTCTGAGAAACATCAGCCTTCAAACTGAAGCTCCAAAACTGGCTTCTTTCAAAGTACATAGGTTTAAATAAAATTGGTAATTGGGAAAGAAGTTACCTGCCATGAAATGGGCTAGTCAACAACATTGTTAATTTAGCAGCTGTAACATTTCCTAGAGTGCAGCAAATAAAGATCTATAGCTATAACTTCTAAATATGTATTTGTCTAATTCATGGTAAGATTTAAGCAAGCATACATATTTATTATGTAAAACAGGGATATACATCTTTTGAGAGTGCAGGACTCGGCATACCTCTCAAGACAAGCCCAGGCTTCAGACGAAAACAACAACACTACATATCCCTAGTGTAAAGCAGAGATGAGGAACTGATGCTTTCCAGATGTTTTAATTCCTTCCAGCACCTCCACCCAGGCAAGAGATTGTTGGAGTTGCAGTGCACCTGCAAAACATGTGGAAGCTATGGGGGTGATCCTTGATCTAAAAACATTTCTTTATTAACACTTACTTTTTCATAAACTGGAAAATATCTTTTTGTTGCTTTTTCTTTAATAGTAACAAGTTGGCGCTCTTGATCCTCCGGTGACAAGAAAGGGAATGGCAAAATAAAGAGAGAAAGGTCTGTTGTTCCTTCCACATACATGTCAATCCTAAAAAGACAGAGTATCATGCATCAGTTTGAGCGCTCATCTTACGATCTATCACGTGTGGGTCAAAGTCTTGAGTCCTGTTTTCAGAATGCCCTCTAAGCAAGCAATTTGCCATCATGCCGAAGTAAAGAACACATGACAACTGCAATAAAATCCTAAAATAGGTATTCTCTGGTTAAAAAAAAATAGAATATCCCAAAATGTTATCTTTCTAAATGGCTGTACATGGACAAATTTTTCAGGAAATGTATTTAACCAGATAGCTTTACTGGTCATAAGTAATATCTAATCAAGGAGTTAAACTTAGTCTGCAGCTACTAGAAGTTTATCCTTCCTTGGATGCTAGGTGACCAGTGGCAAATGCACAGCGGATGGCTACAGTAGCTATGCATAGCCCTGGGAGAAGTTCATACCACTTCAGTTTCTCTAATTCAAATAACTAAAGGCACACACAAGGAAAGTTGCTTTTCAAGGACCAGCCTTGGTAAATTTTCTTTTGGCATTAAGCAAAGAAGTATTCTGATAACCCTATCCCAATGGTTGACCTACCCACAGCTTGCATGCCAACGTGAGGTGGTGTACCTGTACATTGTGTTAAGTTTGTTTAGTGACAGACATGCATAGTTCTGCCCAACAGCTCCACCAACAACTGTCCTACGTGCTGTGCTCCCTTCAGCTTTATCTTCCCAGAAGGAATCGGGAGGGAAACATACAAACAAACATGACAGCCTGGCTGACAAAATCACAGATGGTTTGTTAGCTGCATGGGCCTGCAAGCAAAAGTAGCATGTGTTGCTAAACAAGCCTTATGGTTTAACATAGTAGACTAGCCCACGTGGTATTTAGAGGAGTGGGCTACAATTTATGTCAGTGAGAAGGATGCTCTTATGTGACTGAATCAAAGGCAGAGACAATAGACAGGGCTCCAGCTGAAATTTCAAGCATAGCTAAATACAGTGGGGACATTACAATGCTCTGTCGCTCATGTTCATCCCATACAAGTTGTACTTCGTAGCAATGTAACGGAGGATGGCCCTTGTCTGTACCAGCTTCATCCCATCCATTTCCACCATGGGTGTTTGCTGAAACAGGAACAAGCCATCTTTGGAGAGAAGAAAAACACAGCAGATATAAAATATTCTGCCTACAAAGCACATATTTACTTTCAAAACAGAAGCCAGGAGAAGCCAAGGTCATTTTATTTTTGTTCCGGCCTATCACTAGAATACTGATCTAAAGAAACTGTTCATTCAAGCGATATGGGGTTTGCTGTTCGGTTATTAGATCTGCACAATATATCAAGATCTCGTTATGCTCAATAAAGCAATAAGAGTGGTTTCACCCAATATGCTAAGGCATAAAACATGATTTACAAACCACAACGGATTTCACACAACAAACAATATCATTATTTAATGCACTACATGAACCCCCCCCCCTCCCAGATTTCTGTTTAGACAAAAAGAGAGTATCACTGAACCTTACAGCTGTCTACCAATATTATATCTGGGATCTTAACACATCGGATTTAAGGAATGTGTCAAGAGAACAAGCTGCCCTTTTTTATAAAGAGCTTATTTAAAAAGTTACAGGACAAAAATGTACCTGTATATTTCCAAGTGTTTTCTGAAATATGATATCTATTCCTTCATTTTTCAAACAGGATTTCTCCCTCAATTGCAATTTAAAAATGTGGAAATGCTTATGTTCTCCTACAGTCTCATTCAATTTGTTATTAGAATAAACTTAGTTTAATAATACAAACAGATACGTTCTGTGTCATACTGATCATCCAACCAGAATTGCAAACAATGTTTTGAAGTATCATTCAGTTAAAGCTGTCCAAATAAGGCAGTAAGTGTAGCATTCAAGGCTACAAAGAATACAGCGTAATGTTCCATCTGTATTACAATTCTCTCCCTCGATTACAATAAAACATAAAACCAGGGATATTTAAAAGGCAAAGAAACAAAACACAGACACACAGTCACTAAAGACAATTAAAATGAAGATTTAAAACTCTATTATAAATAGTGTATTTTTTAGTAAAATGAATAGGTTAAATCATTGAGACAGAATTGCATTCCAAAGACAGGGCAACAACACATTCAGTCCCTGCAAGAACATCCATCAGCCAATAAAAGTTGCAGTTATTCTAAATATAGAGTCTTGCAAATTCTTAACATGTGTTGATGGAGGCTTCAGATGGTAACTTAAAAAATTTAAGAAACATAGATTTGTTATACAGAACCTGATGCTTTCCCCCCAACAAATGTAAGATAATTTACACCCTCAAAGGCAGGGATCCTTTGCCCTTCCAGATGTTGAGTTACAGCTCCCAACCTGGCCAATGGTGAAGAATGTTGGGAACTGTAACTCATCATCTGGAAGGACACAGAATCCCTGCCTGTGAGAATGTAAATTATCCTATATTTTTTGGGAAGGAAAGGATCAGTTTCTGTATATCAAACCTATGTTTATTATATTTATGAAGGTACCATCTGAAGCCTCTAATGCAGTGTTTTTCAACCTTGACAATTTTAAGGCAAGTGGACTTCAACTCCCAGAATTCCACAGCCAGCATTGCTGGCTGTGGAATTCTGGGAGTTGAAGTCCACATGCCTTAAAATTGTCAAGGTTGAGAAACACTGCTCTAATGTTAAGAATTTGCAAGATTCTATATTTAGAACAGGGGTGTCAAACTCAATTTCATTGAGGGCCGCATCAGCATTGCGGTTGCCCTTGGGGGGCCAGGTGGGTGTGGCCAGGGTGGGTACGGCCTACTGGGTGGGTGTGGATGGAATGGGTGTGGCCTACTGGGTGGGCGTGGCCAGCTCTATATCATTTGCATCAAGGGTGTCTGTGGGGAGCCTGGGCAGGAGTGGGACAGATCTAAGGGTCTCTGGCAGAAAGGGATGGGACCAGGGCAGAGCCCATCAAGCCGGATATATGAAGTAGGCGAGGGCCATTTGCTGGCCACTTCCAGGCGATGGTCCATTTCTTCATTCCTCACAAAGGGTGACACCTCCCCAGCATGCACCCAGGGGGTGGGGGCTGGTTCCTTGCTGTTTCCAGAGAGCCTTGTGGAGCTGAATGCATTTCAGCATAGATGTACATTGGCTCCTGGCCAGCCTGGGCCAGGGCCAAGGCAGCGGGCGCCGTTCCCTGTTTCCAGGATGGCTTCGCAGACCACATGAAACCACTTCGCGGGCGGCATCCAGCCCCCAGGCCTTGTGTTTGACATGTGTGATTTAGAATTACCACAACTTTTACTTGCTGATGGGACTCATACATTAGTAATGTTTAGAACGGGGTTTATCAAGCTATGTTCCCTGGATGCCTTGTGTTGCACCAGAACTTGAAGGAGTTCTGTGAGAGGCTAAGGACCAAAAAAAAGTTCACTCAAATGGAGCAAATTTTCCATCACCAGAGCTTTTCCTCTTAATCAGGGACACTGGGATTTTTTTTTTTAACTAACAGGTTTTGTGGTCTAAAAAAGTTGGACAATCCCTGGCCTAGAAGGCCACAGCTTCCCAACCGTCTCCAGGATCATGGTGGATTATGGCTGAGTAAAAATGTAACTGTTTTTTTAATTAGGCATTGTTCTTCGGGAACAAGGCCATAGCTCTTCTCTATCACTCAAGAATTACAACTTCTATTTGTTTCCACCCAAGTAGAGATCCAGTGCCATTGATACAGCAAAATATTTGCAGTTTCATCACACATAACCTTGAAGCAGCTTCTCGTATTGCTCTCGGGTCTCCAAAAATTCCTCTTCAAACTAAAAGACAGGAAAAAAAAGATGCAGAGGGAATTGTCTTCAGAATTCTAGAACCCAGTTCATAATTGAATACAATTCACTGAGAAGAATCACTGAACTTTTGTCTACAAATAACCATAGCTGAACATCAAGTATCTCAGACCAGAACTGAATCATCGTTTAGGGAGGCTTGTATATTTATACTGAGTTAGATTTTCTCATTTTTGAAAAAAGTAAATTTTAGCAGGCCAATTTTTTTTATCTGAATCATACTTGAAATTAGGCAAGATTAGCTGATAGAATTTTTAAAAAGATAAAGCTTCATATAGGGTCATTCAAGTGCCTTGAAATTTGACTCTTCCCTCTGTAGTACAACCAAGAGTTTTAATATTCACTTTTTTGGGATTAGCATTATGCAACCCACACTATTAGCTACAAAAAGTTATAGTAGTGAAGGACATGCATCACAGGACAAAAAGATGCAATTGTGTTGTTAATTTTGTAAATCATGTACTGGTTCATGGTTCAAAATGCACACCCTATTTTTCAGCCTCTTACATGATCCTCAAAGTTGCCTGTTAAACACATTATTGAATAATGGAAGAAAGATTGCTGATATCATTTCAATCCACCTAAGTCTTCTGCACATCTCATAAACCTTCAGGGAAATCCTAATGTACAGATCGACTTACAACAGTTCATTTAGTGACCATTTGAAGTTACAATGGCACTGAAAAAAGTGACTTATGACCATTTTTCACACTTACAACCATTGGAGCATCCCCATGGTCACATGATCAAAATCCAGACGCTTGGCAACACCTATTTATGATGGTTGCAATGTACGGAGTCATGTGATCACCTTTTGCGAGCTTCACTTAACAATCGTGTTACTAACTTAACCACTCCAATGATTCACTTAACAATTGTGGCAAGGAAGGTCATAAAGTGGAGCAAAACTCACTTAACAACTGTCTTGCTTAGCTACATAAATTTTGGGCTCAATCGTGTTGTAACTCGAGAACTACTTATATCAGGGACTTTACAAAATATTTCTAGTGCTTTAGGTATAAACTTGAAACCTCAACAAACTGGGGACAGAAAACATCACTTGAGCTTTAAAAGCCACTCACGCAGGACTATGAGAGCAAAAGAAAGTAAAGCATTGGGATTCGGTAGAAATCTAGTTAGAATCATTAACTATGCCAACTACTTAACATAGTAGTTAGGGTGTGAGGGTTGCAGCTGGGAAGACCTTGCAGCTACAGTACGCTAATGAAGAATAACAAGCCTCATTCATCAGTGCACTGGGATGAAGGCAACATCATAGAGATGTGGCAGGGGAAAAAATGGTGTTACAAGGGCATGCTTGTGCCATGGAGAAAGATCGAAAGTTATGATTTAAAGTTCTAATCGTGGGGGATGGATGGCAAAGCCTTCAAAATTGCTCAAAATTTAAGCCAGGATTTCTCACACTCTAGAGCAGTGGTTCTCAACCTGTGGGTTGGGACCCCATTTGGGGTCGAACGACCATTTCACGGGGGTCGCCAAACAAGGCTGTCCGCCATTTTTTCCCCCTTTTCTTTGGCCACGCCCCTGGCAGCTGGTGATGTATAAGTGGTTGGGGGTCACCACAACATGGGGAACTGTATTATGGGGTCGCGGCATTAGAAAGGTTGAGAACCACTGCTCTAGAGAGCTTTGTTGTTGAGAGCGAGAGGGTAGCTACATCTCCGGGCTTTGGGTTCAGAACTGCGAACATGTGTTGGGTACACTTGCAATAACACTGCTGAAAAGCATTTGCTCATGGCCAAAATGGCGGCCAAGGAAACATACATCTATAGACACTATGTCCCTGTTGCCTTTTTTCTCTCTTTACCAATATGTGCCTATTAGGCTTTGACCTCTGTTAACTTGGAGGCAAAGCAGGCGACTGAACTAACTTTGGCAAGTTTCCTGTTTTATTCAGTAGCTTTCTGTCGAGTCAAGGATTTGTGGATTGAATAGTAGCTAAAGACTCTTAGAAAAGGCAAGAAAAATTAATTACATGTAGCCCTCACTTAATGATGGACTGGCAACTCTGTCGCTAAGTGACATGGCTATAAAGTGTGACAACACAGGGCTGCACAACGTACAATGGCAGTTCCATTTGCCATCATTAGGCGAACCCCATCATTAGGCAGCATCTCACAGTCATGTGATGGCCACTTGTGACCTCCTGCCAGCTTCCTCCTTGACTTTTGCTTGTTAGAAACCAGCAGTGAAAGTTGCAAAGGGTGACCAATGTACCTGGACCACTTCTTATAGCCTTGCTGGCTTTTCTCCTCTCCAGACTAGACCTGAGCATATTAAAAAAACACAACATTCTGAAGGTTCAGTCCTTTTAGGGGTGAGAGTCAAGTGGAGAAGGTTTCAGAGAGCAAAATAGATCCTTTAAGCCAGAGTTCCCCAACTTTTCTGGTTTTGTGACCCAGTGAGGTTGAGGGAGAGGGGTTGATTCTATGTGAGCCGTGGGCAAGTGCATGTGCATGCAGCTATATATGGAGCACGCACGAGCTTGCCTGCTGCTCACGCAATTGGGAATGTGTGCGTACGCTCATCCGCCACTTCTGTGGCCCAGTTCCAAACAGCTCATGGCCCGGTAGTGGGCCACAGCTCGGAGGTTGGGGACCCCTGCTTTAAGCATTGCACTTTGTTCCTCAATGTTACCTGTCCTCCCACTACAGGGTATTCCGTAGATCGCCCATCTCTAACTTGGAATTGAGGATTCTGAGGAAGCAAGGGCATGAGAGCTGGTATGTAGGGAATTTGCAGTATGGCTGTTTGGATTCTTAACAAGCATTAGCCTTTCCAAAACCCAAATAATTCCTGCTGCAAAAACGGAAAAATTGACAAAGGAAAAAAGCAGTACATAGACGAAAATACCAGCAGGGTTACTAGGAGTCAGTTCTATTGTGTTTAAGCTTCCTGAAGAAAAGCACATGATACGGGGCCACAACAAAACAACAATCCTTGACTCTATAATTGCTCATTTAATGACAGTTCAAAGTTATCATGGCCTCAGAAAAAGTGATTATCCTCAAAATTACGACTATTGCATTGTCATCATCATATGATCACAATTCAGCATTTGGCACTTGGCAACTACCTCACGTTTACAAACATTGCAGTGTCTTGGAGTTATGTAATTGCAATTTGTGACCTTTCCAGACAGTTTCTGACAAACAAAGTCCATTGGGGAAGCCAGATTCACTCATCATCATTAAGCATGATTCGCTTAATGATGACCAATGATAAAAATGGTCATAAAATTAGGTCTGATCACATGATGACTCACTTCAGAACTTAGCGACCAAAATTATGGTCCCAATTGTGGTAGTAAGTTGAGAACTACCTGTAGATCTTTCCTTGAAAATGGTTTGATTTTTTTTCAAATTCCGAAAGATTTTTTTCACAGAGAAAAAAAATATGGCAAAAATATTCCAACAGCCTTCTGGGTCCATAAATAAGGAAACACATAACATGGGTGAAAGAGTGGATAACACTTAGAAATAAAAGGTTATTGTATTTAGAGGGACATGATTTACAATTGGGGTGGCATGCTTTCTTATGGTACGGGAAAAACAGTCCATAAGTACTTTCAAAATCATTTTATAACAAATGCCTTGTCAGCAGTACGGGAAAAAAATAAAACTAAAATATATTTAAAAATTCCAGGGTGGTTATCAATGATGGAGGTATTTATACAGCCGAACTTGGTAGACTTTGAAAAAATATGGACATATAAAGATATTCTAGATATTGATGGGAAATTAAAATCTAAACAAGAATTGGAAAATCAGGGAATTAACTTGTCCTAGTGGGCACATTTACAGATACAAAGTAGATATGAAAAAGATGTAAAAATGTATGGATTTTACAAGGATCAAACTGTGTTTGATAAGATTTTGTTAACCTCAGATGAGAAATTAATTAAGAAAATGTATAACTTTTTGTTAATTTTGGATATGGAAAGTAAACAAGTGAAAGAAACAATGACAAGATGGGCAAAAAAATTTGGCTATAATATAGAATTAGAAAAATGGCAAATGTTATGGGAGAGAAACTATAAATTAACAATGTCAATTTCATACAATTTTATAGCTGGCACCTACCGCCAGCAAGATTAGCAAAAATGTTTAAAAATATGTCAGATAGATGTTGGAATGTAAACGTAACATAGGCACGTATTATCACATTTGGTGGACATGTGGTAAGGCAAAGGCCTATTGGAGAAAGATACATATGTGGTTAGAAAAAATATTGGGTGAACAAGTGGATTTTAAACCTGAACTTTTTTTACTAGGTATTATGCCTGAAAAGACTAATAAGCAGAAATTATATTTAATCTTACACATCACTACAGCAGCGAGAATAATTTTTGCACAATACTGGAAGAATGAAGGACTGCCATCAGAGGAAGAAATAATCAGGAAAATATTGGAATGTGCAGATTAACTATGAGGTTGAAAGATAAAGACAGATTAACTATGAGGTTGAAAGATAAAGAAGATACAGACTACTATCAAATTTGGAACTTATTTTATTCTTGGCTAGAGGAAAGAATGAAGGATTAGGAATTGAATATGTATTAGCATAGCAAACTCCAGACAACTTGTTGATTGGAAAAATTAACATATGTTGATGAAAAAAAAAACAATAAAATCTTTATTAAAAAAAGGAAACACAGACCTCTACACCAGCAGCTGCTAACAACCACCGTATCTGTTCCATTCGGCCTCGTCCATTAAAGTAATACAATTTAGGTTTCTCAGCCATCGTTTCTTAATCTCCTGAGATGGGGGCCTGAGGAGGGAACAAAACAAAGTACAAAAAGTGATGAAGTGATCATTCTGTTGCAAGAGCACAGGAGAAATATGCAGAGTAAAAGCTAATTGATCAAATCAAGATATTTCATCAGACCCACATTTGAAATACAATTTTATTAACACATATACTCATACCACTTAACATAATCTTTGTTTTGTTTATGCAGGAAGAGACAATGACTCCTAGTACAGGAAAATCTGTACATACACTCTTACTTACTTAACCACAATGCTAGCATACAAAACAGTTTACATATTTTCATATTCAGAGAAATTTGGTAGAAAATAGTAGTTTGAGCAACATAGAATTGGGCCTCTATAAATCAACTGCTAATTCAGAAGTGATGTCCAGGTAACTTCTCACTTGATCCAGACCTGTATGTCAATTCTGTGTGAACTTCATTTAATCCAACTATAATTGTCCTGGTCTGGATATATGGCTGACCCATCTCAAAGCAATCTCTTTTGCAAGACTTGATTCTCCACATGGTCAAATACCTTACCTTTTAGTAACCTTTTCTAAACTGAGCATAGGAATCTGAATCTGTTACTTTATGGGCAAAATTACGATCTTCAAGTGTGTTGTGATACTTAAGCAATGCAAACCGAAGCTTTTTGCATGCATTCAAGTCAGAGACTCAACCCAAAAGCCCTATGGTTACAATAATATTGAGAACTGGCATATATCTAGATGAACTACAGCTGCACTCTTGAAAGTCCTTGAAATTCCCTGTCTTTCTGTATCCAGAATGACCATTAATGATTCAGGAGAGAGGATCTCAAAACATAACTAAATTATTACAGTCAATCTATTCAGCCTAGCATAAAAGTCACAAAAAAGGCAACTCGTCAGCCATTTTCTAAAGCCCTGTCTAGACTGAATGACTGGAAAGCAGATTTATTCCTGTAGAGCTCTCTGATAAGAAAGGTATGAAAACAGCCCACTGCTTTACAAAGCCTGGCAGCAACATGCCTAGATAACAAGGAAGGGAAAACTCATAAATATATGTGAACTTAACTTGGAAAGCTTGGAGCTCTAGTGGTTTCTTCCAGGTAAACACTTAGTTGCTTCCTCTAGCTCAGACATGTCAAACACAAGGTCCGGGGGCCGGATGCAGCCCGCGAAGTGGTTTCATGCGGCCCGCAAAACTATCCTGGAAACAGTGAGGGAACGGCCCCCTCTGCCTTGGCCCTGGCCCAGGCAGGCCGGGAGCCAATGTACAATTTTGTGGTGGCCATCTATGCTGAAACGTATTCAGTCTTAGCTTCATAAGCCCCTCCCCCACATGGCCTGAGAGGAACAGTGAGGCTCCTCCAGTGGACCATGTCTTGGCACTTGCCCCGGTCCCACCCCCTTCTGGCAGAGACCCTCAGATCTGTCCCACTCCTGCCCAGGCACCACAGGCACCCTTGACGTGAACGGTGTAGAGCTGGCCACACCCACCCAATATGCCACACCCACTCTGGCTGCACCCACCCTGGCCACCCCTACCCGGCCCCGAGGGCAACTGCAATGCTGATGCGGCCCTCAATGAAATTGAGTTTGACACCTCTGCCCTAGCTCTTTTTGCTTGCAGATCTTGCAGGAAAAGCAGAAACTCCCTTTGAAACAAGTATAAGAAAAAAAAGGATCTACTTTCTACAGCAGCGCTCTCCAAACTTGGCAACTTTAAGACTTGTGCAAGCTACAACTGTGTCAGGAAGAGATTGGCAAGCCAGGGGGAGAAGTTAAGCAGGGAATTAGTCTGGAATCCTTATATAAGGTACAAGAGGGCAAGGTCTGACACCACCACCACCCTTGAATGAACCTTATCTAGTCTGGCCCAGATGCAGATTGCCAGTCTGGGAAGATTCCTATGTAAAAGGCATGAGCAATAAAATAGCTAATTGAACTCTTCAGGTATGGATCTTGTTCACATCTAACATTAATCTTCTCAGACTCATTACCTGCTTGACTCTTGCCTCTGGCTCGCCCAATCTCTCCCTGACAATCTGGTGCAAAATGCAGTAGTAGGGGCAGTTATGTGTACTCCTTGATCACTGCCTGATAACACCTTTGTTCAACAAGTTCCACTGGTTGTCAGTTTGCTTCCAGGCTCAATTCAAGAAGCTGCTAATCCCATAGCTTAGGGCCAGGTTATCTGAAAAACCACTTCTCCTCAATTACATCTACTCTTCCCATCAGGGTCAGCAGCAAAGGTCCCATAGGCCAAGGAATGTCATCTGATAGGATCCAGGAGGAGAGCCTTTTCTGCTGCAGGCCTCTTGGAAGATTCTTAAGACATTGTTTTGTCTTCAGGCCTGGGGGAATCCAGTGATTTTTATGGAGCCCATTAGCTAGTTGTATTGTTAAATATTGTATGGATTGTCCCCTCTGGCAAATTACATTTTGAATTGCTTTAATTGTTTTTTCCTAATTATTTAGTTATAATTCTTTATTGCTTTTTGGTTTTCAATTGTATGAGGCACCCAGAGTCAAATATGTAAGATGGGAGGCTATGTACACATTGAATCAAGCAATCCATCAATCGGTTACATAATTCCTGAGGAACAGTGGCAAAGTGTGACACTTGTCATATTTATGACACTGCGGTGGCAAAGAAGCAGAGGCTTTAGGGTAGTAATCAGTGGTCTGCCACTACTTAAGGTCGTCCACTGGTGCCTCAGAAAATCCTCTTAAGATCCGGCCACTGAAAAAAATGACTCATTTTTGAAAGTACAATTTTCTCTTGAAGGGGAGGGGGTTGTTTTAAGATTGGAAATGGGAGTGCCAGGGCTTTGTGAAAAACAAACTACTTCAATTCCCATCTGAGTTGAAGGGATGGCTATTGAAGCATTTTGTTTGTTTGTTTGTTTAAAGATAAAGATCAGATGCACTTCGTAAGCAGAAAGGAAGATCTGAAAAGGAGGTTTGAAGTCACCAGGCCTGCCAATATTTGCTCTACTCCTCCCATCATCTTCATGGACAAGAGTGATGGCAATGGGGAACTAATGCATGAAATAGCTATCTTGGAATTTAGAATTGGCTATCTTGGTGTAGAAATATTTTCTAGGCCAGAATGGAAAGGCAGAAGTATTGAACTGCTTTAGCCTTTGAAGCTCCATTAGCTGGTTTTACAGGGAATAACTACAGATGACTTTTTGTGTGACATCTAGGGTAATTTGACTGCACGGTTGAGAATAGCCGGTATGATATCTATAAAGCTCCAGATAAGATCTTAACTACTGTATTCTTTACAAGGAGAGAGAACATGCAAACAAAGCTTTTGAACAAAAAGTCTTGACGCATCTCAGTGGGAAGTCAGAGGGAGCAGAAGGGTAAATTCCATTCTAAATGGAATGCTAAATGGACCATTGCAAACAAAGGTCATCGCTCCCTTCATTAAAAAGTATATTATGAAATATAGGCGTGCTTGCTTTGGGGAGCTGATAAAACCAATATACAGTACTGTGTTGTTACTAAAAGCCCAGCCTAGTAACAACAACTCTTCTCTTTCAGGAACGACATCTAACTTCATCTGAATCAATTCGGTGCCCAGAGAATTCTTAAGAAACAAACGGGAGATGAGGAGAAATCAGATAAATGATGACTCTAAGAAAAAGCTTTTAAAACTCCTGCCGATGGTCGCGATGGCACTCTATACCCCGTTCCGCCCTCTTCACGCACAGAGAGTCAAGCTCCAATCTTGTCACGTGTTCACTTAGGGTTGCAAAGCCTACTTCAGAAACCCTCCGCCTTGTCGGGATACCCAAAGGGATGAAGCATCCGGTCATTTCTATATTTGCAGTTCCATCTTACCGCCCCCCCCCAAAAAAAATTAAGAATAGAATAGAATAACCGTGTTGGAAGGACCTTGCGGGGTCTTCTAGTCCAACCCCCCTGTTCAGACAGGAAAGCCTATACCATTTCAGTCAAATGGTTGTCCAATCTCTTCTTAAAAACTTCCCGTGAGTTGTTTCACTGATTAACAGTTCTAATTTCCTTCACTTAAATTACCTTCACTCAAACAAAACAATTCCCATTAACAAATCAAGCATTCGCAGCTTGCAATCGCAGCAAGCCCACCCTTCATTCATAGTGCTTCTTTTCTCTACAGAGTCAAGTACCTCTCCGAGCAGAACAGCACCTCGCCGTCCCTTCCCAAGCCTTCCCAGCCTCTGCTCCCGACGAGCCACAGATGGAGAGGGGACGATCCGTGTCTAGTTCTCGCTCCCGCTCAGCTTTTGGGAGTTGCCGCGGACCCAATTTATTCTGTGCCGGTACCCCTTCCTCCTCCTCCTCCTCCTCCTCCGCCGCCGCCGCCGCCGCAGCAAATTGGAGCCGTGGGCAGGGATGAGCCGCCAGGAGGAGGTACTTAAAACAGTTGCTTTGCATTTTTCTCAAAGCCTCTTGGGAACACGCTTAAGGATGACTAAAATGGACTTTGCAGTTACAATCATGCACTTTATTCACGGTATTTTTTTGCTAACGCACAAATAACTACATACACATACATATATATTAAAAAAAAATGCTAAGAAGTACCACCATAATTTCGAAGGTAACAATATTTTGCTCTTCATATAAGTATGAGGTATCCTCCTTACTTCGGATGTGAGGGCGATCTGGCTGCGACATCTGTCACCCCATTGATCGCCAGGGTTGATTCGGCTGATCTGGCTGGCTAGGCGGGTGTCCCCTTCCTCCCTCACCGCTCCATGTGCGTCCCTCCCGAAGCTGCGCGCTCGGTGGAAGAGGACGACCTTCCCAGATAGAAGGAGTGTACCGATCTTCGGTCAAGGGTATACGATAGCTGCGCTCCCCTGCTAGAACCTCCAAACAAGCTCAAGGTCCATTTGTAGGAGAACGTAGGGTAGTCAAGCTTCCAAGACCTCCAGACACATCCAAGTGAGGCGCTGCATGTGGCAGTTTGCCATTCTTTTTTTTTCCCCCGCTTTCACTGCTACAATTCCAATTCCTCTTCTGTTTGTATTATTGCTTTACTATATATAAAACATATATGAAATATATAATTAAAATAAATTTAGAGCAATTAATCCTAACTAAACAAGCTAGAACTAGATACAGAATTATCAGAACATTTTGTAAAGCTTAGGTTTTCTTTGGTTATAGAATGTATGCTTTTCTCTAGATTCTAAAGCTGCATTCTTCCTCCTTTCCAACTTTCTCCAAGACAGATCAGGCTGAGAAGTTGATGAGCAATCCTTGGCCTTGGCCCTGGCCCTGGCTGGGGAAAATAGCTTCCGTCTAAACTGCAGAGGTACAAGTGGCAGCATCCAACAACCACACACAAGACTCAACTCTCACTATTGTTACTGCCAAGAACTGACAAAAAGCACAAATATTCGTGGATTAACAGCTGCTGGCAAGGCAGGAATATACATTTGGTAATAATGATAATCAAGCGCAGAGGAAATCAGGAAATCCAGGCTGTTCAAATGAACATAAAAGTTTATTGCAAGCTTAAGCTCACCAAAGAATCTGAATTACTAATAGTCAAAGCAACTTGATGCTAGATAAGAGTCAACGGAAATCAATGTGGGCTGGACTTAGATCTCTTGTGAGCACAAAAGGACTCTAGACTGATGACATGTTTGACCTCTCCCTCGGGCTCAGCCTGGTCAGCTCCTACAGTCTAGACCTCTCTTTTGCTCTTGCTCTCTACTTACTTTTTGCTTTTGCCCCAGCACCATCCACTTTCATTCCTTCTTTTCCCTTTTTGTCCCTTCCCAATATAGCTATCCTTTCTTCTTCCATCCAGTTTTTCTTCTTTGCTTTCTACTAGGAGGTAGTTTTATTTGTGTGTGTGTGTGTATGTGTATACGGTGCATTTTATACAAAATGCCTCCATTTCCAACCAGTGCATTTTATACAAAAATGCCTCCATTCTCAACCAGATCAGCCTAAGGATGTAAAGCCATCCAGCATCGATTCTTTAGATTTTTACATTTCCCAACAAAGGTCCCATTTGACTTATGTTTGTCATGACTTTGTACAAGTCACACTTGTATTTCCATTGGATAAACAATACCTGAACAATGTTGGGAGTGAAACGGCATAGAAATTTAAGTCAAACAAATAAAATCAAATTATTAATTCAATTAATAATTTAACCAAAAGGTACAGGCACTGAACAGTTACTAGTTGATGGTGACTCGTGTCCAGACAGCAACCCACATGGATTACTGCCATGCTTGTCACATGGGTCTGCTTCAGGAGATAATCAAGAAATTCCGGCTGGTGCAGGGTGCAGTAGCTAGACTAGCTAGGCTACTAGTGGATATATCCAGCCAGTCAGGAATAATACCAGTTGTAAAGTCACAGCATCAATTGCCACCATGCTTTCAGGCAATGCAAAGTGCTGATTATTCGTTGAAAGCTTAAGGGAAGATTCCTTGCTTGATGAACAAGTTAGTGAACCTTTGTATTATAACTGCTTTGAATCATTAGTCCACAAAGAGCAAATGGCCTTTTCAATGTGAATATTTTTTCAGAGCACAATGTGTGCTGAAACTTTGTCATTAATTTTAACTGAAATAACTATAAAATAATAAGAACTCATTGGAACTGAAGCTGTGCTTGCCATTGAACCCAAAATGAAAAAAAAAAAACGACCAATATATATATTGTAAGAATTAATCAAGCTTTTACATTCTTCATGCATTGTGAAAACTAGTGAAACTATTTTAATTAACAAAATATTGAGAAAGTTATAGAAATGTAAATATGTAAATACCCTAAATTAATGTTATATATCCTGGAAGATACTTTTCATGAAAGTGCAAATGTCAGAGGACATAATAATTTGTGTTAAAGTCAAATAGGAACCATATAGTGCCCCTAAGATGGTGCAACACCTGTGAAGAATTTTATTGTGACAGCCTGAAATATATATTGGAAAAACATTGTTTTCCAAATGCAGAGGCTGTGATGGAAACATACTGTGAATTCTGCTGATAGCTTTTTTAAAACGATCATTTTACAAAGTTTTTGTAAACAAAGAAAAAAAAATCTTCAAAATTACTGATGGATAAAGTGCTGCATTGCACTAGTATCAAATCACTCAATTGTTTGTGCTTAATCATTGATGGAAGTTACAAAAATCTAAAAATACTGAAAATTCAGCTCAATTATCAACAGCCAGTTATGTGACACCCAAAATATATTTAGGTATTTATTATTTATTGATACATTTATGGCTACCCATCTTATGGTGACTCAGGGTGGCTTAGAAAAATAAAATCCCAGTACAAAAACCAATAAAGGTCCATCCCCTGTGTTGACAACAATCAAATCAACCACTTGATGGGCTCCATGATACCCTGGAGTACCCAGACCAGTTGACAAAATCATGTCTTCAGGACCTTTTGAAAAAGTGTCAAAGCAGGAGCCAATTTTACTCTTGCAGGGACGATGTTCCACATTAGAGAGAGCCACCGTGGAGAAGGCCTTGGTACTGCCAGATGGACCTCTTTAACAGAGGGGACACATAACATACCCCGCCTCCCTGCTCTGGTGAGTCAGGTAGACATAACTGGGAGAAGACAGCTCTTCAAATATCCTGGCCTCAAGCTATGTAAGTCTTTAAAGGTGACAGCCATCAGCTTCAACTGGACCCAGAAGCAAATTGGCAGCCAGTGCAGCTTCTGCAGGAGAACTCACACATGAACAAATCTAGACTTCCACAGAACCATGCATACTGCCACAGTTTGAACCTATTGAAGCTTTTTTTTTGGGGGGGGGGGAGCAGATGCTTTTCAAGACCAGTCCCACGTAGAGTGTATTGCAGTTGTCAAGACAGGAGTGGCTGTGAGCAGGGATTGCTGATCCAGGAAAGGGAATCCACTAATGCATGACCTGCAGTGCTGCAAAGGTCCTCCTGGCTATGATTGCCACCTCTCCTTAAACAGGAGTTATGAGTCCAGGAAATTCCCCAGATTACGCACCGAGTCTGTCTGGAGCAGTGTGACCCTATCTAAGACCAAAGACAGCAATTGTCCCTGGACCAAAAAACTCCAGACCCGACTCCTTCTGTCTTGCCAGGGGTGTCAGCCTGTTGCTTCCCATCTAGCCCTTAATGCATCCAGGCAGGCACTGTGAGAGGGAGGAATAAAAATAGAAATATAAAAATCAGATGTACAAAAATCAGATTTCTCCACGCCCAGGTAAATACTCTGTTTTATTATCTGAAGTACCTCAGCGTATCAGGAATTTCGAGTCTCACAATGGACCTAACAAAGAAAACACTGGAATTTTGCTTGAAGTAGGGTTTTCTTTTGCTTGTTGAGTGGAAGTTTCAAGGTTCAAATGTCTTAGGGGGCATTTTCCTATATGCTCCATCTTTTTGAGAAAGGCAGCCCTTTCTTCTGTCAGCTATGTCATTTTCACTGCAACTGAGGGAATGTTAATCTTTTACATCAAGACTTGGTCTTGTATTTTATAGAAGCCAGACTATAGAAGTAGAAGGTTTTGGAGGAGAATATTTGTATGCACACAGGCACAGATGCATGCAAAGGTATGCATTCAAAGAAGGGTTTTTAATGTTTAAAAAAGCTACATGCTGCCTCTTTCATTTGAACATATTCTATACCGTACACTACATTTTGTACACTACACTACGTGCAGTGTAACTGAAAAAGTTTCCTCATTTAGAAGAATAGCTATAGTTTCTCTTGCCATATTCCTTCTCCAAACTCTTTTGTCATTTCTCCTTAGCAGCTTGTTACACTTTAAACATACTCCTCCTCTACGGTTCTGCTCCTTTGGAGAACATTAGAAATTGTCAGTTTTGTCCCTTGTTCGGCTAGTAGATCATTTGGTTTACTAATAAAATGGCGACTATTGCATGCTCTGAGTATCTCTGCAGGTACTTAAAACTCTACAGTGCTACTTATGTACCTCTGCCCTCTACATTCCTAACATTTACTTCCTACACTTACATCTTTCTTTTTTGCTTCCCATTCTGTGATGCAACATGCCATGAACATCATCATCCTGTATGGCAGGGATCTTCAAACTTAGCCCTTTTATGACTTGTGGACTTCAACTCCCAGAATTCCTCAGCCAGGCTGAGGAATTCTGGGAGTTGAAGTCCACAAGTCATAAAAGAGCCAAGTTTGAAGACCCCTGCTGTATGGGGATCAGGGGGCCTTTTGAGGAAGGAAGCGGTGGTGGCAATTTTAAGTTGGCAGTTTGAGACACTGAATAGTGAAATTGTGAATGGGAGTCTTCCATGCAAGGTCTTGTTTCAGAATCTTCTTCAGTTATTCTTTGCTTTTTGCCTTTTGTGTTCAGAATTTTTAAGCTTTAATTTCATGATTTCTTGTACTGAGCATATAGGTATTATTTCATTTTGCATTGAACTATTGATTGAATTGTTTGGTGTTCTTGGGGTCCAGGTATCTTTAGGAATTATTCCAGCATTACAGGACAATGGCCCAGCTTTTTGGATGATCAAGCTTCCATAGGCATGGTTACGGCTTGGAAAACTGTGGCCTTAACTCTATGTATCTTTGTTGTCAGTGTGTTGTTTCTGAACTTTAATACTTTGTGAAGACCATAATTCTCTTTCTCTTAAGTAGCAGATGTCTCTATTGCATGGTTACACCTACCACATCTATGGATTTTTGAATTTAGGAAAATGAAAATCTATCACTACAACTTCTCCACCTATTTGTATTGGATTGGCATTTTGCCATAATTTTAACAGCTCTTTTTTTAAAAAAAATAATTTTTGCCTACAATAACAACTTTCTTAAGTCTACTGGCTTCCAGCCTTTTGCAGGTTTTAATTTTAATTCCAATTTCCATCTCTTCCAATCCAGCATCTCTCACGATCATAAAAACTCACACCTGGCTCTTAACTAATTTTGAGAGCTATCTCACTTGTTAAAATTCACTTGTTTTGACTATAAATATTTACATCATTTAATTCCTAAGAGAAAATAAAACATCTTGGAAAATATGCGATACATGTTGTTTTCGATTATACAGCAAGCAGAAGACTTCAAAGGGTATTTCTTTTCAAAGAATATTTAGGAAATAGTAACCATATTTGTTAATGCAGAAACTATGAAATAGTAATCAAACAATGTTTAAATAATTTTATTTTGGGAAGGATTTTCTGAGCTAGAAAAGGAAACAAGCACAACCACGCAAAAGAGGGGGAAAAATGGAGAATGTTCATTTCTCAGATATATCTGCTTACTCAATTTTTTTTTTAATATTTTCTATACCTACTGTTCTCAACCACAGGACACAATACTTTTATTTTTAAAAAACCTAAAGCTTTCTATGGCAGCAATGATCTGCAAACCATCGTAGATTTGTGGTGTGGTGACAGTATATAACCTTATTCAACACTGATAAATTTGTATTGGCAGAAGTAATAACAGAATTATTCATAACAAATGCTATGAATTGCTCAATAGGATGACAGAAACTTTGTTTACTCATATGTAACTTCCCAGGAATGTATTGCAATGAGTAACTATATTAAGGATGGTTTAAATAAATGAAAAATAGATTTGTGTTACTTTAAAATAGGATAGAGGGAGTATTTATCTTTCACGGTCTGATCTGCTGCATGAGTATATGAATGAGTTTGCAGTTTTTATCTGTTAAATATTTAATTTTATCACTAATTAGGCATACAGACTTCTTAAATCATCTCACGTTGGATAGAATTTTTCAAAATGGCTCAGATTTTTTCTTTCCAGGTTACTTTTTTCCAAATAGAAAGAACTATTGAGGATTACTGTATAGTGAAACAGATTGCTTTTGTGCTTATTCCATTGTACAATTCATTGTTTCTCAAAAGAAGAACTAATGGCCAAATGTAACTGGTATATAATTTCATTTTAGAGAATAAGATATTTTTAGACACTGCAGATTTTTTACAGCCAAGAACATGCATAAAGTCCAATACCAGTGAAGATGGCTAAAGGAGTTTGCATATTTTTGTCTTCAGCATAAATGCTGATCAATTTACAGCATATCCGTTTCTGGAAAAAAAAAACCTTTGGTTCACAGGATAATATTGGACCAGCCTTGTTGACAAAGTTATTTCCCAAGGCACTTCTGCTGTCTTTGACATTGACTGTTGTCTTCAATAATGAACTGCAGTTGAACAATTAATATTTACCCTGATAATTCTGCTAAATTGTCACTTCTCATAAGCTGAGCAGTGCCAGGTAGGAAAACTTTGCTGCAACCAATGAGGGAGAAGGCTTGCAACAGGGTGTCAGAAGAAAGGAGTGCTTTTTCCAAATTTAATCCGGAGATTTCCGATCCAGCACAAAAGATGGATATCTGAACAGCTATTGAACTTATCATCCTAATAGGGAGAGCTTAACATATACAAATTGTAGGTTTTCTATCCACAGAGTTTGTTTTATGAAAAAGAGAAGCAAATAATATGCAACAGACTGAGGGGTCTAGAAAACAGAACTACGGAAGAGATATGGACGCTACTTCCAAAATTAACTGGAATGCTTACCTGGGGTTATTATTTCTCCCTGAGAAAATGCAGCCTCCAGCCTTCTCTGTGAATTGACATGCATAGAATTTAATTCTTCTGGTTTTTTTGCAGCATAAGAAGAGACAAGCCACTGAACCTCAACACCTGGACTTTTTTTTCTTTAAAATAATGCACTATAACTTCTATTAGTGTTTTCTATCCTAAAGCTCCAAGATTTCCATTTCTGGTCTACCAAAAAAAAAAAAAAAATTACGTTGATTTTTAGAAGGGATGAAATTTACTTCTAAATACTCTAAAAATAAGCAAGGTTAACCTACTCCCGAAAGCAACCCTTTAATTACATGACAGGGAATTTTTCTAACAACTTTATACTGAAGCAACAAAATTGTATTTGGGCAAAGAAAAGCTAAGGAATTAAAAAATAAAATGCAGGCTATGAATATATAAAAATCTTCAACTCTGATGCTGCTGCTGGTGCTTATTTTAATACTTTACACTTCATTATATTACTCTATAAACCCAGCTTTGTCATATTTAATATTGCTTTAAATAGTTTCCAAGACTTACTCCCCTACAAAACGTATTGTTTACAACTGAAGCAGGATCCCCTATAATAAATTTAGTTTTCACTGTGAAACGAGGCTAATGTTAAATATGAAATGGCATGGGGTCAGAATGTGGCCATCCTAGTACACGATTACGCTAATATTTCACTGCCATTATCAATGAGCAGAACCATGTTGTAATACTTATCGTGAATTATGCCAGCCAGTAACTTTAGAATTCCATAGGGATATGATACTCTGATCAAATACTGTTCAAAATGTAATGAAAGAAAATGCCTCTTTCCCTGCCAAATTTTACCACCTATATTCTAACATTATACAATGGTTGTCAAGATTCTGCTCTGCTGATTTTATACACAGGCTCTAAGAATTCCCAGTCATGTTAAAACAAAATGCCCAACTCATATTTTACTACAGAACAGTGAAGCTTAGTACCATCGTTGTGGCTATTCAGTTATGGAGTTATAGAAGAATGTAGATACTCCGTGGATTATTTGCCCAGCATAGCATATTCAGAAACTTAACTTATAGAATATTTAGTAAATGTCATTACAGTATAAACTGTATCTCAATTGTATTAAATACTGCCTTATTGCTACATTAATTCATTTATATAAAATGTGGTCAAAAAAAAGGAAAGAAAAAACCCTTTCCTTTCTGAAAAATTGAATTTCAAAAGTTATCATTTAAAAAAGCCCCCCAGAACAACAACAACAACAACAATTCCACAATTCTAGGCTGATATACAAATGTGCATTGGTCCTATGAAAATAAATGCCTCAATCATAAAATAAGAACAATACAAAAGTTACACAAGTTTGCATTCAAATACATACAACTAAAAAGTAAACTCTCTTAAAAGGTCCTGAAATGTCTCGGTCGTAGAAAATACAGACAGGAGGAACGTCACAGGAGACAGTGTCACGGAAGGCATGCTCCAATCCCATAATTCAGCGGTGAGCAACATATTTTGAAGACCAGTCAATCCTTCCATGCACTGGTTGAACAGGAGGTGGGGCTGGCAGCAACCCTGGTGTGCTTTTCATAGACATGTTAAATGATGGCCTCCCAATATGAGGTCTGATGGTCTTCAGGGAATTGTATTCTACAAATGAAGAAGAAGGATATGAAAAAGAGAGAGCAAGTCAAGGTGACAATCAGCTGTGTAACCTGGATTAGAGCATCCTATTTCAAATCAAAGCACTGGATTCAGAATTCTGCAAATGGAAGAAGACACAGTTGGGTCTTGGTTCATCCAAAATCTACTCATATTTTGACAGTGTTCTTCCCAAATAAAATATAACTGGGAGGGGTGATATTCCATATCCGAATAGGAAATAGTAGGAAAGAGTTCCTCTCCTAAGAGAGGAGCTTCTAGCTCCTCTATCTTATCTGCATGTATGTTGCATCCTGTGATTGGTGATGTTGATAGTTCTGTAGGTGCATGCCCTATGAAGTAGTCCATAAAAGAAGCACATCCAGAAATATCAGCACTAATGTAAGGTTACTTTAAACAGAACCTTGGAATCTCCTCTCGTTTTAGTCTCTGGAAAGGGTCCCTCCTGAAAAGTTTCCTATGTTTTTTTTCTCACTTGCAGTCTGAGCTGCTAGTTATCAGACTGGGCTGTGAGGATTCCTCCTGTCACCTAAAGTCATTCCCACATACCATCACAACAGGGAACAGCCAACATGCCCATACGACAGACTCTTATCAGCTAAATAAATAATCACCATCAATCACTTGCAAAATAATATTTACTCATAGAATCATACATCCAGGACAAAGCAGGCATCACCCCTTCCAATGAATGAACCTCGCTTCCCTAAAATGCAGCAGTTGGGCAATGAAACATTTACCACCCAAAAGCTAAGCTCAGATAAATTCAACAATGCAATAGCTATATTAGATTTCCACATAGGTTAATCCATATATTTTTCTTCAAACTAAATTAAAATCTCTCCACGGAATCTTTTAACTTATTCTGTGCAGCTCTCAAAGATGCGTTTAAAAATAAAATAAAACACATTCCCTAAAAAATAAAACACATACCTCAGCTTCAACAATGCCCCACCACCCCACCAAAATGACAGTCTTTGGTTAACATACAATAACTTATCAATAAAGAAGAATATTTGTAGCCCAGGGTTGAAATGAGAGGTCCTTGGTGCTCTCTGAGCTTGGTTGTTTTCTTGCAGATATTTCATTATACAAATTAGGTAACCTGATCAGTACTAGTTTGGATAATGAAACATCTATAAAAGGCAAACAAAGTGCAGTGAGCACCAAGGACTTTTCATACAATAACTCATTCTATTACTGGCATCCATAGTCATAAGGAGATCTATAAAAATATAGTAGCCTCTTTTGTTAGCTTTTGAAGACTTATTTGAGCATTGCCTAAGCCAGGGCTTTTCAACCAGTGGTACGGGTACCACCTGTGGTACATTGGCACCTGGCAGGTGGTATGCGACCATCCTAGAAAAGTGGTAGCGGGGGAGGGAAATGAGCTGAACCAGTGGCAGCACCGCACAAGCCTGAGCGAGAGATGGCTGGAGCTGCAGGGCTGTCAGGGCTCAGTGGAGGTGCCAGGATCAGCACCAGGCTCCAGCTGAAGCTCGGTGCTGATCATGGTGCTTCTGCTGAGCCCCGAAGAAGCACCAATCAGCTGGAAAGCAGCACTGATCCTGGCACTTCTGCTGAGCCCAGAAGAAGTGCTGATCAGCTGGAATGTTGCAGCATCTCCAGTGTCTTGTGATTTACATTCAGATGCTTGGCAACTGATTCATATTTATTGCGGACACAGTGTCCCAAGGTCATGTGAAGTGACCAAAACCTGCAATCACCCAGCAGACAAGGGGAATAAAAACCAAACACCCCCCACCCCTGCTAACAATCCTCAACAGAAATGTTCACAACAATGAAAACCTCGGACAGGAGGAAGAGCGCGGCCGGGCGGGCAGGCAGGTATCTTGCTTGGCTGTGGCTTGCGGGGGGGGAGGCTTTTTTCAGTGCCATTGTAACTTCAAACAGTCACTAACTGAACTGTTGTAAGTCGAAGACTACCTGTACTTTATCATTTTTCCCCCTTTTTTTTGATCATCAAGTTTTTGACACCTTGCTAGGTGACCGGTGGTACTCAGATGTTGCCATATCCTAAAAGTGGCACAATGGATGAAAAGGTTGAAAAGCCCTGGCCTAAGCAGTCTTCACTACTATAAGAACTAGAAATATTCTAAAAAGGAAGAAGAAAAACCAAGATGAATTCCCAAGTTTCAAGTATAGAAAAGGCACAGGTCATATTCAAGAGTACTGAAGAAGAGAACATTTTCTGCTTAGAGTAATGTTTTCTTGATTCTTGGTTTTCTTGTTCTGTTACTTGCTTGTTTGTTGAATGTTAATCCCAGCTTAACTAAGTTTTCATACATAACACTCAAAAGAGACAATAAAAAAACCCTAAAAAGGAAACAATAAGATCAGAACGTATCTTCTCCAGCAGTCAACACCCAAATAAGCAGGGATTAACACCTGACAAAAAAATCAAGCAAAAAACAATACCCTAATCAAGGAACTACCCAGGAAAAAAACAACCCCCCACCAACACTAGCAGGGAAAGCTACTGTATATAAACAGGGAGGAGGCCCCATATTCATTAACACTGATGATTAGCTGGTTGAGTAAAGAAACACCTGCAAACAGACAAACAAGCTCAAAGACCATTGACCATTCCACCATTCAATCCTGAGCTATAGATATTCCCTTTTGTTGGAAGAGAATATCATTATATACAATAGGTCAAGGCACAACAGAGCATACAATAGAAGCGTCTATATTTCTTGTTGTTTTTTGACTATCAAAGCAGAAAGTCAACAGTTTCCAAAAGAAAAGATCCTTTCAAAGCAGTTACTTATTAACATGAGGTCTGCCTGGCTGGTTGCCCAATTAACATCCAGTTGAAGCCCGAGGAGCTGTGAACTGTGAGGATTTCCCAAACGAAACGCCACAATTTCTAAAGCAGTGGCTTTACTATCATAGGGCATAACATCATTTCCAGAGAGAAACAAGCTTACGAGAAGAGGAGTCTGCAGGAGACGGATCAAGAATTGGTGCCAACTGCACTCTCTGACCAGCTGAGCCAACTTCTTTTTTCAGAAAGGAAGGGACATAAGCACCCAGTAGGCCACTTGACCCTGTGCAATCTAAAATAATTTACAAAAAAGAGGGTTGCGTCAATGCAGAAGGTCAAGTAACCATTCCTTAGGCACCACACGCCACTTGTAATTAACACCCGTTAATGCCTAGTAGAAATATATTAGACATGACATTTAATTAGTATAACTTCAAATGCAAGCATTATTTCAATCGGCATAATAAGCCCCAATTTTATATATTTTTGAGCTATATTTTAAAGGTATCTTCTTTATACTCTATGGGAAAAAAACCATGCCGCCAATCTCTAAAGAGATACTATCCCCATGACTTTTATTAAAAAGGATGCTTGTTGGAAGCCATTCTCTTTGTAATAAGCCCCAGCCCATATGAAAGGATGCCACAGAAATAGCTTCCTTTTCTCTGACAAGTTCACATAAAGCAGCAACCTAAATGAAATACCATACAATAGCAATGGGCAAAGACAGTACTGTAGCCAGCAGATTTTCTGAGCTGACAGTGAAAGGCATACTGTTAACTTAAAAAAGGAGTGGTTTTTGTCATAATGATCTTAAAAGCCCGATTTATAGTAAATCCTATCCAGAATTATTAGAAAGAAAGTACCCACTGAACTTAGTCAAACTAAAAATGCATTTAATATCTTGGTTAAGGAATCTTTTAGCAGCATCCCATTCAGAAAACTGGTTGTGGTGGGGATCAGAATGACTTTAGTAAATCCTTCAGAAGGTTTTGGTAACACTTCTTACTGGTGTTCAGCCTGGTGATCCCACCTGCTGTTGCCGACGTCTTTCTAGGCAAACTAGAGCTTGGCCATGGATTTGGTAGGACAGAATCTTTCCTTGAACTAGAGACCAAATTATTTCTTGGGCTTATTCCTAAGGTCAAAACAAGACATTTGATAAAATGCTGCAGATATATTATATATTGATATATCTTTTTCTCTTCTATTTCTGTGCTACTATAGTTCCCAACTAACTTATTTGCAAATGTTATTGCCGATTGGCATGATTCTTCTTAAAGTAAGAAGATTATTAGATGATTCTTCCTTCTTAGAAGGAATCCAGACGTTTGGACAGTTAATCAGTTATGAGCCTTTAGAGCAGTGGTTCTCAACCAGTGGGTCGGGACCCCATCTGGGGTCGAACGACCATTTCACGGGGGTCGCCAAACAATGCAGTCCCCCCCCCTTTTCCCCCTTTTCCTTAGCTGTGCTACTCCCTTTTATTCTACTGGCTTTTGAAGCCAATAGAATAGACTCTCTTGAATAGAGTCTAATTCTATTGGCTTTCAAAAGCCAATAGGAATTATCCAGGCTGTCTCTGCCCTGCTGAGCCCGCCAACAGTCCCATTCTGCAAACGGTGCTGCACCAATTGAGTAGTCCTAGACTTACAACCGGTTGAGTAGTCCTCAACTTATGACCGGCTGGGGGTCGCAGCATTAAAAAGGTTGAGAACCACTGCTTTAGAGAAAAGATACAAGAGGTTCTGGAATAATGAAGAAATGGCAAAAGTGGGCTGCTCAGAGACACCATTGTGTCATTTTAATTTAATGTAAACAACTGGATGGTGCAAATATACTATGAAAGCTGACTACTAATTGATACAAAAGATCTTCCTGTTGCCATCCTTTGTTTTCAACCAGATGATGATTTCCCAATGTTCTCCTTGGCTTCTTGGAGGAAAATTGCTCCAACACAAAAGCACAAGACTGCATTCTGTCTAATTTTGATTGATACATCATTTAGCCAGGGTATCACCATTGCTTTAATTGAAAGGCTGTCTGATTGCAGTTGCTGACCCTGTGCAGTAGGGTGAGCAACCTTCCACCAGCTAATTACTGCATTTTTATTTATTTTATATTTTTGAAGGAGACAGCTAAGATCCACGAGGGAGGAAGAGTTCATTGTCTGATTAGAGGGGAGAGTTTTTCTGCTTGGTTTTGGGTGTGTTAAAGCAACAAAAGTTGACATCTCTTTAAAATGCTTCCTACCAAAAACTGATGGGAAATTCAGTTTCTGTTTGCTTTTTGCCAGCAAAATTTGGTGGTATATTTTCTGGAGTGACAGAAAGGCTAATATTGCCTGCCTCTTTTGCAGGCTATATTTTGATAATTTGATGTATTTTAAGTTTTAGACAAGACCAATTTATGTTGAACAATGAAACTCAACGAACAGTTTGAGCAATTTGCTCCTTTGAAGTCTGGCACAATTCACAGGGTTTCTATGAAAGAAAACCAGCTACTACCAAAGTAATAGACTTTGCTCCTTGGAGGAAGGATGGCATAAGTAATTATTGTTAGAGGTTTCAAACAGATCATAAACTGAATAGAATTTAATCTATGAAAATATTTTCTGCAAAAGTGCACAATAAGCCTACTGTTTGACGTTAGAACAAATTTATAACATTTTGAAAAGTCAGCCGTTTAGAACATCTGCTGCTATTTGGACACACGAATAAAGGAAACAAAAACAAGTACCGTATATTCCGGCGTATAGGGCGACCCGGCGTATAAGACGACCCCCGAGTTCGACGCCGGGTCGCAAGACGATCACGCCAAGTCGCAAGATGATCGATGCCGAGTCGCATATAAGACGACTTTCTAGGCATGCGACTTGGCATCGATTGTCTTATACGCCGGAAACTACGTTATTTCCGGCGTATAAGACGACTTTCTAGGCATGCGACTCGGCGTCGATCATCTTATACACCGGAAATAACGTTATTTCCGGCGTATAAGATGATCGACGCCGAGTCACATGCCTAGAAAGTCGTCTTATACGCCAGAAACTACCTTATTTCCGGCGTATAAGACGACTCGGCGTATAAGAGGACCCCCGAGTTCGGAGGCTGTTTCATCGCTCTCAAAAGTCGTCTTATATGCCGGAATATACGGTATTTATACAACAAGCAGTTTGAGGCTGTGAATTCATATGGTACTCTCCCCCCTCCCAATCTAAATGCCATTTCCTAAGAAATATTACAGTAAAGATTATGGTTTGGGTTTGTTTGTTTTACTAACCAGGTAAATACCTAGAATGTTTCAAATAATGTTGTTTGGCTGCAGAAACTTGGCACGTTGGCATGTCCTGTTGAAGATAGGAAGGTGCGCTGTTTCCCGTCCCTATGCAGGCTGCAGGTTTCAGATCCAAAATACTTTCAAATCTGTAACCAAAACCAAATAACCCAGTTCAGACGCTCACAGTACACCCCTCTACATCAATTCACATGATTTTTTTTTCTGACCAAAAGAAGCTGCAACTGAATCCTTCCGGGACTACTGTTGTGAGGAAAACAGAAGAAAGAAGGAATATTGATATGTTTGCCACCTTGAGTTGCATATAAAAGGCGGGATAAAAACCTAAAACAATCCCCCAAACCGTAAAGGTTCAGTGCAATTTCCAACACACATTTTTTTTTGATGGTCAAATACCAAAAGTAATTACATACTAAAATGGTTAATTCAGATTACACAGAAAAAGATACATAATGCTCAGATAACTTTTGCTCTGCTCCACCACCAGTAACACACACTCATTATGCAAGGTTACTTAGACAGGTGTTCCCAGTGAAGGAAACAGGACTCAAGTCTTAATATACATGTAACTAAATTGTCCTTCCCTGAGAGTAAGCTCCATTAAGCTAATTTGGAGGCACTTCCAAATAAACATGTGAATGAATAGCTAGACAGCTATTGAACAGGCTGAATCGCTATTGAGGAGGCAGCTTTACCTTAAGATCGAGAGATTCTTGTATGTTAAGTGAGCAAAATCACCACATGACACACAAATGCATATTTACACAGGATACTGAAAATGTGATTTTGTGCCCTTCGTTGCTCTGCAGGAGTACAAACTGGTTGCACACATGGTGACAATCAGGGCTTTTTTTTCTCATAGAACGCCCAGAACAGAGTTCCAGCACCTTTTTTGGATGGAACCTTGTAAGGTAGGCAAGGCAGGTTGTATGACATGTGTGTGTTCTGGCACCTTTTTTTTTTTTTTTTTTTTTTTTTAGAAAAAAAGCACTGGTGCCAATACAATTTGTGTATTCATATTTCCTTGAAAAAGGGTATTACTAAGTTCAACTTTAATTGATCTTATGTTAAGCAGGAATGGAATATAGCCTATAAATCAGGGAGGAGTTATATGTGGCCCTCCCAAGGATGACTGAAACTTCCTGTCAGCTCCAGCCAACATGGCTTATAGTCTTCCATTATCGCAAAAGCCATATGTTGCCCATCCTTGTTTTGAAAAATATATCATTAGGATAGGAATGGGTGGCTGGGGAATTCTGGGAGTTGAAGTCCAAACATCTTAAAGGTTGGGAAACATTATAATACACACGGGAAATCAAAAGCTTACCTACAAAGAACATCATCACTCTGCCCTTTGTTTTTAAAATCAGTTCTGCTGAGGGAAGACTTCCTATCACTCTCTTCCAAAGTATCCAACTCCTCGGAACTTTTTATTGTTCCAATAATGTGGCCCCATTTATGTTGGTTCTTTGGTTTGAGATCTCCGTTGGCGTCTTCTGTTGCAATGGAAGTTCTCTGTCAAAATAAAAATAGGCCAGAGTTTAAACTGCTTTGTAAATGAAAGGAAGTTGGGGATCACTCTCCCTGAGTATGTGACTGGCTTCCAGGTGTGACTTCTCATTCTCCTATAGCTGCTGGAATCTGATCCCACGGTCAGTTCCCTCTCTTGGTCTACTAACTTCTCAAAAATGAGGATTTTGCAATTATAGGAAAGCAATGCTTCAGACAGAAGAGCCGAGGTGGCGCAGCAGTTAGAGTGCAGTACTGCAGGCCACTTTAGCTGACTGTGTTCAGCAGGTCAGTGGTTCAAATCTCACCGGTTCAAGGTTGACTCAGCCTTCAATCCTTCCGAGGTTACTGGTGTACAACGCTTAGAGAGTGCTTGCACTTAAAGCGGTATATAAGTCTCATAAATAAATAAATAAATAAATATGCACCCAGAACAAATGTGCATAATTTATTCCAATCACAGAAAGCTTCTCCAACAGAAAAAAAGCTTTGATAGATAGATAGACAGGTCTATTACAAGATAAAGTATCCCACGGATGTGCATTGTGAAGAATAGACCGTCATTTAAAACGGGCAACAGTAGTGAATATTGGAGCAGGTATGTTTCAAAAATGCCAAGTGTTCAAAGCTTCTTACCTGTAGAGAAAGTTTGGTGTGTATTTCTGGCAAGACCACCTGGCTTGGCTTGATTTCCTTTAGGTGGGCCCTGGCTGAGGAGTCTGCTTTGTGTGGGTAGGTCAGGGACTGGGAGGAATGGCTTTGCAGACATGGTCTCAATGAGAGGCCACTCTGGGCTTTAGGTGGGGGTGCTGCTGGTGGAACGGGCTTAAAGTGGCTTTGGCCTTTGTCGGGAAGGTCTCGCTGTTGCTTTCCCAGCTCCCCAATACACTGAGAAAGGCCCAGAGCTTGGCCAACCTGGAAATAAGGATATCGAAGTGCCTGAAATCCAATGGGAGGAAAAAAAACGTCATTATTCAGTGAAGAAGACCCAGCAATCAAAGAAGGGTAGGAACGTGGGGATATTTTCAGCCTCAAAAGCCAGAGCTGTGTTTCCTGTAATTGTGAAAATGGGAAGGAAAAGCTCGGGATATCCTAACACGTGCAGGATTCAGTTTCCAGAAGCTTTTCATTTATACGTGATTTTAAAAACAGCACTTAAGTTTCTTTTGAGCTTCTGACACCCTTTTGAATTGAGTTGACCAGAATGTGTGATAAGGTGCTTGGGAACAGGCATGAGCGAACCATTGACCCTGCTTTAACTCGAATGGACATTCCCCTGTGATCCTGCAGCCACTTTGTAAACCTAGGGCAGGGGTGAGGCAACCTTGGCTCTTTTATGACTCTGCACTTCAACTCCCAGAATTCCTGAGCCAGCATGGCTGGCTCAGGAATTTTGGGAGTTGAAGTCCACGAGTCATAAAAGAGCCAAGGCTGCCTACCGCTGGCCTAGAGAAAGGCTCTTTTCAAACAGGTACAGTTTTGCGCAACTGTTCTGGAAAAAAAAAAAACTTCCAACTTTGGACCTAAAGGGCAACACATCTCTGGAGAATGCCAGTTTGCTGGGGGAAAATTAGCGGGAGGAGGGTGCTCTTCACGTCCTCTCCTGCCTGTGGACAGATGGGTTAGCCTCTGTAGGGAACCGAATGCTGAGTCAGGCAGCAAACCTCATCATACGTTCCAAGAAAATGAGGTGCTGTGTTAATGTAAGAACTGCATGAAGAACTGAAGAAAATGTAGCAACAGCAGCAGCAGCAGCACATATGCTATAGCAGGGGTTCTCAACCTTGGCAACTTTGCTGGCTGAGGAATTCTGGGAGTTGAAGTCCACAAGTCTTAAAGTTGCCAAGGTTGAGAACCCCTGTGCTATAGAGATTTGTGCCCACCCTGCCTGAGATGATGATGATGATGATGATGATAATAATAATAATAATAATAGTAGTAGTAGTAGTAGTAGTAGTAGTAGTAAAGTTGGAAGGGACCTTGGAGGTCATCTAGTCCAACCCCCTGCTCAGGCAGGAAACCCTACACCATTTCGGACAAATGGCTGTCCAGTCTCTTCTTAAAAACTTCCAGTGTTGGAGCATTTACTGTTTCTGGAGGCAGGTTGTTCCACTGATTAATTGTTCTCACTGTCAGGAAGTTTCTCCTTAATTCTAGGTTGCTTCTCTCCTTGATTACTTTTCATCCGTTGCTTCTTGTCCTGCCTTCAGGCACCTTGGAAAATAGCTTCACTCCCTCTTGTTTGTGGCAGCCCCTGAGATATTGGAACACTGCTATTATGTCCCCCCTCGTCCTTCTCTTCGTTAAACTAGACATACCCAATTCCAGCAACCGTTCCTTATATGTTTTAGCCTCCAGTCCCCTAATCATCTTTGTTGCTCTTCTCTGTACTCTTTCTAGAGTCTCAGCATCTTTTTTACATCGTGGTGACCAAAACTGGATGCAGTATTCCAAGTGTGGCCTTACCAAGGCATTGAAGAGTGGTATTAATACTTCACGTGATCTTGATTCTATTCCTCTGTTAATGCAGCCTAGCACTGTGTTGGCCTTTTTGGCAGCCACAGCACACTGCTGGCTCATATTTAGGTGATTGTCTACTAGGACTCCGAGGTCCCTCTCACAGTTACTGAGATGATAAAGACCCTGATTTGGGGCTTGTAGGAAAAGGAAATCAACAGTGGTCAGAACCAATAACAGGCAAAAATATTCTCTATGCTCTCCTCTATGATGGCTCCTTCAGTGTCAAGGGAGACAATGTGCCATGCTAGTGGCAAATAGTATTTATAAAGAGCTGTTAATAAAAGAATATCAAACCTGACTGGCAGTTGGCCGCTTTTTGGGGTCCCATTGCAGCATGTCTCTCATGAGCTGTATGGCCTCACTGCTGGCATTAGGGATGAGGGTCTTTAGGTTATTTGGTACACACTGGGGCCACCGGAAATGCATGGTGCCAGCGAGCTGGTAGCCTTCAGGCCAGTCGTTCTGAAAAGGATTATAGAGGCCTGATGTCAAGGAAGCTGTTGTAATATTACTACAGCCTTACACGAACACTATAGGTCAGTGATGGCGAACCTATGGCACACATGCCAGAGGCGGCACTGGGAGTCCTCTCTGTGGGCACGTGCGCCGTTGCCCCAGCCCCGCCTCCCCCCACAGACCTCTCCTCAACAGCAGCCCCCCGGAGGAAAGTTGTCCCCAGCAGCACACCCAAGGACATGGCAGCCATGCAGCAGGGACAAAACTCTGCCCTCACACCCTGTCGTGCAGATGATGCTCCGGGGCACGGACGGAGGGTGTGGCTGCCATGGCGTTTTGAGTGGCCCTATGGGTGGGCAGGGGTGGGGCAGAGCAAGGGTGGAGTGGGCGGGGTGGGAGGTGGAGCGGGGGTGGGCCAGGGGCAGGGCAGTTTTGGGGCACTTGGTCTCTAAAAGGTTCACCCTCACTGCTATAGGTAATCCTCGACGTATGACGGCTGGACTTATTGGGACTGGAATTTTCATTGCTAAGTGATGTAGTTGTAAAACATGACTGCATCACTTAAGCCAGTGGTTCTCAACCTGTGGGTCGGGACCCCATTTGGGGTCGAACGACCATTTCATGGGGGTCGCCAAACAACACAGTCCGCCATTTTTCCCCCTTTTCCTTAGCTGGGCTACTCCCTTTTATTCTATTGGCTTTTGAAAGCCAATAGAATAGACTCTCTTGAATAGAGTCTAATTCTATTGGCTTTCAAAAGCCAATAGGAATTGTCCAAGCTGTCTCTGCCCTGCTGAGCCCGCCAAAAGTCCCATTCTGCAAACGGTGCTGCACCAGCTGAGTAGTCCTCGACTTACGACCGGTGGAGTAGTCCTCGACTTACGACCGGTTGGGGGTCGCGGCATTAAAAAGGTTGAGAACCACTGACTTAAGCGATGGCAATCCCTCCAATCCTGGTGGATGTTGTTAAACGTACCTCATGCTGTTAAGCGAGGCTACTTCCTGCTGGCTTTCCACAACCAAAGTCAAGTCCCAGACTGGAAGGGAGTGAGTAGGTGTGCAGAAGGTATAGGGAGAGGTGGGGAGAGTGTCCAAGAGTTTGAGTGCACGAGAGGTGCAGCATGGCTCATGAGGGTGCAGTGTGGGTCAGGAAAGTGTGAGGCAGTGGACAAGAGGCACAGTGTGGATTAGGGAGGATGCATGAGAGGAATGGCACGGGTTGGAGAGGGTGAGCTGGGGTGCAGCATGGGTCAGATGTGCAGGGGTGTGGTGCAGGCTGAAGAGGGTATGTGAAGGCATACAATTGGCTGGCATGGCATGGGCATACAGGGGCTGGGAGATGCGTTTGCAGGTAGGGGAGACTTGGGGCCTTCCCTGCTGGCTTCCCCATTGTCTTTTTGGGGACGCCGGCGGTGAAGGTTGCCAATGGCGATCGCGTGATCATGGGGTACAAAACAGCTACCAAGTGCCCAGATAATGATCATAAGACAGTCGGGAGTGCTGGGATAGTTGGAACTCTGAGGACAGTTCATAAAAACCTGGCTTGAGCTGAAAGTTTTAATATGCTCTTTCACTGTCACAACAGTTGCAGCAAATTATATTGAGTTATGCTTTTAAGTCAACGCAATCATTTTGACAATTTCTATTTATATAATCTGTTATTTACATATGCCACCTTGAGAAATATCAGAACTAATTTTGGAAATAACTCTCAGCGGTGTCTGCAGAACTGTGAGAAATTAAAATGGCCACCCACAATTATGGTCTGTTAACTAGTGGATTCTGCCAGGGCTTTCAAAGTTAGCAGCCCTGCCAGGCTATCTGATGCTGATGCCAAGTCTACAGAATGGGATCTAATGTAGTTGGAGGAGAAGAATAAAGGCACAATACAATTCATTCTAAGAATGGGCCAATTATTGCAGTGTGATCAACTGGATCTATACCACAACCAAACGATAATTCATCTAGGCTTGACTGAACACTTACTAAGGGAAAGACAGATGAGCAACCTGCAAGCATTCAAATGTTCTTGCCCTTCAGCTTTCACCTTCCCTAACTCTGGGACACATTATCGTTGAGGATGTTTATGCTGATGAAAAACGGAGCTGATTTGATTGACTATTCCAATGAACAAGAGGGAATCATATCAAATTAAGCATACACAATATTGTCCAAGTCTATGTATACTGCGTGTATATATGACCTCATCCCTCTCTCATTTGAAATCCATTCTTGCACACTTGAGTTTTCAAAGTGGGCACTATGTCAGATGAAGCAAACCTTACCTTTGCAGCGATTCAAATACACGTACATGAAGAAATATATACACAGTGGTGAAAGAATACTTAAATAATCTTAAAAGCAACATTAGAATAATAATAAAGATAAATATGAGCAATCTCGGCATAGCTTCTTCCCAAGTGTTAAGTCCCAATGATCTCACTTAGTTTCAAGTAAATATGCACAAGATCAAGAGATATAATATATGCTGTCTTGTGTTCTTCATACAGTGTCATTGTTTACCTGCTGATAACATAAACCTGGAATCATTTTAATTGTCTATCTGATATCGACACAGCATAATAGGACATGTAATGTACTAAGAGAAAAACAAAGCCCATAGAAGCTATTCATGCCTGCAATATTCCATATGCAACAAAGGCCCGGCTCTCATTTAGCTACCTTTTTCGGTGTTCCCAACACTTGGCAAATTTTGAAAATAGTATCTATTTCACTGGTCCCGGGAAACAGTGGCCTGAGTGTATAAACTTCTGCCATGATGCAACCAACAGCCCAGATATCAATGGGAGAACTGTAGTTAGTGGACCTCAAGAGCACTTCGGGAGCTCTGTACCTGAAAGCCAAAAATAAGAAAAAGAGTGTTTTCTTTTTAAATTAACTATAGTAATTAAAGCAGCTGCTAATACAGGACACAGACATTGTGAGTGTTCAATTCTCCCTACTCACTCCTTACTCAGGGTAAGCTTAGTGTTCTATCAGGGCTCATGGGTTTTCTTACCTCATTTGATGGCCTTTTATGTATAGTGTGCCATTCACTGGATTCACCCACAGTTCTTATCTATCAAGTTGTTAAACAGGATTTCTCGAAAGACTATATATGATTCATGCATTATACTAAGTCCAAACTGGTCAGATTGGATGATGGTTGTACAATGTACCCAATGAACTAGTTGGACTTAGAGTTTTATGATTCAGTCTGTGATGTAAAACTAAACAACAGTGGTTTATTCAATAAACCAGTTAAGCAGAACATAGCTTAAGACAACGAATGACCACAGGCTCTGAGGTTGTATAACACAAAGTACTCATGAACCATTATGCTTCTGTAATGATGATTGTTGAATCATCTCTTAATTCCGTGGGGAAAATCTATGGGGTCTCTAGGAGTCAAAAACAACTTGCTGACACATAATCAGTCAATTAATTAATTCCATGTAATCTGACTGAAATAAAACCAGTGGAGCCTACAGGTAGCCTTCAACTTACGACCAGTCGGTTACTGACTGTTCAAAATTATGACAGACTTACCTGAGGGCTACTTATGACCCAGATTTGAAGTTCTAATTGTCACCCTCCCCTGGTCACATGGCTGCATTTACTACTATTTGTAGTGTTCAGTGATCACATGACTACACTTTACTAGTTTTGCCCCAAACTGGCATTTACTTTGTTTTTAGCAAAATCATGCTTACTGGTTTGCTTAACAACCATAGCATTTACTTAACCACAGCAAAACAAGTCACAACTTACAATTGTGATGGATAGGTACCATGATGGTTGAGGACTATCTGTGCAAATGTGGAGTTGGTATAAAATGCCTTGGATTCACTACAAGTTAATAAGTGCCTTCCCTCCCTATTGAAAATGCTAAAGCCCCCGTGCTAACAAGCCAAGAAAATCTTTTTGGTGAAAAAATCTTCAGAATTTTCTCCATACGGAGAAACGCTATTCCCATCTACAACTGCAAAATAATGTGCACCTCTGCAAAACTCGGGAGGTTCTGGTCAAACGAGCAATTCCATGAGCAGAGGAGCTTCATCCTTCATATCCGCTAGAGTGATTGGACTACTCTTTGTTCATTTCAAGATGTGCTGCGAAGATTCCTGCCCATAAAATTCCATTAGGCCCTTTACGCAGACAGTGCCGATTTTATCCCAGATAAAATTATTTCAAATTTACTATTATTAAGCCAAGAATATATGGGCAGAGCTCTCAAGAGCAGCTTAACATCATAGGATTAGAGGTACCGAGCTGATTTTGAATTAGTGAAGTCATGACATGGGCGCGTTTCTATTGGGTCTACCTTTTCTCTTCCTAGCAAACCAATTCAGCTGGGACACCTGATCCTCCATGTTTTTGAGGGTTTCCTAATCTTGGCAACTTTAAGACCCATGGACTTCAACTCCCAGAATTCCCAAGCCAGCCATGCTGGCTGGGGAAACCTGGGAGTTGAAGTCCACACCTCTTAAACCTGCCAAGGTTGGGAAGCCCTGCACTAGAGAGATTGCTACAGACAGAAGAGAATTGTCCTTTTTAAAATCAGCCCTGTTGTATATGTTCAAAGCTGGATTCTACTTGTTTACTTATTTACCTATCAGAAACAAGAAAGAAAATTCAAATAAAAGTGTCACTAATTATCACATTTATCCAACTACTAAGACTCTAACTTAAGTATTTACCACCGTGTCGAAACGTAATCTGTGTACGGAGGTCTGGATCTAATTTCACGCGCAAGCCCAAAATCAGCTATTTTCACAAGTTCTGGTCCCATGCAAAGGAGATTCTCTGGTTTTAAGTCCCTATGAAAAAAACCTGTGTGAAAAGACAAACACTGGTCAGGCTTTTCTCTCACCCTTCTTCTTAGCTTTCACCTTATAGACCTCTTTTAAGAATTACAAGAAATAATTGTTCAGAAAACATCAAACTGTATTTTTGCTTATATAATACTTGAGCCCTGCTCTTCCTTTCACTTTAGGCAGAGGAGGGTTTAAATTTGGTTACGCTTTATGCTTGGAGGTATAGATCAGAACAAATGCCTTATATTTGTTTAGTAAGCACGAAAATTAGTATTTCTGAATAGAAAGCAAAAATAATTACACTGACTATATGTAGACTGAAAGATTCCAGGATTTTATGGATAAAGTATTTAAAACTGAGAATGATACTAACATGATGTTACGACTGTATTACAGCCAGAGGCAATAATAGCAACACAACTTGCTATAACAGATGTAAATAACACATTTTGTACAGTATTGCTCTATGTAAGCTGATCTGAAGTCAATTCTGTTGATCTCTATGGGATTCAGAACTTTCATCAAGAAATCACTATTTATTCAACAACAGGTCTTTTCAGAAAACCTTAGTGATAAGCATTGTTTAGTTCCCTGAACCCAAACAAGGAATATCTGCCCACATATTTCTGAGATATTCCTTCTCTCTTATGCAAACAGAGACTCGTCCAAGTTGTCATTTAAATCTTACCGTGTTTATGTATGAATGCAAGGCCTTGAAGAATCTGATACATAATATTCCTGACAGTGGATTCTGGAAACAGTTTGTTCCTGTAAAGCAGAAACAGAACTCAAAAGTTTACATTCACATATGAGGTTTCTTATCTGCAGTTGTTTCCAAAGTGAAGATATAGTGGAAGGCTATAAATACAGTAGATCAGAACACAAGCAAAGCTTAGACATTCTGAAATGGTTTGGCTCTGGATCAAGTCCTCTTCTGTTTATTTATTTAGGATACTCACATTAGCTTTACTGTTATTGATGTCACATAAGCAACTGAGAAAAAGATTCTCACAGTAACTTTCTCCGCTTCAGAACAAGGATGGAAATGCCACGGTATTCAGAGTGCCAGCCTACTTGCTGAGCATTGGCATTAGCTCTTGATATCCTTAGGGACGTGATGATGTTAAAGCAGAATCCAGTTGCTGTATGCACAATAAATAAATATCCCTCCCCTAGACTCCAAGAATGATGGAAAACTGAACTGGCAGTTCAACTCAGCTGGTGTTCGTATTTCTCAGAAATGCTAACTTAAAAGTAAACCCCGAGAATATCATTGTGCGTAGGCTATGTGAGGTATCAGATCTATTATTGATGGTCACACAATTAGCCAGATGTTTAGATAGGATTTAGCATTTTTGTCCACCTATTGAGTCCTTCTCAAGGACCGGGGATAGGCAGAAATTGTTTAAATTATTAAAGATATCATTATAAGATGTCAGCTCTTGCAAGTAAAGCTACCTCTTGCAATTGGCTGATGGTGATTTTATCCATGTCAATGGTATTCAAATGGTGCTCCAGATATTTTGAGATTGCACCCAAGGTGCCTATTATTATTGGTACTACCTTTGTTTTCTTTTGCCACAGTCATTCTACTTCTATTTGCAGGTCTTTGAATTTTGTGATTTTTTTTCCAGTTCTTTCTCTTCTATTCTGCTGTCTCCAGGTAATGCAGTGTCTACTATCCAAATTCTTTTGTCTTTCTTGTCAAAAATTGCTATGTCTAGGATGTTGTGTGACAGATTCTTGTCTGTTTGAATTCTAAAGTCTCAGAGCATTTTAGCCTCTTTATTTTCTATTATTTTGTCTATTTTATAGTCCAACCAATTCTTATTTGCAGGCAAATAATATTTTTGCAGATATCCAATGCACTACTTCAACTCTTATTATTTTATCCCAGCTTTTATATATACTGTATATTTACAGTATATATATGCTATGATTTCCGTTTTTATTGTTTCACAAATATTTATCTTTTAGGATTTTAATGTTTCAATGCTGTAAACCATGCAGAGTTGTTTCAATATGGGCAGCAAATAAATTTAATAAATAAATAAGCATCTCTCTCTCTTTCGTAGTTATGCCCTTGAACTGTGTCTGTGAGAAAAACAACATACCTTTCTTTCATTAATTGATAAAGGTTTTCTTTCATATACTCAAATACAAAATACAGATTATCATTTTCTCTGATAACTTCTTTTAGTTTCACTACGTTGGCATGGTTGAGTTTTTTCAAGGACTGGAAAAAAACAGAAAACAATTACAGGCTTCAAGATAAGTAACAATGAATCTTTGTTCCAGAAATGTAATTTAAAATGCTGCTAAATTTAAATATGGCCCCATTCAACAAACAAACTTGGATCTCTAGAACTGGATGTGCACAGTGCCCATGTTTCAAATTGTGTGCTGATGGCAACTGGCACAACTTACTTTTCACCAAGGAAGCCAAATTCTCTGCAGAGATCTTTATGCAGCCAAAAGCAACATCTAATCATAAGCATTTGATTAAAACTCCTTCTACCTCTGAAAAAGGCAGTATGAACATTGCAGTCTCAGGTTTTTTCTTCCACATCTTCCTATTATGCTTACAATAGATTCACCAATTATTGTTAATTTTTCACAATCATTTTGTCATTTAGATGCTTGGGCACTGGATATGTCAGTCAGCTTCACAAGTCTTAGAAGGCCTGTCAGTAGATCTCCCTTTTCATAACTAGAGCGCAACCAAGCATCTTACCAACCTATCTCAGCTTGTTCATAAAACAGCTCTGATCTAAAGACCAAAATGACTTCAAAGTAACACTAGCAAACGTTATCTGAAGCCCAACATAAATACATGTTTATAAACATGGATATGGTCACACTGGAGCTGAAAACCCATATACCGTAGCTGTTTTGCAATAATCCTATGGACAGAATTTCAAATTCCTACTAATTCACAGTGCATGATGGGAAATCCAGAGCTGTGTGCATGTGTTGTGCTTTTTTTGGCCCTAATTTCCTGTTGCCTTTCCTATCTGCTACTGATTGCCGAATCAAATGTCTGTTTATAACAATCACCACCTACAATTTAAATGTAGTACTACATTTTTACATTTGAAGTAGTCCAAAGAAAGTCTGTTTAGCTTTCTTGTATCATTTATAAACACAAACAATACAGGCCTTACTTTCAGGGAAAAAAAGGTCTTAGAAGAACAAGGTGTAGGTTACAACATTACAACACAGCTGATTTAAGATTGAAACTCCTTCGGCGAATTTAGAATTGGAAGGAAGAGACAAATACCTTGACTTCACGAAGATTCATGCATTCCTCCCAGGAATAAAATTTCCTCTTCATCCTGTAAAAGGAACAAGAAGTCTACTATTGGGCACAATGTGTGTTCCAGTTCTATTGTGACATAAGCCTGGAGAAATAAATACAAAGCCGCAACAACCAAAGACTACAAACTGATTCTGTACCTCCATTTTTTGGGGTTGTTGCTCAAATGTTAGTTTTCATTTTCTAAAGTAAAAATAATTTTCACAACAGATTTTCATGTGGTATGAACATCTAATTATCTAAGAAAAGAAACAATCAATAGTTTTGCATTCCTAACCGATTGAGAATCATTCTCAAGATTAGTACAATTCAAAATCTGAGTTTTTATTTAGTGGTTTCAAAGTAAACGAGGTACTGATTTCTCAATTAAGGGAACAATTTTGCCTCGACAAGTTGAAGTGATATCCTTGCATTAGAACATGTTTGAACCATAGTCTTCAAAAATATGAACTTTCATTATCTGATGCTCAAATGTGATATGTAGGGTTAAAATGACAGCAATTCAGAAAGGTCCCTTACCTCTTAATGGCAATCAGCTCTCCTGATTCAATACTTCTTCCTAAGAGGACAGAGCCGTATGTTCCATCTCCCAGCTGTTTGATAGTTGTGTATCGATTCATGATAGGGATCCTCCAGAAGGCAATCTCATTTCAGTCCTTGGCATGCTCTTTGTTGTGGACGAAGCATTTCCCCTCAGAGTGAAGCCAGTTTTTCTAATGGCAGCACAACCCCACAGTATCCAGGATTTGGTGAACATTGCCAAGTTCATATTTTCAGGGATTGTCTTTTGGTCTGTGAAAATACAGAGAAATATGTCTTCACTTTGTATGCCTTATAGCGTGAAGGCTCATCCGGTATTTTTCTTGATGGTTACCATCTGAATTCTTTTGAGTCTGCTAAATAGAAGAATTAAGCTATAGCTGATCCTCTAATAAGAATGTATGGTAAAAGGCTCACACAGCCAAGTCTGATATTCAGATCTTCCTAGTAGTAGATATGTTTTTCTAGCTCTTCTTTAGACTAGCAGTTTTCTACCTCTCCCACTCTTCTGTCCCACCAACCATTTCTTTATTTAAGAGATTTATATGGGTGCCTGTCTTATATACAATAAACCTGTGCGGCTCACAGAAAAAGCAATACAACAGAAAAAAAGCTATAAATGTAACATCAAAACTATACCTCATGGCATCCCAAATGCAACACTCTCATACATTTGTTGTGCTCCAATCTCATCGTAGGCCATTGCCTTGAGGAAGAGGCAGCACTTCACAGCCTACTGAAAGAACGGAGGCCTAGTCAGGAAGGAGGCTAATTCCACAGGGCAGGGGCAGCTATAGAGAAGATGTACCTCCTCGGTCCCTCTAGGTCAGTGATGGCGAACCTTTTAGAGACCGAGTGACCATAAACTGGCTCCGCCCCCGCTCTGCCCCCCATTCCCCACCCCGCCTACCCACAAGACCACTCACTGCCTCCAGGGCCCGCCACAGATTGTCCAGGCAGCCTAGCAGCGCTATGGCGGCCATACCCTCTGCCCCCAGCCTGCAGCATCAACTGCATGATGGGGTGTGAGGGCAGCGTCTTATCTACACTGCCTGGCTGCCATGTCCTTGGCTGTGCTGCTCCGCATGGGCCACACTCGAGGGCGACTCTCCTTTGGGGGGCTGCTGGAGAGGAGGGGGTCACCGTGGGAGGCACGGCTGGAGCAACAGCGTGTGTGCCCACAGAGAGGGCTCCGAGTGCTGCCTCTGGCACCCGTGCCATAGGTTTGCCACCACTGCTCTAGGTGACAACAGTTAAGAGACGGGGCTTGGTGTGCACCCACTCTATCCGATGTGGTGGGATGAACAGACCTCAGGGAGAAGGAATCCACAAATAATTCGATCCTGTGCCATTCAAGGCTTCAAAGCTGATAACCAATGCCTTGACTTGCATCCAGAAAGAAATTAGAAGCCAGGGCAGCTTGCACTGCAGCAGTGTGATACAGGTAGCCATAGATTTACAACCATTCATTTAGTGACCATTCAAAGTTACAACAGCACTGCGCTGAAAAAAGTGACTTATGACCCTTTTTCACTTATGACAGTTGCAGCATCCTCATGGTCACGTGATCAAAATTTGGACGCTTGGCAACTGGCATGTATTTATGACAGTTGCAGTGTCCCGGGGTCACGTGATCACCTTTTGCAACCTTCTGACAAGCAAAGTCAATGGGGAAGCCAGATTCACTTAATAATCATATTATTAACTTAACAACTGCAGCAATTCACTTAACAACTGTGGCAAGAAAGGTCGTAAAATGGAGGCAAAATGCACTTAAGGAATGTCTTCCTTAGGAACGGGAATTTTGAGCTCAGTTGTGGTGGAAAGTCAAGAACTACCTGCATAGGCAAATAAACTGTACAGACATAAAGGCAAAAAGGCCGTTTTTCCAAGGAGAAATGTACATATTTACATGCATTCTGGCATATGTCAATTGTGGCAGGCTTTTATTATACAAAACTGCAAAAATATTTTGGATTATTATCTTGGCAACTATAGCTACAAGATTCATACATAATTAATAAATTGGAAAATTGTGTTAGTTCAAACAAGACTCTGGGGTGATGTTTCATTAAACTGCCCAAATCAAAAGAAAACCAAATCACACAGAGGCTGGAAAGGCATTGCATCTAATTTCTTCCACATTCTTTTCTGATTTCCACTTACGATAGGGGTGGAATCCAATGAAAAGGGATATATTTACATATATCCAAACCTTCTCCTGTTGGGAATCAGCAAAGAATCTGGGGTCTCTTAGAAATTTGGCCCAATGCAAACCCTCTCAGTCAATCTTCCTTTTTGACCCTTCTGATGACATCAGCCTTTCCTGACACTGGAAGTAACCAGTCTCAGTGGCTAGTAGTGTTGGAGTTCTTTCTCAAGCCCTGGAAGAAGAAATGGATGATTTTCCAAAGCTATCCTAGGAGTATGAAGTCACAAATTTGGGCCACAACTCTGGGAGTTGTAGAAGTGTGACACAAGGAGAGTTTAATATTCAAAGTATAATTGTTTTTAAGTAAGTTTTTTAAAAGAATAGAAAATGTGGCAAGTCAAACTTAATAACCTGCTTAATAACCCATTATATCAATATTCTTGGAATACTGCATTTATCACTAATATATATATATATATATATATATAATATATATATAATATATATAATATATAGTTCATCCAGTGATAGATATATCTAATCTGATAACAAAAGAAGCATTTGTATTAATAGTTTGGTAGCAAATTAATATATTTAAATATTGAAGTTGTTTAAAAGCATTAGCTTTAGAATCTTTCTGATAATAGGAATCTAATCCAAATTAGCCAAATTTCGTACATGAAAATCTTCAATTTAGCAAATAAATCCCCAGTTTTAACTATTTATATATATCCCACAAAGTTTCCATTTCCAATTTATTAGTCAGGCCCAGAGACATAACTCAATCTGGATAATTTTGAGCATAAACAAAGGTTGGAGGATTAACTTGAGCTCCTGAAGCCCCAAATCTATCATATCTGGAGGATGATGTAAACAAGCTTACATCAGTGCTCCAGATGAAGTCTATTAGCTCTACAGCACATGTAACCTTTCAGGAGGTTACAACGACTACAATTAAGGAATACAACCTCAAGAAAGAAAGAAAAAGTGAGCGTCAGGAACTAGAATCTCAAAGGTTATACAAACCGTGCTAAGAGAAGCTGTGGATTCTTCCATCAGAGAGAAAACAAAGCTGAAAAGGATTCAGTGCATTCAGATGGGTAAAGATATTTCCGCCCAAGAGAAAAATGCATGCACAAAAGGAAAATACAGCCACACTGGAGGACAACCAGGAGCTTTTCCTGGTGAAAGCAACTCAGCAGCTCCCCCATATGGTCTTTCGTTAAGTCTGCCTGGAGGCCGGTGTAATTCCCCCCCTCCCCCTTGAGAAGCAGTGAACGCAATTTAAGTTTGATCTAAAGTAACGTCCGTGAAAATTCTCCACTTGTTTTCAGACAGGGGATTTAATCTTCAGTAAGCCTCAGCAATATACAAAGAAGTGTATATTTATCAATGGATTATTGCAAGTACAATAATGCAGATGTTAGGTCAACCCAGTTTTTAAATGCCAATTTAACCCTCAGTACCTATTCTTTACCCATATGCTTTTTACCATTGCACAGACTAGGAATAAACTGTATTCTGTGCTATGAACATTGGTTCCACCGGCAATTTACAGAACTTTTATAGGTTTAGGAATATGGGATAAATCACTACCTCTAACAGAAGAAAGACACCAGACAAGAAGATTAGCGTCAAAAATAACAATGGGATACAATTGCAGTCCACCTATTAAAGCTTAGCTTTAGTAAAGAATGGAAAAAATAAAACTTTTGGTATGTACACCCTTATTTGGAATTACATTCCAGTGTGTCTAGTAAATGCATTACATATACATTAAGCTATTCTGCTTTTGTCTACAAAAATCGTGACAGATCATACGATTACCCGGAGCAGAGGTATCCAACCTTGACCACTTGAAGACATGTGGACTTCAATTCCCAGAACTCCTCCTGCTGGCTTGAGAATTCTGGGAATCCACAAGCCTTAACCCCCCCCCCCAAGGTTGGACACCCCTGATGTGGAGGTTCTGTTAGTGCAACCTAAAAACTGAAGAGTGGTGTTTGAGGGAATCCTGGGGCAATACAGACAGTGTTTCCCCCATTTTCCTCTTTCTCACCTGGGAATTAAGGAGACAAAATACCAGACGTTTGTAACGGGGGCTGCCTTTCCATATCCGCAACTGCAGGGCAAAAACCATTCCCTAATTCATGGGTAGGTAACCTTGGTTCTTTGATGACTTGTGGACTTCAACAGCCAGAATTCCAGAACCAGCTATGCTGATTCAGGAATTCTGGGAGTTGAAGTCCACAAGTCATCAAAGAGCCAAAGTTGCCTACCCCTGCCCTAGTTTCTAACTTCGAAAGCCCTAACCCAGCCAATCCCAGCGCCGACGGATTTACCCAGCTCCCAGAGTCCCTTGCGAAGCTTAGCGCAAAATATGAAGGGAATGAGTCACAGGGACTGCGCGCAGCCTTCTGGGAAGTGCAGTCCACGTGAAGTTCTCCACTCCTTTTCTGTTTATATTGGTCTAGGCGCATGCGCGCTCCGCTGCTTCGTCTGCTCCATCTCGTTCGGTCGCTGACGTTCCCTCGCGCGCTTTTAATCGTTCTTCGTTGTCTGAGAAAATGGCTGCCGTACGCCGCGCTCGCAGTGACTCCCGCTGCGTAGTTCGCTTTTCTGACCGAGAACTCTGCTAAATTTGCTTCCCTGCTTGGTACCCGTTCGAGAGGGAGGTAAATAAGAGTCCAAAAAGAAACCCGACGGCCCTTGAGAGGGGGCGGAAACCTTCAACCAACCGGACAGGCCGCCCTAGTTCGAAACGGCCAGAGCGCTGCAGTTGGACGAGAGTGACAGTTGGACGGACGGCCTGGCTACCTCAGCCTCGGCCTCAGCATGGTGAGGGGAGGGGCTGCGGAGCGAGTGCGCGTGACGAGAGCACGAGAAGGGCGGAGTGGGGGGGGGTCTCGCGCGCTAACGGACTGTCGCCGTAACGGATGGGAAACCCCGCCCTCAAGAGGGGGCGACGGGCAAGAGCGAAACGAGGCAGTCGATACGCGAGGCTCACAATCGCCTCAGTTCAAGCCCCTCATTGAATGTTTGTGGAATATTATAATTTGAAGGTGCTTCGCGAATAAAGAAGCCTCTCGTTAACAAAGTACGCAACGTAGCTTTAGGATATATTTTTTTTAAAAGGGAAAGATACGGTGTACAAGTGAGCACGCCATCCGGTTTACAGCGCAATAAAGATTTAGAAGGCCGAGTTATGCAGCAGTCTTTTAAGTAGATTCGATCGAAAAGACCAAAAATAGCCATCCATCGCCAGACGGTGCTGAAGTCTTTAGTTAAATAAGCGGTGTCCCCGTGATGTCAGAAACAGGTGGAGTAAGATACTGGATGAATGCGGTTCAGGATGTCAGAATAGAAATAGGCGCTTGTTTCTAGCAAATCCCTGGAAAGCGCTAGCAAGAGACTAAAATGACATCTGCATGCTTGCTCTCTCTTTCACATGATTATTTTCAAGAAAAAAATAGACTATCACCTTAATAACTTTGGCAAAGTTAAATTGTTTTTTGACAATCAGACAGAACCAAACTAATTAGGTGGGCACATCTAGTTTAACTGATTTGTTGGACAAGCTATAGTGAATGTGCATTTACTGAGATTTTTTGCCACCCATTTGCCAATTCTGTGTGGCTTACAATATACGAGATAAATTTTTTAATAAAACTTAGTAAAACCAATAAATATAGACTTGTCTTTGACTCTTTAAAAGATCTGTTTTTTGTCATCTTCTGAAACATCATGGAAGACTTGGGCAAGGTGTTCCAGTGGGAAGGGTCTGTTGCTGAGAAAATCAAGCCTCTGGGTTCCAGTCCCCTAATATTTTTTTTCTGATCTGGAGTATCCATTCTGTAATAGATCATGTAGGTAGTGCAGATTTTACAAGAAGGAGATTGTTCCAAAGGTTACAAAGGCCCAAGCAGAAAAGTGTCCAAGATCTTGACATCTGCTTCTGCAACTGCATCAGATTGATACTGCCCTCTCAGAAAAAAGTGGAACTACTTCAAAACTCTTTCTAATCCCCCTCTCTTACAAGCAGCTCAAAAAGATACCATGCTGTAATACTGAATCTTACAGAGAGGTCTACAGGAAAGGAGAGTACATCACAGCTGTTTCAAGTTGCAGCTACAAAAACAAGTGCTGTTTCATGTCTTGTTTAGAAAGGATCCAGATAATCTGTCTGCCTAGCTTTTTTTTCTGCAGCTTTTTCAAGCAGTAGTAGGTAGATAAGTGGATCCAGGGAAGTATTTTTTTAAGAAGAAAGTTTAATGGCTGAAGGTATTATCCCTTCTTCCTTTAGCAGTGCATTGATTATCAGCTGAATCCATGTGCTCCAGTTTTTGTTAGAAGTTCACATTAGAGAGCAAGGATCTAATTTGCATGTAGCTTCACCAGGCATCCTCCTTGAAGAAATATCACAAACAATAGTTTACAAATTACAATTTACATACTGCACCAAATTAAATCTAAACTGTGTTAAAAACTCTTTAGTTATGTATGCCATATAAATTTGATTATCTCTCTTCCCCTGTTTCCTGAGAGGTTTTACAATTTAAATTCATGGAAGTTAATAGTTCATAGAAAACCCTGAGAATTATCTTAAGTGGGACAGGATGTTGTTTTACAAATTGATTAAAGAAATAAAATAATTGAAATACAATATTCTCTTTATATGGAGAGTGAAAAGCATGGGAGTGTGGGAACATCAGAATTGATGGGCCTTTTAACTGAACAGTTTTTTAAACCAGGGATAATGCACATCTCTGTTATTGCTTATCATCTAATTCCAAGGAAGCAGTTAGCTTTCATCAACATTAAACTTGATAACAGAGATGAGGAGAACAAGTTGAAATTAAATCCAGACAAAACAAAGATGCCTTTGTAAAATAGAAAGCTGGACTTAGAGAGTGTGGCAAAACCTGTTTTGGATGAGATTGCCCTCCCTCAAGAGGAGCAGATTTGCCATTTGAGAGCGGTCCTAATCTGCAGGTGAAGGCTATAAGAAGACACATTTATATAACATACCCATTCTTTAGTTATAATGTGTCTTTAGATCTGCAATGTATTTATCTGTCCTTGAAGAGTACTTGGAAATAGTAATTGGTGCAAAAATGCAATAGATAGGTTGTTATCTGATACAAGGTATAACGATCAGACAATGCTTGCAGTGAAAGATTTGTATTGGGCTTGATTGTTTGAGGTACTGCCTTTCCTATTGTGAATCTACTCATATATTAAGATAACAAGGAGACCTTTTGGAAAGTTACTCTGCTGCCACAAGCTCACTGATGTGGTACCTCTTCTTGTAGGGCATCAAAGCTATAGCTCTAAGAAAGTATGTTTGTTCTGCAATCTCCCATCCATGCCACTAGTGGATACTACTCTGTCAGCAGGAGTATAGAATTGGCTTCAACACGCATTGACAATTTTTATTCTATCTCAGAAGGAATCAGTTTTCCAGTTGTATACTGGCAAATTTTGAATGCATACACATGGAACATCAGAAATATTTGTTGAGTTTCCTACATTGTGATAATACAAACCTCAAACATCTGAAACAGTTCTGAAATTTTAAGTGAAGCAACAAAAAAAAATCCTTAAAACTAACAAAATAAACAATTACACTAACATAATAAAATCAAGAGGCAGTCTAGGGCATGGGTGTCAAATTCGCAAAGTCACGTGACATATCGTGACTTTTTTCCAGTGCCGGCAGTGAGGTGGGCGCGGTTTCGCCATGACGCATCTGGCCCATAGGCTGGCAGTTTGACACCCCTGGTCTAGGGGAATAGATACATTGTTAGGACATGGCAAAACCTTTGCATTATGGAAGATTTTGTAATCTTCAGAATCAATTTATTCCCAGGGTGGATATACCACAGGAAATACCTGCCTCCATAACATTAAAGGAATTTCAGTAAGTCATAGAATCACTAAAACATCCTATCATGAATATAAGGATTGATTAGGCCTATATTGAAACAATTAGGTAACCTAGGGATAGGCATAAGTTGTTTAGGGCTTTTCATTAACATTGCAAATGTCTGAGCAACTGCTTAAAATGGACCATTTCTGACAAATTTCTTGATTATAGTATCTGTGATTTTAGGATATTAATATATAATGACTTGGAATATTAACACGATCTTTCTTCATTAGGCAGAAGGAGAAGAAGATTGTTGCTCTGACGTAGTAAAGGAGAATGACAATGACAGTTCTGGTGAAGCAAATCTTGAGGTGTGCTGTTTTATCTTCACTCATAAAGTCATGTACAATTTTATTCTTTATTCCATGTGCCTTTATACTTTTGTTTCAACACTTTAAAACTTTTCTGTATATTAGCTTTAAATGGAAACAGTTTTATTTTGGGGGATGCAGTTGCAACAATCCTGAAAATAATTATTTTTCTTTAAAATAATTGTTTATTAGGGAGCATGAAAAATCAACATAGAAAAATATTTCTGCCCATGTGACAGAAATACTTTATATTCTTGATAGGAACATATATCCCTAAAAATGCAGTATTCCTTTTTATTTCTATCTGTAGAACTTCAGCTGCTGCTTTTTATAATGTTTATTGATCATTCTTCAAAAATGGATTTTTAGGCAGAGCTTCAGATGTTCAGAGCCCAGTGGATGTTTGAACTTACCCCAGGGGGGAGCTCTACAGGTCTGGAAACTCGATCCTGCAGAACAAGAGGGTCTTTATTAAAGGCCATAGATACCAAAGGGAAACTCGAACTTGCAAAAGAGGAAAAGGTAAACAATTTAAACCTCTTAAGAGCCAGGGTGATGCAATGGTTAGAATGCAGTATTGCAGGCTAATTCTGCTGACTGCCAGCAGTTTGATTCCCACTGGCTCAAGGTTGACTCAGCCTTCCATCCTTCCGAGGTCAGTAAAATGGGGACCCCAGATTGTTGGGGGCAATAGGCTGACTGTAAACCGCTTAGAGAGGGCTATAGACTACTGTGAAGTCTAAGTGCTATCGTTATTGCTATTCCTAAACTGCTAACATCCATCATTTAGTGTTTCAGTATGTATAAAGTATGACCTATTTTTTTTAATTTCTATTCTTACAATTGACCTGTATCTTATTGGAATAATGCTGTCAGTATTATGAAAGAAAAAAATTTGTCCTGAATTCCTTGTACACTTGTTAGAATTTATGTTCAAGGAAGTAAAGGCACAAATATGATTAAAAATAAGACCAGACATTGAAGTAAAAAATACAGGATTGCAGTGCAGTTAACATGATTAACATTAAAGTAATCAA